GCATTGTCAGTCGCAAGGGCCGATGTTGTTTATTAATTATTTCAGCAATATAGTTGTTATGCAACAATAAACTATTGGGTTTAATTTGTGAATTGTAAATCATTCCGTACCTGAACTGAATCACAGAGGTTTGTCATCTGATATGAAACCAATTGTTTTCTCCTATATCCTCTACCAGTACAGATGATAAAACTGTCATTAGAATACACATACTTTGTTAATTAATTTCAGGGCGGCCTTTCAAATACTGAGTATCTAACATTCAACTTGAGAAGCTGGGAAACCTCTTCAGAAAAACAAGGAATAGGAGTTATCTCTAGCAATGTTGTAAGTTGAAGTCAATAAGATTCTTATGCTAGTATAATAATGATAATATTATTATTATTATTATTATTGCTGTTGGATTATGAAAACAGAGAACCGCAGAAGTTTTTCTGGAATGGTAGTATTGTAAAAAAAAGGTGTCAGGAGTGAGGCAACAAAATTACTGCGTGGAAGTTATAATTAGTTTGTAGGCTCCTCAAGTGTCAAACCAAATTCAACACTCCCAATGTTAATATATGTCAGACATTTACCATTTTAAAATGATTAATTATTGTCCATTGCCTCAAGATTGCAAACTGGCCTTTGTTTAAGGAGATTGCAATTTTTTTTGGCATTTAATGCTTGGAAGGTGGTCACGCCAATATTTTTAAGGGTGTGGCTTAATTGCCCTATTTTTGACAGGATATGCTTTAATAATTTGATCTTTCAGACAGCTGCTGTCAAGGAAAAACAAAAGCAAATAGGAAACAAAAAAGTCAAGGCAACTGAAGGGTATAGGAATACAGTAAATGAATAAATTATTTTAATGAAAATGTTATGATAGGCTGTTATGGAATATTTAAGAATGGTTTAGGTATAAGGTTGTCTAGGGATCAAAACTTACCTTTTCGAAAATTTCAGCCAGAAAAATGGCTCCCGAAAATTCTAGGTGACCTTTTTAGGGTAAAAATCCGTAAAAATGGGCAATTATACCATTTTTTAGCTGTTCGAAAATCTTAGGAGAGGCAGGCAAGCAAGAAATTTTACGACAAATGTTCCGAAAATTCTAGATCTCAAATCGTCTTCCGAACAGATATTTCCCGAAAATTGACGTTGGGTACCCCTGACCCTTCTAACAATCTCGCCTCCCCTATTACGCAGACTAACTCGCCGTCCCAACTGGGCTAGCCTGCGTCGCAGACACTCTAAACCGCCTGGATAGCTGAGCAGTGTGCATATAGACGTAGTTACCGAGTTGTAGCAAATGGATTATGGTAACAGAAGCAGATCATTCCTAGGATTCTACAGTGGCCCAGAAGGGTCACACATGTAAATTAAAAATGTTGCTGCAAACTAAAATTGGATTGTCCCCCGGAGCAACAGAAAACGATAAATCAAAAATATACTTAGACTAATATGATTTATACGAAAGAACAGAGCTGATGTTGCCCAATTCCCTCCTGCCTTTGAGCATGACACGTGGCCATGTTCTTGAAGGTAAATTACTCTATCAGTATTCAACCTAGTTTCTGTAGTTTGATTCATCTTCCTTTAATTCAGCAAATACAAAGGAAATCCTGCTTCAACCCTACAAAGGATTTCACCTGTGACAGCCGCACCAAAAATGTGTCATCTACAAATGCCACCGAATTTTTCAAAATTAAGTTTGACAAATTTTGTATGTTTAGACTTTCACAAAGCGTGTTCTTTTATCTCAATACGACAAAAAGGAGTAAATTTAGATCTTTACCAATAAAAGAACTTTCAATAATACTCTTCCAAAGCTGTGTTAATTGAATGATTTTCTTTGTTTGCCACCTAGCCGAAATGATGTTAATGACAGTGTTAATTTTAAATTTAGCCCGCGAGCATTAATTAGCTCTCTATTTAGGGCAAATCATTAAAGAGGCCTTCCAAGGGGGTATGCTGTCGCTTTGTTTGTCATTCCTCAGGCTGCCTGTAGCCTGGTAGTTTGGGAAAAAATATCGCTGTCGCATTTTAGCAAGGTCGAGAAAGTCGCTGTCGTTTGACATAGATTTTTGTGATACTCAATTTGAAATTTACGCCAGATATACAGGATATAGAGCCACAAAAGAAAAAAAATGCTATTAAACTTTCTCCCTCGTGCTGAAAAGTTAAACGCACATGCGTTCTCGCGCAGATCGCTTGGCTCGCCCGAATGGAGAGCTTGAAACCTCACTATCAAAAATTTTATGTAGACTTTAATAAATAAGCTTAACATGCAAATTTAAGAGATTTTACATTACACAGTGGCCGGCAGGAATAAAGATATACTCAGTACGGATTCCAATACTTTCCTTAACTTCCGCTTTTAAACACCACCGCGTCAAACTGGGCTGGGCTTCTTGTGTAGTAAAAACGCTTAATCTTGTTCTGAAACAATTTGTCCGTATATGACGTCTCCATACTTAATATGACTATACGGATAATTTAGAAGACTGTTTACTTATTGTCCTTGCATATTTAAGCCTGTTGCAAGCTCACATCCGCCTTCGGACTGTGACCTTGGATGTTACGTCATAAGCGCGAAAAATTTCTCGTCCTCATTTTTGTACCATCCAAGCCTCGAAATTGTTTTCACGTAACAACATTTTGTGGAGGATAGACAAAAGGTTGTTTTCTGTTTCAAAAGCTGAAAGTTCCTTTAAAATGAAATTACCACCAGCGGTTACCCCTCGTACCAGCCTACGTTTCGTGGCTGTGTCTGTGATGTTCTGTGCTATTCTGGTTGACATTTTTGCACTTGAAGAAAAACTGGCGCGAAAACCGCGAGAAGAAGATCGCGTATCTGAGGGCACTGAAGTTGGTGGAAAACAATCGCAGTTGTACCGTGATCGAAGAACGGTGAAAAATAACGCGACCCCCAACCTGTCGGAATTTGCAAACCGGCTGAAAGATCTTGAAGAAAGGTATAATCTTAACTCGGCGATTCGCTATGAATCTCGCTTTTCTATCACGTGGGCAATGTTAAATGTTGGTTACGTGTCACTATTCTAGATTCAAACTGCTAAGAAAATGGTGAATTTACTAAAATCATTTCTCTTTTTAAGCCACAACAAGAGCGTACATTTGATGATCAGACGATTTCAAGAGTTGGAGAAAAGGTTTGAGAAATAAAATTAAATGCATCATTACCGTGTAATTGCTTTTTAAAAGCTAACAAGTACTTCCGAAATTGTTACCCCTAAGGATTGCATAGGAAACCCGTTCGATTTCTTGTCTAGCGAAGAATGTTATTTCACCCATTTCCAACTTGATGTAGAAAAGGGAAAATACCGAGAAAGTCCCTGTTATCCAGGCCGGACACGTATTTTATATGGACGGCACTGGTGGATGTGCAGTGGAAGACTTGTGTGAGAACTGAGTTTCATCCAAAATCCGCTTAACATCGTTCAGTGTAGTGACCAGAGTTATTGTTGATTATCTTTTATCTTTTAGCTATAAACTGACTTGATTACAGACTTAATTCACATCATCGACGCAATTATTTACCAGAGCAAAAGAAGCTTGATAAACAGCTGTAAAAGGAAATCAATAAAAGAAAACACCGTTTAACACAGGGGCACCCAACGGCTGTTTTCTGTAAAATATCTGTTCGGAGAAGCAAATATTGCCTCACATTTTCTCTTTCTCGAGGAGGGCTAAAAATTTCTAGATAACCATTCCACTCATGTACAATTTTCGCACACGACCTATCTGATATGTTACGCTCCATTTTAACGTTCGGCGCAGCGCAGCCTCGCCCCGTTACAGTGAGCGGAAATGAAATGTGTGGACAGAGGCCCTATCCGGTACAGTGTGAACATGGCTTAAGTCACGGCGAAAGTCCTTGTTAGGCTGCGTGCGTGTTGGCAATGGTGTGCAAACGGATGCAACAACTCCCAACAATGTTGGGACCTGCAGTGCATCGTGGGAAGGATATACAACCCATAAGTCTTTGTAAACCAAACGTAATGAGCATACGTGGCCCCAACGGTGTTGGAAGAGCTGTGCAAACGGATTCAACATTGTTGCGCTACGCTTCGGCGATCACGGAACAAAAGAAATGTTGGGAGTTGTTGGCTGAAAAGTTTGACCGGTTTCAAACTTTGCGCAACAACACGCAACAACATCCAACAACATGCAACAGGGTGTGCAAACGGACGCAACATGTAACATCCAACAATGTTGGGAATTGTTGGTCAACAGTGTTGCGTCCGTTTGCACGCAGCCCCAGACTGTCTCTGAGATCTTTTATAGTTGATCTTTTTTCAGACTTGATGGCTTACTGCGATTATCTCCTCGACCAGCAGGGGAATCCTACGGGTCACTTTTGAGCTACCTTCTTGGTAAAATACGATATTAAATCCAGTCGAGAGTTACCTGAGGCAATAATAGTAATAATCAATATAGGCAAAATGATGTCAGGTCCATTTGGCATGGTAAATGTGCGGTGATTTATGGGTGATATCACTGGCGTGTCTCTATTTCAGGTCAGCATATGCAAAACCCTGGAAAGGGACGAGTTGGACCACCCGGCCCTCCAGGGAAACAAGGGCCAGCTGGATCAAAAGGATCAAAAGGTGAAAAGGGAAAACGACAAAGATCGAGGATATGAAGGGAAAAAGGAAAATTGTATAACACCAACTGTAAACGCAGCGGAGAGAGCAAATGAAACTCGTTTTGTAATTTCAGTTTTTATGTTCCAGCAATTAGAAGTTAGCCGGCAGTAAAGAAGAAGTGCGGTTATCGATGTTAAATTAACATCTCAGTTATTTTCTGACAAAGTATTTCTTTTGCGGTTCTTGCAGTTTATGATCATGGAGTGTATCGATTGCAAGCCAGCCAATTTTCAACCGCTACACGCGTAAAAGCAAATGTGGATTGTAAGAATTCCATAGGAGAAAAAAGCACCTTTATGGATACCACCTTTTAAGCACTAAAATAAGTAAAAAAGCTGGCATCGAGTGCTTTGACTCATTTTATACTCTGCAGGGGAACAAGGAAAACCAGGTACCAACAAGCCATTCCCAGGCCCCCCTGGTCCAAAAGGAGACCAGGGAGCAGTTGGGAAGACTGGAGCGCAGGGATCACAGGGTGCCAAAGGAGAAAAAGGACAGGATGGAGTTGGGACATCAGGAGTGAAGTACGTTCGGTGGGGAAGGACCACATGTCCTAGTGGTGCGCAGATAGTTTATAAAGGTAAGCGAAAAGGAGCTTAGTTTGATAGTTACTATTACTCCTATGGTCCTAAAGACAGAAAGAGTGATAAACTGAAGATTTTTATGCCACATACACTTACTAATCATTATTTAAAAGTGACAACTATGAAATTTCTCCAAACTTGTCACATTTACTGGTCAATAATCCGGGCATCTCTTTAAGTTATCTTTTTGTTGTATCTTTCCAGCATATTTTAAACCTTTCAGTGTAACTGGTTCGTACCTGTTCATGCATAAAACAGACGGAAATCTGGGTATGAGATAAAGACCCTTGTTTTTCCTAACAATGCGCGCTCTCACAGCATTGGTTACGTTAAGGTCACATGAAAATGTATCCCGCAAAAAGTTTTTTTACAGGCAATATTGCAAACTCTATGTCATCGATCAGAACCCTGAACAGTGAATTATCACCCACGAAGCATAAATGATTGCCGCTTGCTGAAATTTAGTTTCATGAATTTGTACAAGTAGGCTTTTCTATGTTTTAGTGATCAATATAAATAGACAAGGAAATGACAAAAAAAGGGATAGTGTAATTCTAGAGTACTGTATTAAATTTTTGCTTCAAAATGTTACAGCCATTTGCGGTTTGTGGTCTTGGTGTTTTTTTGAAAAACATCTGATCAGTTCGCTATCTTAATATTCAGCTCTTAGCGATATTGCGTGAGCTAGATGTTTTGCCAATTTTTTGAGTAAGAACTAGTCAACAGAATCCGATGGTTGATGTTTTTGAAGGCACGAAAAGATTTCAAACTATTTTAACTGCGTTTTCCGATTTACTTTTATAGCAGAATGTTTTTCGTTTGCAACAACAGTTTACTTGAGTAAAAGATGCCATTCTGTTAACTCAGCATTTCCTTACAAGAGAAATTCAGTTGCCTAGAAATCAAAGTTAATTTATGACAAAAGAAAATGAAAGCAAATGTTCGCGAAAATTCTTTATTTCAAATAACCAGGACAGAGAAAAGACGCCTTGCCTCCCTCAACCGCTAGCCGCCATACCATACACTTGTGAAGAGCGGAACAGGAAACCTTTTAATTAACTTGGCGCGTTGACAGAATTTCAAAGAATAATTGTTGATAAATTTTTTTGCCTTGTATCAGGTATAATGGGTGGAGAATATTTCAATCACTATGGTGGTGGAGCGAACTACCTGTGCCTTCCACACAATCCAAAGTATGACAAGTACAAAGATGGCCATCAGCGCTCCGGATACATGTACGGCACTGAATATGAAGTGATTCAGTACAGCGGTAACCCTTTTAAGAGAAATCTTCACAATCATGAAGCACCATGCGTTATCTGCTTCGTCAAGTCACGTGGCTCGATGCTGATGATGCCTGCCAGGAATGACTGTCCATCTGGATGGACCGAGGAGTATCATGGGTACCTGATGACAGAAGATTATAACCACAAGCATTCACGTGATTTCATCTGTGTTGACAAGGATCCAGAGTTTGTTCCTGGTAGCCATGCGAGCAAGGATGGTGCTTTGCTGTACCCTGTGGAAGGTGTTTGTGGCTCACTGCCATGTCTTCCTTATGTCAGCGGTAGAGAGTTAACATGCGCTGTGTGCACCAAGTGAAAGGAAGATACCTGTCACTGTGGCATGGCTGCCATACCGATGAGCTACGCAAACCAAATAATAATGGTTAAATCAGTATATACGATTGTAATTCATATTTTTTTGGAGAACAAGTCAACCTTTACCTAGATAAAACACACTGCGTTATCTGGTCCGCTAGCACTATGGCGCCAGAAAAGTTCGCTGTAAATTAATTCGGGATGTAAGCAATAACAATTAAAAGAAGGTGAAAACATTGATAAACAATGTCTTTCTTTACTTTATTTTCCAACTGATTCCAACAAATAGGTGGAGAGGGAAAATGACGGCTACTCTTTGCTTTCAACAAGTCGTTCTTTTTTTTGAGTCCAATCTCGGAAAGGAAAAAGACATGCAAGAAAGGAGAATTTCCTCATCATATTGTAGCTCGCCTAAAAGACGTTATTTGGGGTTCACGAGCTACTAACGCGGAGCGCGAGGCTCCCCAAGGAAACATATACAATAGGAAAATTTGTCTTAGAGACCTGAACGCCTGCGCTACCTGTGAACTTTGAATCTAGGTTTGTCGCGCACACGTCACACTGCGCTCGCAGCTTACGTGCATGATCAATATATTTAATTGTACCTGGTAGGGGACGGACGGGACGGTGAATTTTGTGAAAACAAATTATGGAGTTGTAATCCGGCGAGCTCTTTCGATGTCTACTCTATGGAAGAACACCTAAAAAAATGCGAGATCATTAAGAAACAGTCCAGATAAGAACGATAGCAACAACGGCAACGAACATGTTGGAATGCAAAAAGGTGCTAACTTTTCTATTGTCTGTACTTACTTCTGATTGGCTTAAACAGCAAAAAGTTAACAAAACTTCATAAAGCAGTACATATATTCATCCTTCCTTTCCAACCATCTTCTATATAACAAAATCTGGTCTCAGTTTGAATAACAAAGAAATCCTATGTGGGGAAAATGTAAAATTGTAAACGTTTCTTGGCTATTGTTTTCAACTCTTCTGATTGGTCAAAATCTTTTCACAACAAAAAAACACCCTTTCAAAGTGGAGTGTAAATGCATTTTATTAAGTAACCGGCCTCCATGTAGGTTCATGCATTCTCTGTGTAAAAATGAGCGCATTAATTGCTATGTGGGGAAAGCACCGTCGCCGCATAACAAAAGAAATTGCTATCCATCTTACCCGGATCATTACTTAATGCGTTACAAAACACATTGGTGACGAGAATTAAGGACATGATCACACACGATTAATTTATTTAAAACTTCAGCAAATTCTCCCACCAAGACCACTAATTATATAGGAAACGTGTTGGGACAACAAAGTGGATTAAACGATGGATTGTTATGAAGGAAGCTGCAAATTTTACACAAACTTTTGCTCAGTTTCCTACTCGCCCCGTGTAAGTCCCTCCTCGTTTTGGGAAGCCATGATATCGATCCTTTCGAGCAATCACTTTCTTCAGTTTTGCATTATATTTATCTCTTTTGAGTAGAAACCCGTTGGTTGGTGGAAATTGTCCCAAGGTTGGTGCAATTTAATGATATTTAATTTTTAAAACTTGAATTTTATATTCAAGTTATTGCTTTCTAAAATTTCTCAGTGAAATCAACAAGCTTAAGTTTGTGATCGGTGAAAATGTCTGGTTCATTCAGATTTCTTCTCTTTTTATTATTTTCATCCAAGCACGAGGCACTACTCGATAACTTCAAGTCTAGTTATTTTTTAGACAAAGGGGATTCAATTGAGGTAAGATTTTACAAACAAATTGACTGTTCTTATCTTAGTATAAAGTGTTTGAAGCCTAGTTTAACAGTCGTTTTTATAAACGCAACATTAATGATATTTTGTCGTTTTCTCGATCGTGGGCATTCAGGTTTGGGCTCAACTAAGGGCCTGTTTACATGGAGGTGAGAGACCCCAGGTGGGTAAGGTAACCCGCTTAGCTGGGGTAAACCGCCTTTCCATATAGTCTATTGTTTTGATTTGATTGCGTTTACATGATAGGTGAGGTGACCCTCCAAGGCGGGTAGCCCGGTCTGCCAGACCGCGTAACCCTCTCAGCCGTGGCCAAATTTGGCCACGTAAACGTTTCAAGGTGAGGTAACCTAGACTGGGACAACTTTTGGTAAAAAGCCGCTAATAAAACGTCTGTCGGCAAACTCGAGGAAAAGTTGGTAAATACTTTTTTCTAGATGAAAATTACGTGCTGAACACGAAAAATTTGTTTACCAAGCTTGATTTTGAGTTTTTAACCACAAATCTGACCTCGAAAAAAATGAGCTTATTTCTGGACATGGAAACGAGGCTAAAATTTTCCCCGCTTTCAAAACCACATTTGACTCAAATTATTGCCCCAAATTAGCTAACTGTAATTTTTTTTTTGTTATGAAATAAACTAATAGACGGTTGAAGCCTGAAAAAAAGTTATTTGGAAATTCAGAGACGCTAGTGAAAGAAGTTGACGAGTGTGTTCGTCGTATAACTATCTGAAGGAAACATTTTCTTTTAAATAAAACCAGTTTTGATTAAGGATGAACTATGCCAAGGGTATTTTTAATAAGGAATATATTTCAGTTAGTACAAAAGGTCTTCATCAGGGCTAGTGACATCTGGTGCGAGCATTAAAACAAAAATAGATCTGGCAGCAAAAAGGTTGCGCCAAGTTTTATTCTGCGTTGTGTTTCCCTCATTCAACGATTTTATATCGTCCATCTTCTTACCAATGTATAGCTTAAAACAAATCACTACCCAACGTTAATGGATGGAAAACTTGTAAAAAATGTTATTTTGCTACGAAGATTATCAAATAAGTAAACCCATTTTAATGCTTGAAGCTTTGACTTTGCCTAGGAAACGAAAGTCAGTGCAGCGTGTCATATGTTTGTTTCAACAGAAAGGTAGCCGCTGAATTTTATTTTTCGTTTTCCTCCATTTAATTAATGATTTTATGTAGTCGATCTTTTAAGTACTTTTTAACAGTAAAGCTTTAAGCAAGTCACTTCTCCAGCATTGTGATTTTTGATGGATGGATAACTTGTTTTTAAAAACCCTTTTTGCTGGGCCAAAAAAAACCAAACAAACCCATATAAATGCATGAAGCGTTGGCCCTGGCTAGAAAACGAAAGTCGGGCTCTACGTTTCATTCCAAAAACCATTCTGCTCATTCGAGTTACTTTTATTATGGAGAGTTGCATGGAAAGATTGTTTTCGTGGATTACATGATTTTTAATGTTGGAGAAGCGGCTAAGTTGGAAGAGATCTGCCCTTACACTCTCCTTCAGTAAATGCATTATATGCCAGGAAACGAAAAAAGATATCGTCTTTAACGCAATACAGCAAGGCCTGCGTTACTGAAAGAGTCCTCTGAAGAACAAAGAAAATTAGGAGACACAAACAATACAGATGTAACAGACGCGATATTGGAGGCAATCGAAGCAAAACAAAGCTGAGGATTTAAGCTGGCACAAGAGCTGCTATGCAAAGTAGACTGATAAGGGTAAGATATAATTAAGTAGATTAAGGAAATCGCTTGATTCGTCGAAGGATACCCATCCACTGCCAGAAATGGCTGCAAGTTCAGCTCTCCGCAGCAAAAACTCTTCTATCGAATGGGAACTGTGTATTTTTGTTAAGACGGGTCAATGCTTAAAAAGCAAATACTGTTCTCAGTGACAACGTTTAAAATGAGTCAGCGATACTTGTTGGAGCAAAGTGTGACCACGACCTTTCCTTGCGTGTGTCGGGTGTGAATGACCTAATTGTGGCTGAGGGCAAGTATCATTCCGTGAAATTGCTAATTTTAACGAAGTATATCTCGATCAATAGATATAGCTAAAGATGACCGTGCCGCAGTGTTGTTGTGGCTTGTTGCTGCATCAGGAAAACTGACATCTTCAACGTCAATCAACAAGCAGAAACGGTTCTTGAGAGATTAAAGAACATGGTTACTAAGGACGTGGCAACCACACAGATAGATGAGAATCTCTGTTGAAAGCAGGCAGCCTCGGCCAGAAACAACTGGACACTTTTGTTAAAGAAAGGCTTATGATCCCAAACGAAGATGAGAATTAAAAGAAGCTTAGGGATCCTCTTCCCAAAAGTAAAGCCGTGACATTTGTTTCTCCTTATGAGGCTGAAAAGAAAGAAAGAGAAAAGTCTGCCGCTATCGAAACTGACAGAATGATCCTCCAGCGCATCATTACAGCGTACGATGCTGGTAGAAGAGTAGATTTGCTTCAGCTACGAGTTAGTCTCTGTTTCGCTTGCTATCGCAGATACCAATGGTCAGCCACAATCTGGAAATCAATCCGTGATAATAGAGCTGCTGTCTTGGGTGGGATGGAACATCCTCGGGTCACACCAGTCCCAGAACGTTCGACAATACTAATTGCCGGTCAAGAATTAGTCATGGCTCTAGGAAGACCATCAGAGTGTAACAAATTCGACGATCTCGTAGATAGATTTTTGAAAGCTGCCCTTGTCTGTGGAAAGGACTATGACCGGATAGATGTTGCATTTGATGGGTACAGGGAAGCCATCTTTCCTTTTCATGCGCTAACAGGCTGTGATACGGTCTCTTTCTTTGCTAAGCATAGCAAGAAAACTGCCTGGAAGGCATTTGCTCATCACCTCATCACCAAACGCTATTGGAAAGTTTTGCAGATGGAGACCTGGATGACACGACTGTGAAGTCCGTAGAAAAATTCATTTGCAGTGTACAATGCTGCTAATGCAGAGGGATGTGATAAAGCACGTGCGACGTTGTTTGGTTGGTGCAGATTCCCAGAGGCACTTCCCCACACAAGTGATGCAGCATGATGGCATATTACTAGCGCTCGCTTTCAAGCAATGTTATGGAGACAAGCCCATAAAACGAACCCCACCCTCCCACTTCCAGCAACCATGGGATGGACTAATTCTGATGACGGAAAGCTCGTGCCTAAGTTAATGACTCTTGCCCCTAGCCTGTACCCGAAAGCTGTACCGAGATGATTACCTGTAGCTGCAAATCAGGATGTTCAACAAATAGGTTCAATTGCAGAAATGAAGTTGATGGTAATGTCATTGCAAACCAAGGACAGTAAATGGTACAGTTCAGCAGAACAAAGCGTTTAGCTTCTCTAACAAATTTTTATTCTTGTTTTATAATTGTCTATGGACTAATAACGGTTTTTTTTTAATTTTCGTCCTGTAGGATGTCTGATGTTTACAATATCAATTTAGGTCTTAAATATGTTTCAGAAGCTGACATCAGACGCATCTAAAATGGCTGCAATCAATCGAATGTTATGACCTTCCTTCTTAGTTATAAGTACAGCATGTATCCAGAATGGTTAGGGCGTGAAAGTTAAAAGTAGTTTTAAGAAAATGCAGTTTTTGTTAATTATTTCAAGGATTTTGCAAACATCTAGAAATTCAATACTTGAAAATGGAAGTAAGGTGTCTGCAATATATAGATCGCAAACTTACTGTAAATATCTTAGGAAATAGCTGAAAATTAAATTTCTATAGCTGCTGTAACTATTGGAGCGAATTGCTGGATTGGTAATTTTGTTTCTTTTTTGACTGTGCCGTCAAATTTGTCAAAATTCTGAATAGCCTATAACCCCGTTTTCAATGGTCACGTGACTAGAAAAATCACGTGATTTCAGACGGTTTCTGCGAGGTACTGTAAGTAATAAGTTGTATCAGTCACCTGTTGATCTGAACGAATTTTAACCGTTAGAGAGTACTCTGCATCCTCATACAACATGCAGCCTCGTTTTCATGTCACAATTTATTAATACTAACCTTAACGGCTGATTTCAAGGTCTAAATGGTGGAACCAACCTTGGTAAACAAACTTTTCGTGTTCAGCACATAATTCTCATGTAGAAATGTGTGTTTACCAACTTTTCCTCAAATTTGCCGACAGAAGTTCTCTTTTGCGAAAGTTACCCCAGTCTAACCCTCCTAGCCGGGTCGGATTCGTGATACATCAAATTCGCCCAAAATTCACTTTGGCGGTGGCTTTGCATCATTATAAGTAACAATAAAAAGCCACAGCACCGAAGGTATAAGCAAGAGCAGCAAGTGAGAGCAGAAGCACATTAATCGCCAAAACGCGTGGTCTTGCAGCATTTTTCTTGTTTACGTGCTCAGCGACTCTTCAATAATCTTGAGTAAGTGCACTCCGGGATGGCGTGGTTGTAAGATTGCATGTAAACGCGGGATATTTTTTTACCGCACCTAAGCGGGTTACCTCACCTCCCTGGGGTCCCCCACCTCCATGTATCAGGCCCTTATTCCCGAACTGTGGGAGGATAATCGCGTAATTGTGAGTAAAAACTTACAGATACAATGGTAAGGAACTTTTTATCTTGAAAACCACGCAAACTTTACAGGTTGAAAAAATTAAAGGTTTGTTTTTAGTGTAAAGTGCACTTAGCTTATCCAGTTAGTTTACAGGCACTCCATTCAAATAACTAGAAACAAATAACCCAATTAGAACATAACAGGATTAAAAACCCCAACTGACAGTTGGCTATTAACAAGCGTGGCCGAAGATTTAAACTCGGGGCGACGAGAACTAAATCCAGCAAGTGACCAGCCCAGGACTCAAACCCTTGACCGCCGGATTGCGAGTCTGACAAGGTGACCACTCGTTTATGCTGCCTCCTTAAAGCTAGAGCGAGTTATAAAGCAAAAACAGTCTGAATCAGAACAGTGTAGATGATGTGGTTCAAAGTTTTCTTTGCACTGATAATTTTTGAAACAGCTTAAAAAGTTTGTCACAATATGAATCAACTTAGTTATGTAAGAAACTACATCACTATGACTTAGGAAAGGTGTTGACAGTTGTGATAGGGCCAAAAAGCTTCTGAGTAGTGACTATTTTTCACAACAGAAACAAACATTGTGCATTCATTTCAATTTTTGATTCTATGGATCAGATTCTAAGTAACTGCCCAATGTTCTTACTTGCGTTTTTTTTTTTACCTTAGCCTGTCCAAAATGTGAAAATAACCTTTGTTGATGACCAAGCTTTTATAGATGGTTTCCAAGTGAAGGTTACGTTTTTCTCCATATAATGATTACTATACTTTACTAAACACATAGGTCCTGCCAAAAAGAAGATCATCACCGCAAATAAAACTGATGTCTTGATTTTTCAACAAATTCTATTCACAATTATCCGAGGGAGACAGCTGTTATTTGCGAACAACATTGCCGAGAATGAGTGTCGTTTATCTTGCTATTCATTGCAAAATCACATTTGATATTTGAATTTTTGCATAAATTATGAGAAAATGTATCTGATTATGGGCTTCCAGAGGGCAAAATACTTTTTTGGGAAAGTTTATTGTATGCTCTCTCAAATGAGGTATAGCTTTCTAAGCTAGGGTAAGTAACAGTGTAGATATAATTGTTTTAAAATGTGTGGTCAATTAATTTGCTGTTTGCGCGTCTGTCATAAAAGAAGAGCATCCTTTTGTTTCTTTCACTATTAAAATACCCTACTTTAACAAGTTGAACGTTTTCTCTTTATTTTTATTCTTTTATTGCGGCCGACGAGAGTAGACAGAAGCCTAATTTTTCATTCTGTAGCCTGTGCTAACCGTGTGGGATAAATGCAGTTTGGTGACCATTTCTTATCTGTTTCTCTGTTTTCTTTTTTCCATGCGAGATTCGCACAGGAACCGAGCATATTTCCCAAATTATGCGATTACTTGTAAAGTTAATATCTCAAATGAGACTTAGTGTGTTTCCACCTCTGTTCAATATGCAAAGGGTTGTTTTCATCAAAGAAAAACAACAAACCTTGCGAGCAATCTCTCCTCCCTGTTACGAACACTAACTCACCGTCTCAACTGGGCTAGCCTGCGTCGCACACACTCTAGAGTGATTTTACTTGACCCGTGAAATAGATAGTAGAATACTACGCACTATTATGCACTAATTTCATTGTATTCTTTTGTTTGCCTCTCGCTATATTCAGCACTACCTATTAGTATCTGTCTCACGGTTCAAGTAAACAGCTGAAGTAAAATCACTCTTACTGACGTACAACAGCCGCACCAAATTTGTGTTATGTTACCGAATTTTGCAAAATTAAATCTGACAAATTTTGTCTGTTTAGACTTTCACAAAGCGTGCCTTTTCTCAATCAGTACTAAGCAGAGTAAATTTTAGAGGCTTTGTACGTCATTTCTGAGGCAGCCTGTCCCCTGGTAGGTTTTGTGATACTCATTTTAAAATTTACGGCAGATGTACAGACGGGATATAGAGCCACAAAAAGAAAAAATGTTATTTTAAACTTTCTAACTCGGTGGATGAAAAGTAACGCACATGCATTCTCGCGCGGGCCCGAATGGAGAGCTTGAAACCTCACTATCAATTTCCGAAGGCTTAAGTAAATAAGCTTAACCTACATGCAAATTTAACAGATTTTTCCTTATTTTGTGGCCGGCAGAAGTAAAGATATACTCGGTACGGATTCCAACACTTTCTTTAGCCTCTACTTTTTAAACGCTAACGACCGGATTCAGCCTGGGTCAGGCTTCTTGTGTAGCAAAAATGCGAAATCTTGCTCTGAAACAGTTTGTCCGTAAATGACGTCTCCAACTTAATATGACTAGACCAATAACATAGGAAAAACTGTTCACTTGTTGTCCTTGCATATTTAAGTTTCGGTTGCAAGCTCACATCCGCCTTCGGATGGCCTTGGATGTTACGTCACAAGCGCGAAAAATTCTCGTCCGCATTTTTCTACCATCCGAGCCTCGATATATATTGACTTCAGCCACGTAGCACCTTTTTGAGGAGGATAGACAAACGGGTGTTTTCTGTTTTGAAGACTGAAAGTCCCTCTAAAATGAAATCATCACCAGCGGTTACCCCTCGCACCAGCATACGTTTCGTGGCTGTGTGTGTGATGTTCTGTGCTATTCTGGTTAACATTTTTGCACTTGACGAAAAACTAGCGCGCAAACCGCGAGAAGAAGATCGCGTATCTACTGAAGGCACTGAAGTTGGTGGAAAACAATCGCAGTTGTACCGTGATCGAAGAACTGTGAAAAATAACGCGACCTCCAACCTGTTGGACTTTGCAAACCGGCTGAAAGATCTTGAAGAAAGGTATGATCTTAACTCGGCGATTCGCTATCTCATTTTGAGTGCCACGTTTTCTATTACATGGCAATGTTCAATGTCGGCTACGTGACACTATTGTAAACTCAAACTACTAAGAAAATGGTGGATTTACTGACATAATTTCCCTTTTTCTTACTAAGCCATAACAAGACCGTACGTATGATGACCAGACAATTTCAAGAGTTGGAGAAAAGGTTTGAGAAATCAAAATTTAATGCATCATTCTTAATTGCTATTTATGAAAACTAACAATTAACTACTTCTGAATTTGTTACTAGCTATTAAGTGTTGTATAGCAAACCAGTTTGACTTCTTGTCTGGCGAAGTAATGTTACTTTGGTATGGCAACGAGACAGATCACCTATTTCCAAAAAAAATAATGGCGACTCTTAGGGTAGAAAACTCGGGGGAAATACCGAGAAAGTCCCTGTTATCCAGGCCGGTCACGTATTTTGGACGGCACTGGTTGATGTGCAGTGGAAGACTTGTGTGGGAAAAGTTTTATCCAAAATCCGGTTAACATCGTTCAGTGTGGTGACCAGAGTATAGTTGATTGTCTTTTATCTTTTGGATATAAATTGACTTGATTACAGACTTAATTCACATCATCGACGCAATTATTTCCTAGAGCAAAATAAGCGTAATAAACAGCTGTAAACAGCAATGAAAGAAAACATCACTTAACGCAGGGGCACCCCCCCAACGGCTGTTTAAACTGTAAAATATCAGCTGTTCGAAGAAGCAAATATTGCCTCAAATTTTTAATTTCATGAGAATAACGGCCTAAAATTTCTAGATAACCATTCCACCTGCGTACAATTTTCGAAGTTTATCTAATAAATTCCCTACGATTTTCTGAGGTTTAACTTTTCACATTTCACTCCTCAGGTTAGGCTATTTTTCGTAAAAAAGAAACCTTAAATTTTGGATTCAAAAATGTGATGGAGAGCCTGAGAGGAATCAGAAAAATTCTCAGTTTCGTACTAATATGTTTAATTGCATCTATCGATTTTCAGGAAAATAATACTGAGGCCCTTGTATTTTCGGAAACTCTTAAGTTGCCCTAGGATGACCGAACAGATACATATTTTATCGCCGCTTAAAATGCATGTACTCAGGATAGCCTAAAAAGTGTTTTCAATGCATTTAGGAGGAAGCCGTCGTTAGGTGCCCCTGTTTCAAATGTGCCCCAAATTTCTTAAAAGCTAAAATCAATCCGAATTTAGCCTGAATTGGTAGCTGAACTTGAGCTTTAAGGCTATTTTCATACCAAATACCGGGAAGCTTGTCGTGTCGACACGAAAAGCTGTTTAGTTCACACGCATTGAAGACGTTGCACCAGAGGGTTTGGTGGACAAAATCCCAGTTCTCCGTCTCAGTAGATTCCAGTCCTCGCTCCTACTTTTTCACCTTCGCACAAAGTGTGGCACACGACCTATTCGATATGCTAAGAGATCGGCACAGCTCAGCCTCGTTCCGTTGCACAAACAGGCCCTTTGCAGCAAGCCATTCACGTGATACAAAACCGCCATGCTGGAGAGCAAAAGTCGCACTGAGACAAGACAAATAAAAGGCATACATAATTTTGGTAAATGGTAATTTCCCTTGTTTGTCTTGTTCCAGTTCTCCAGCATGGCGGTTTTGTACCACGTGAATGGCTAGCTACAAAGAGCCTTTTGCGCCGAAAGCACTGTTCTTGTGTGAGAACAGAAGCCCTATCCAGTATAGCTTTCGTGCCGGCACAAGAGGTATCCGGTACAGTGTGAACTAGGCTTAAGTCACGGCGAAAGTCCTTGTTTAATACACTGTCTCTGAGATCTTTTATGGTTGATCTTTTTTTCAGACTTGACGGCTTACTGCGATTATCGCCTCGACCAGCAGGGGAATCCTACGTGTCACTTTTGAGCTACCTTCTTGGTAAAATATGATGTTCAATCCAATCCAAAATTTCGTGAAGGCAACTAGCGGATTTTATCTGCATAGGCAAAATGATATCAGGTTCTTAGTCCCAAAACATTAAGAGATTTATTAAGAGATTTTTGAGCATTAAATTTGATTGTTATAGAATATGTAATCTAATATGTGACTAAAAATCCGTATTTTAGTTAACCCATTTGTCTGGTAAGTATGCTGTGATTTATGGGTGATATCACCGGTTTGTATCTATTTCAGGTCAGCAAATGCAAAACCCTGGGAAGGGACGAGTTGGACCACCTGGCCCTCCAGGGAAACAAGGGCCAGCTGGACCAAAAGGATCAAAAGGTATACTCGGAAGGGAAAACAACAAAGATCGATATGAAGGGAAAAACGAAAATTGTAAAACGCCAACTGTAAACGCAGTTGAGGAAGAAAATGAAACTCGTTTTGTAATTTCGTTTGTATGTTCCAGTAATTAATTAGAAGTTAGCCGGCAGTAAAGAAGAAGTGCGGTTATCGATGTTAAATTAGCATCTCAGTTATTTTCTGACAAAGTATTCCTTTTGCGGTTCTTGCAGTTTATGATCATGCAGTGTATCAATTGCAAGCAGGCCAATTTTCAACCGCTTCACGCTTGAAAGCAAATGTGGCTTGTAAGAGCCCCAGAGGAAAAAAAAAAAACTTTTATGGATTCCACTTTTAAACACTAAAATAAGTGAAAATGTTGGGATCGAGCGCTTAGAGCCATTTTATACTTTGTAGGGGGACAAGGAAAACCAGGTACCAACAAGCCATCCCCAGGCCCTCCTGGTCCTAAAGGAGACCAGGGAGCAGTTGGGAAGACTGGAGCCCAGGGACCACAGGGTGAAAAAGGAGAAAAGGGACAGGATGGAGCTGGAAATTCAGGGGTGCAGTACGTTCGCTGGGGAAGGACCACATGTCCTACTGGTGCGCAGATAGTTTATAAAGGTAAGCGAAGATATCTTACATAATAGTTACTATTGCTGCCATGATTCTAAAGACAAAAAGAGTGATAAACTGAAGATTTGTATGCCACATAAACCTACTAATCATTATTTAAATGTGACAACAATGAAACTTCTCCAAGGTTGTTACATTTACTGGTCAATAACCTGGGCCTCTCTTTAAGTTATCTTTTTGTTGCATCTTTCCAGCATATTAACAGTTGAGTGTAACTGGTTCGTACCTGTTCATGCATGAGACAGACTGAAATCTGGGTATGAGATAACGCCCCTTGTTTTTCCTAACAATGCGCAGTCTCACGGCCTTTGTTACGTCGATGTCACATGAAAATGTATGCCGCAAAAAGTTGGTCATCCATCAGACCCCTGAATAGTGAATTATCACCCACAAAGCATAAATGATTGCGCTTGCTGAAATGTAGTTTCATAAGTTTGTACAAGTAGGCTTTTTTATGTATGTAATTCTAGAGTATTGCATTACATTTTTGCCTCAAAATGTTACATCCATTTGTGGTCTGTGGTCTTGGTGTTTCAAGCAGTCTGATTAGTTCGCTATCTTAATCAGGGGCACCAGACGAGAATATAGTTCAAAACCACTTAAACATAGCATTGTTAAACGTATTTTGGTATTTAAACAGTAGCTATAGGCATATTTTTATCCCCTAAAAATTTTTCATCTGTTCGGATTTCCTAGCTGAAAGCCAGGTGATCCGAAAATTATAGGGATCAAAACTTACCTTTTCGAAAATTTCAGCCAGAAAAAAGGCTCCCGAAAATTTTAGGTGACCTTTTTAGGGTAAAAATCGGTTAAAAATGAGCAATTATACCTTTTTTAGATGTACGCAAATCCTAGGAGAGGCAGGCAAGCAAGAAATTTTAAAACAAATGTTTCGAAAATTCTAGATCTCAAATCGTCTTTCGAACAGATATTTTCCGAAAATTGACGTTGGGTGCCCCTGCTTAATATTCAGCTCTTAGCGATATTGCGTGAGCTAGATGTTTTGCCAATTTTTTGAGTAAGAACTAGTCAACAGAATCCTATGGTTGATGTTTTTGAAGGTAAGAAAAGATTTCAAACTATTTTAACTGCGTTTTCCGATTTACTTTTATAGCAGAATGTTTTCGTTTTCAACAACAGTTTACTCGAGTAGAGGATGCCATTTTGTTAACTCAGCATTTCCTTACAAGGGGAATTCAGTTGCCTAGAAATCAAAGTTAATTTATGATGAAAGAAGATGAAAACAAATGTTTGCGAAAATTCTTCATTTCAAATAACCAAGGCAGAGAAAAGACGCCTTGCCTCCCTCAACCGCTAGCCGCCATTTAATGCACTTGCGAAGAGCAGAACAGGAAAGCTTTTAATTAAAGGGGTTGTGTCACCGCAGTCCAGTTTCTTTTGTTTAATTTTGCGAATTACTCGCCTTCAATCGCTATAGAACTTAAAATATGCAATTAATTACACGTAAATGACAAAATCAGAGATCCGAGACAAACAAATATGTCTCCTGAGCATTGTTTTTGAAGTTGCAAGCAGCAGGGACCAACTTTGAAAAACTGTTAGGCTGAACAGTTTTCAAAAATCCTAATTTCAATCCGATTCAATCTTCTTCAGTTTTGCCCATCCGTGGCATCTGTTGTTTCTGTTATGTTATATTAACCTTCCTTTAAAGTTTTAAGTGGTTATTTTTATGTTTCTCTTAATTTAACAGGCATTTTGTAATTTCCTAATTTGGCTGAATTTCGTGACACAGCTCCTTTAACTTGGCGTGTTGACAGAATTTCAAAGAATAATTGTTGTTGATATTTTTTTTGCTTTGTATCAGGTATAGTAGGTGGAGAGCACTACACTCACCCTGGTGGTGGAGCGAACTACCTCTGCCTTCCACACAATCCAAAGTATGACGAGTACAAAGATGGCCATCAGAGCTCCGGATACATGTACGGCACTGAGTATGAAGTAAATGATCGCGACGGAAAACAGAGAAATCTTCACGATCATGAAGCACCATGCGTTGTCTGCTTCGCCAAATCACGTGGCTCGATGCTGATGATGCCTGCCAGGAATGACTGTCCTTCTGGATGGACCGAGGAGTATCATGGGTACCTGATGACTGCATATTATAACCACAAGCATTCAACCGATTTCATCTGTGTTGACGGGGATTCAGAGTTTGTTCCTGGTACCCATGCAAACAAGAATGGTGCTTTGCTGTACCCTGTGGAAGGTGTTTGTGGCTCACTCCCATGTCTTCCTTATGTCAACGGGCGAGAGTTGACATGCGCTGTGTGCACCAAATGACGGGAAGATACCTGTCACTGTGGCATGGCTACCATAGCGATGAGCGACGAAAACCAAAACCTAATGGTTAAATCAGTATATATACTTTTAACTAGACTTTAAACACACTGCGTTATCTGTTCTGCCGGCACTATAAGGCGCCAGAAAAGTTCGCTGTAGATTAATACGGGATGTAAGCAATAACAATTAAAATAACGTGAAAACATTGATAAAAAAATGTGTTTCTTTACTTCGTTTTTCAACCGATTCCAAGCCGAAATCAGTAAAAAAATCCTTGTCAGCCAGCAAGTAGCAAAGCCAATCTTTGATGGCCCATGTAAACTTTAAATAAGTCCCTGTTTTTGGAGTCCGTGAAAGGAAGAGGGCATACAAGAGAGAAGAGAATTTCCTCACCAGATTTTAGCTCGCCTAACAGGCGTTATTTGGCGGTGACGAGATAGAGGCGCGAAGCGCGTGGCAAGGGGACACGAATTCTCGGGGAATCTGTCCGTCTGATTTGTCTTCATAAAGCCTATAAGGCGTCTGCGCGCTGCCTGTGAACTGTGATCCCAGGTTTGTCCAGTACACCTCACACTGCGCTCGCAATTTACGCGCATGATCAATATATTTGATTGCACCTGGTAGGTAGACCGCGAGCGGTGGTCCTTCTTTCCACAGGGCCACGCGCAGCAAGTGAAAAAGTAGAATTACTGTGATTCAAAAGAAAAATAAGAGACTGCTCGCAGTCTACCTGGTAGGGGACGGGACGGCGAATTTTGTAAAAACAGGTTATCAAATTGTTTTCAGGCGAGCTCTTGCGATGGCTACTCAATGGACAGCTAACAAATGCGAGATTATATCACTATATTTTTAGCCCATTAAGCCCTGAAAGTGATGAACAACAAAGTTCTCTCGGAATACCTATTTTTTTTACACATTGGTGACGAGAATAAAGGACATGATCAAAAACAATAAACTTAATTAAAACTTCAACAAATTCTCCCACTAATAACGACAACTTTTATTTAAACACATGCAGTTAAAATTGAAGCTAATACAGTTTATGGGGCCGTGTACATATTAATTAAAAACATGCTTATGAAAATACATAATTGCAATTAAAAAATCTATACCTAAAAAGTAAAAAAAGTACTCAATTCTTGTGTTATCCAAAAAATATAAATGTACCAGTATTATTATATTGATTATTAGTCAATGAAAGACGAAATTACTGTCATTGAACATATTCATTGCAAGGAGTGATTCAGCTGAGAAATTGAGATTTTTGAGGGCATGAGAGTTTATGGCCATTTTAGCGTAGGCTCTTGTGTCAGCCAGGGAGGGATCTAACAAGTTCCAAGCATGGCATCCTCTGTACGAGATGGAGTTCTTTATGTACTACGGTTCGAACACTCACGCGATGGTGATGACGAAAGTTGTACTTGTTCTCTCGCCTCTGGATTAAATGTTCTAAGCAGGGTTCTAAGCATGATGTTAAAGTGGCTATCTTAATGTTAAAGTGGCTATCTCGGCCTTGTACATGTCAAATAACAAGTCCCACTTGATTGATTTTCGAACGTCTAGAGAGTGTAAGTCTCGAGGCAGGTTATATATGACTCAAGCAGCTCTTCTATGTATAGATTCCAAAGCATTGAATTCATTCTTATTGGTGGCACACCCCCAATTGGTAGCGCAAGACCGCTTATTTGTAGCGTAAGACCACTTATTCTATAGAAAACGTGTAGGGACAACAAATGGATAAAGTATGGAATATTTTTTGAAGGAAGGATAGCTACCATACTTCTGTTTCGCACTGTTAAAGATGTTAAAGTTATCTCGTTTTAGAAGTAACCCTTCTGTCGGTGGAAATTGCACCGAGGTCCGTGAAAGGAAAGGAAATTTTACATGAATTTTACATTCAAGTTATAAATTGCTCAATGAAATTTCTAAGTGAAAGCAGCAAGCTTTGTGAGGTCAATATTATCGGTAAAAATGTCTGGTTTATTCAGCCGGATTCCTCCTCCTTTACTATTTTCACTCAACTCGAAACACTACTCGATAACTTCAAGTCTAATTTTTTTTAGACAAAGGGGAAACAATTGAGGTAAGATTTTACAAACAGCCTAGTTTAACAGTCGTTAAAGTTTTTATAAACTCAAGATTAAATGATATCTTTTCGTTTTTTCGTGGGCATTCAGGTTTGGGCTCAACTTATTCCTGAACCATGAGAGGATAACCGTGTAATTGTGAGTATATAAATTGACTTTCAGATACAATAGAAAGGGACTTTTATAGCTAGTGGAAAACAGCATAAACTTTTCAGCTTGAGCGAGCCAAAGCGAATACAATGAATCAAAACTGTGTCGATGTTGTGGTTCAAAGTTTTCTTTACGTTGATAATTTTCCAAACAGCTTAAAGTTCGTCACAATATGAATCAGCTATAGTAACTTCATACTTAGGAAGGAAGGTGGGCAGATGTTTACCAGATCCTTATACTGATACACTTTTACTTAGATCGATTGTGGTCATCAGTTTAAGGGAAAGGAAGGAAAAATAACAGCTGATTGAAAAATGTGCCAAGGAAAAAACATGTCAAGGAAAAATTGAGCTTAGGTAGAAAATTATTTTTCAAGTGGAGAAATAAAGTGTGGTCGGGGGCTGAGTGTGAAAATAATGTGAAAGCATTGTCAGTCCCAAGCACTGATGTTGTTTATTAATTATTTCAACAGCAAAAATGTTTTTGCATGTACCAATTAAATATTCGGGTTGTGAATTCTAAATCATTCTTAATAATATAGAACACCCTTAAGTTCTAAACATTGCATTCATGACTTTCAAGACATGAATTTAGATGTTAGAGCTGCAGATTCCAACTTCAATCAGGCAGAAATTTGAGATAATAATTCTGGCAGGCATTAAAGTAAGCAAGGTTTTATTCCTCTAGATCAAAACCTTGACTGTCCCTCAAAGACTTTTGTCATCTGTTATGAAACCAATTGTTTTTCCCTATATCCTCTACCAGTAAAGATAATAAATTTGTCATTAGCATATGCATACTTTGTTAATTAGTTTCAGAGCAGCCTTTCCAATGCTGAGTATCTAACATTCAACTTGAGGAGCTGGGAAACATCTTAAAAAAAAAAACAAGGAACAGGAGTTATCTCTAGAAATGTTGTAACTTAAAGTACAAAACATTTATATGGCAGCTCATAATAATATTGTTATTGTTGTTGGATTACAAAAATAACTCGCCGTCCCAACTGGGCTAGCCTGTGTCGCAGGACACTCTAAACCGCCTGGATAACTAACAGTGTGTATATAGGGTGTAGTTGCCGAGTTATACTAAATGGATTGTAGTAACAGAGGAAGATCATTTCCAGGATTCTAATCCCTAGTGCCCCGGAGAGACAGAGAACGAAAAATCAAAAATTTTCTTGAGAGGAATATGATTTATACGAAAGAAAAGAGCCGATCTTGATCAATTCCCTCCGGTCTTTGAACATTACACGTGGCCATGTCCTTCAAAGGTAAATTCCGCTGTTAGTATTAAGCCTAGTTTCTGTAGTTTGATTCAGGTGCCTTTAATTCAGCAAATACAGGGAATCCTGCTTCAACCCAAGAGAGGATTTTACCTTCGACAGCCGCACCAAAGTTGAGTCTTCTCAGAGTAAATTTTAGATCCGTTTACACACAAAAGAACTCCGACTCATTAATACTCGTTCAAAGCTGTGTTAATTGAATGATTTTCTTTGTTTGCCACTTAGCCGAGATGAATCATGTCAATGACTGTGTTTTTAAACACAGCTTGTTGCTTAAAAGCAACAAGCTCTCTCTCTCTCTGGGGTAAATCATGAAAGAGGCCTTCAAAGGAGGGTATGCTGTGGCTTTGTTTGTCATTCCTGAAGCTGCCTGCTGTCGCCTTGTAGGTTAGGAAAAAATATCGCTGTCCCCGAAAGTCGCTAGGGCAGAAAGTCGCTGTCGATTGGCATAAATTTCTGTGATACTCAATTTCAGATTTACGGCAGATATACAAAAGTCAGGATAAAGAGCCACAACAGAACAAATTCTACTCTAAACTTTCTCCCGCGGTGAATGAAAAGTTACGGACATGCATTCTCGCCCGAGCCCGAATGGAGAGCTTGAAACCTCACAATCAAAAAAAAAATTTCCGGGGCTCAAATAAATAAACAACATGCAAATTTAGTAACAGATTTTACATTATATAGTGGCTGGCAGAAGTAAAGATATACTCGGTACGGATTCCAAAACTTAACTTAACCTCCACTTTCAAACGCTACCGGCCGGATTCAGATTGGGTCAGGCTTCTTGTGTAAAAAAAATGCTTCATCTTGCTATGAAACACTGAGTTTGTCCGTAAGTGATGTCTCCAAACTTAATATGACTATACCGATACTATAGTAGACTGTTTACTCATTGCCTTGCATATTTAAGTCTGTTGCAAGCTCACATCCGCCTTCCGATGGCCTTAGATGTTACGTCACAAGGGGGAAAAATTATCGGCAATGGGGTTTTGACATCAGCGTGTTTCTTTTTCAGGACAACATATGCAGAACTCCGGAAAGGGACGAGTTGGACCGCCTGGCCCTCCTGGGAAACAGGGATTGGTTGGAACTCCTGGGAAACAGGGACCTGCTGGTATTCCTGGGAAACAGGGACCTGCTGGTGCTTCTGGGAAACAGGGACCTGCTGGTGCTCCTGGGAAATCAGGACCAATTGGACCAAAAGGATCAAAAGGTATCAAGGACAAACGACATAGAGATCAAGGGAAAAACTGAACCTTTTCTGACACCAACTGTGAATGCAGGAAAAAGAGCAAAAGAAACTCCCCTTTCAACATACCAACATTTACAAGTTAGCCACTGACCCGGCTAGCTGTAAACAATAACTTCCATTAATCGAATTTCAGCTAAAATCTTGTTTCTTTTTTATGGTGTTTTTGAGTCTTTTGCAAGCCGGCCATTTTTCAACCGTTATATGCTTGATTTATAATCGTCAGAATCCCATAGGAAAAAATAGTCTCATGACAGCTCCAATTTTGAGCCAAATGATGTAATAAGTCGAGATTGAGTGCTTGGGGTCTTTTTATACTTCTAAGGAGAACAGGGAAAACAAGGAACCAACAAGTCATTCCCAGGCCCTCCTGGTCCTAAAGGAGACCAGGGAGCAGTTGGAAAGACTGGAGCCCAGGGACCACAGGGTGCAAAAGGAGAAAAGGGACAGGATGGAGCTGGGACAACAGGAGTGAAGTACGTTCGCTGGGGAAGGACCACATGTCCTAGTGGTGCGCAGATAGTTTATAAAGGTAAGCGAAAAGGAGCTGACATGATAGTTACTATTACTCCTATGGTCCTAAAGACAGAAAGAGTGATAACCTGTGCGAAAAGAAGCTTACATGATAGTTACTATTATGCCATGATTCTAAATACAGAAAGAGTGATAAGCTTAGGATTTTTATGCCACTTATTCTGAGTCATTTTTAAAAGTGGCAACTATGAAATTTCTCTAAGCTTGTTACTTTTACTGGTCAATGACCCGGGCATCTCTTCAAGTTATCTTTTTGTTGCATCTTTCCAGCAGTGTAACTGGTTCGTGCATAAGACAGAGTGAAATCTGGGTATGAGAAAACGCCCTTGTTTTTCCCAACAATGCGCGCTCTCACGGCATTGTTTACGTCGAGGTCACATGAAACTGTATCCCGCATAAAGTTTTTTTTACAGTCTATGTCGTCGATCGGATCCTTGAACATTGAATAATCACCCATGAAGCATAAATGATTACCGCTTGCTGAAATGTATTTTCATAAATTTGTAGTCAAATACGCTTTTCTTTTCAGTGATCAAAAGAAATAGGCAGACAATGAGTAGAGTATTGTATTAAATTTTTGCCTAAAAATGTTACAGCCGTTTGTTGTTTGTGGTCTTAGTGTTTAAGCAATCTGATTAGTTTCTTATCTTTGACAATCCAGCAATTTTCACCTCCTAGCGATAATTGCGTGAACTAGGTGTTTTTCCAATTTTCTGTGTAAGAACTAATCAACAGAATCCTAGGGTTGATGTTTTTGAAAGTAAGAAAGGATTTCAAATTGTTTTAATTGCGTTTTCCGATTTACTTTGGCATAATGTTTTTCGCTTGCAATAACAGCTCACTAGAGTAAATGAGGCCATTTTGTTAACTCAGCATTTCCTAACAAGAGGAATTCAGTTGCCTAGAAATCAAAGTTAATTTTTGACAAAAGAAAATGAAAGCAAATGCTTGCGAAAATTCTTCATTTCAAATAACCAGGACAGAGAAAAGACGCCTTGCCTAGGCCTCCCTCAACCGCTAGCCGCCATTTAATGCACTTGCGAAGAGCGGAAAGGAAAGTTTGGCTAGTTGACAGAATTTCCAAGAATAATTGTTAATAAATTTTTTTCCTTGTATCAGGTATAATGGGTGGAGAACTTTACAATCACCATGGTGGTGGAGCGAACTACCTCTGCCTTCCACACAATCCAAAGTATGACAAGTACAAAGATGGCCATCAGATGGCTGGATACGTGTACGGCACTGAATATGAAGTGCATCAGTACAGCGGTAACCCTTTTTAAGAGAAATCTCCACGATCATGAAGCAACATGTGTTGTCTGCTTCGTCAAGTCACGTGGCTCGATGCTGATGATGCCTGCCAGGAATGATTGTCCATCTGGATGGACCGAGGAGTATCATGGGTACCTGATGACAGAAAATCATGGACACAAGCATTCAAGTGATTTCATCTGTGTTGACGAGGATCCGGAGTATGTTCCTGGTAGCAATGCCAACAAGGATGGTGCTTTGCTGTACCCTGTGGAAGGTGTTTGTGGCTCACTCCCATGTCTTCCTTATGTCAGCGGTCGAGAGTTGACATGCGCTGTGTGCACCAAGTGACGGGAAGATACCTTTTACAGTGGCATGGCCACCATGCTGATGAGCTACGAAAACCAAATAATAATGGTTAAATCAGTATATACTTTAAACTAGACTTAAGCCACACTGCGTTATCTGTTCTGCTGGCACTATAAGGCGCCAGAAAAGTCAGCTGTAGATTAATACGGGATGTAAGCAATAACAATTAAAATAAGGTGAAAACATTGATAAAAAATGTGTTTCTTTACTTCAAGTTTATAAAACCGTGATTCCAAGAAATCGGTACAAATGCCCTGGCTGACAGCAACTAGCAAAAGCCAATCTTCGATGGCCGATGTAAACTTTAAACAAGTCCCTATTTTTGAGTCCAATGAAAGGAAGAAGGCATACAAGAGAAGTGAATTTCCTCACCAGATTGTAGATCGCCAAAACTTTGTTATTTACCTTTGAAAAGATCAAAGTGCGAAGCGCGAGGCAAGGGGACACGGATTCTCGGGGAAACTGTCTTTATAAAGCCTACTAGCAGTAATCGTACGTAGATTATAGTGTGTCGCCTTTCTCCATAAAGCATCTTAATCCTTTTTATCCTACACTGAGTTATGGGGAGTTGATTTCTCAAACGAAGTCAGTTTCGTAAGAAATCGTCTGGTTTTCCATTCCTGAATCAAACCTCTTCGGCGGAACTTTTGCATAGTACTATTTATTTGTAAGGCAAACATACTAATTGGCGCATGGCGCGCTCGGATGCTATTTTGACGTTTCAAGATGACGCAGATTTGGAACCGACACACCAACAACCTCTTTTCTCGATTTCTCGCGCTTGGAACATGCACAGGCCGCCCACGAACACACAGAATAGCCAACGACTCTCCTTCCTCGACGCAATATGATGTCCGCGCTGCCTGTGAACTATGATCCCAGGTTTGTCGAGTACCGCCTCACACCGCGCTCGCAATTTACTCGCATGATCAATATATTTGATTGCACCTGGTAGATAGACCAGACTGGTCCTTCTTTCCTCAGGGCCGCGCGTGGCGAGTAAAAAATTTTGTAAAAACAGATTATCAAGTTGTTGTCCGGCGAGCTCTTGCGATGGCTACTCAATGGAAGAACAGCTAACAAATGCGAGATTATGTCACTATATTTTTAACCCATTAATTAAGCCCTGAGAGTGACAAATCTTGGAATCAGGGAGGACGGAGGATTTTGTGATAGAGGGGGCCTAGAGATATAGTGTAGAGTGGCAATATGGGCGCGAAAGCGCCATCAGGTTTGCGAACGGCGCACTTTTCTACGAAGTTTCGGGCGCATGCTCCTCCAGGAAAATTTTTGAGATTGAAGTTCTCTGAGTTGCAATCTAGTGCATTCTGGACGCTTGAATTTAGCAAATGTCTGGATTCCATATTGAACATGTAATGCTGAAATATTTAACAAGCCACAGGTGTGGTTGTGTTCAAAGAAACAAACAGTAAAAATTGAAGTTATAACACTCTGATTACATGATCTGTCAAATGACATTTACTCTGTGACGTTACCATGGGCATGACTTTGAACGGCTTACGTGTCCGTAGACGCTTTGCTTGCTCAAATGATGACATTGATATGTAATCGCCAGACAAAATGGATCTCTCGAGAACTTCCGATAGTGACGAATCATTTTCAGGAGGCTCGGAAATATCGCATGAATCACTAGGTGAGAGGAAGGTTAGTGCGCTTATCTGGTCACTTACAGTCACGCGAATTTGGCTCATTTTCCCATCCCGCGAGTAATTTGCCTTAGCAGTGATTACGTCGTTCGCCAAGTTTAGTGCAAAGATCCTACACTTAATAGGACAACATTGCCTCAGTTACAGCAAATGTGGAATTGTGTACGAACGGGAATGTGGTATGATGGATCTCTCATTTCTCCACGCAGATCCCGCGGGAACAATAACGGGAAATCCCTTGATGTGTAAGGTGCTTCGATGAGCTTGCTATGCAACAAAAACGGAGTAGTTTTTCTCGCAGACGGTTAACTTAACGAATAAAGTACCGCAGAGGAAAGAAACGTCGGTTAACGACGGTTAACAACGGTTAACAACTTTTCTGAAGAAAAACAACAGTTAGACTATCAGTTTCCTTTAATATATTCTGTTAACCGCTGTTAACCGTTGTTAACCGTTGGAATAAACATGTGCGTGCCTGTTAATCGTTTATTTCAAGCGTTTACGGTGCTTTCAAGCATTTTCCGTAGTATATAGAACCTTTTTGTTGATTTTCAAGCATTAAAAAGACCTTTTTACTCAAGGGAAAACTTTTTGACACTGGTGTAATTGTCATGAAATGCGCTATTTTTTGCTACAAGAGAACTGCCATCGCGTGACAACATGTTTTCGCTGTATTTGTGATCAAAGAGGCATTGCTTTCCCTACACATCCTATTTCTACCCATTTTGGAAGTTCTTCATTAATATTTGTTCTTTTGGCCTTGGTTGTCATAGAAGAATTAACGGTTTTATCGGCATGGATTCCATTATTTTGTCAAGTAGATAATCTGGTATATATGTTGTAAATTGTTCTAATTACACACTCAGTAAACGCGGGTATTGTTAACTCGGTGAAGCTTACTTTTCCAGTTCTACTCTAACTACATGGAGAAAGTTGTCACTGCAGCTAAGTATCACTACCTCTAAGGGTTATTTTCAACTGCTCCGCCGCATTCTTGAGTCCTCGTGTATGACCTGCACACCACGCACTATTATTTTTGAACAGGACAGTTGTGCTGCGCAAATATAATAAATACCCAGTCTTATCTAATTTATTCGACATGTAAGCACAATTAACGTTGGTAAAAAGGCCGGAGGTAAGGCTCCTATTAAGATATCATACTCGTGACACACAGTAACTCCTTAACAGTGGCCACTGTACTGTCGCAATTTGTAATAATCATCGCACTTTGTAATACCTGTCGCAATTTGTAATAAATCCATCGCACTTTGTAATACCTGTCGTAATTTGTAATAAACCGTGTCGCACTTTGTAATAAAAAAGCTGTCGCAATTTGTAATAACGGTCCATCGCACTTTGTAATAAACTAAGCTGTCGCAATTTGTAATAATTCCATCGCACTTTGTAATAATTTTTTGAGAGTGATTCAACTTACTTCGTTAACATTAATATAATGCCAAAATATGCGTGGTACCTCATAAACAAAGATCATGACGTCTGCTAGCTCGTAACATCTCCGTTCATTCAGACCATTTGACTTTATTCACAGTCCTAAACACTTTTTAAAATTAATGTTGATTAGTTATCTGACTTACGAAATGCTGTATTCTTAAACCTTGCTATTATACTACTGTAGATGGTTTGCATTCAATGGTTACCCGGCCGGTGTATTTCCTTATATGGTCAATACGAAGATGTGCCTCTGGACAAAGCATTGTCAGAGTACAGGATCTAGACACACTGGACACAAACGAGCCATTATTAAAAAGCATTTAATTTCCACAAATCGTAACATCCATCCTACGTCATTCGAATAAGGACACCAGGAAGCTCAAGCTTTCCTGCTAGATCTTATAATAGGTCGACACAGCACGTGGTGCACCGTCCTTGTCTAACACGCAATCTTAAAGAAGTAGTAGTGGCTTCCATATTTTGGCCAACTTAATCAAACGAGGCCTCAAGATTCAAAATGTTTACTGCAAATAAACAAAAAAACCTCAGCAGTGGCAAACCGTCGAACCACAACAGAAACATAAACACAAAATCCAATTAGTCGCTGGCCAATACCTTCGTATGTATCTGTTTTTATAAAACTTAGTTGGTCTTACACTGAGCAGGCTGGCCATTTGGTCCTTTATTCTCACTTGATTTGGTCCCATATCGGAACAAAAGGAGTACTCATTCTATCTTTAAACAATGTTTTTTATATGGAGTCCTCTAAAGCAAATACCGTGGGGACAGTAAAAAATTCTATGTCCCTACGTATATACAACTCGTAAGACCTTGCAATTCTTCCGAGCGTGTTCAGAATTACTTTTTTTCCCACAAAATGGAAAGGACGGAATAAACCATCCATTACTACTTGAATTACTCTTTCTAAGGATCAAACCAAAGACATAAGGCCAACAAGGTAAAAAAAAAAATACCCTATTAAAGGCTCGAGATCCTCAAAAACCATACCCTATCAGGCGGTACTTACCTATCCAGCCCATCGATATATGGGATTATCCCCGCCTCCCCGAAGACTTCACGTGTCACGTGGCAAACAAATATGGATTTCGTAGACGAATGCCAGGTAATTCATGGATTTTCTGGTTTTAGATGTTGCTTTTGTTATTTAAATATTTTAAATTTAAACATGAGTCATATCTTTTTTGGTGATATGTCATAAGAAGTTTCATGTCTTTCATAAAAGCGATTCTAGTTGGTCTCGTGATTAATCAAGGCAGAAAAATTTATAGCGGAAGACATGCATGTTTGACCAAAGAAAATGTTACGGAGATGTTACGTGCTAGCAGAGGTCATCATCCTTATTTATAAAGTACCATACATATTTTGGCATTATATTAATGTTGAATCACTCTCAAGTTGAATCATTCTCACAAAAGTATTACAAAGTGCGATGCAATTATTACAAATTGCGACAGCTTAGTTTATTACAAAGTGCGATGGACCGTTATTACAAATTGCGACAGCTTTTTTATTACAAAGTGCGACACGGTTTATTACAAATTACGACAGGTATTACAAAGTGCGATGGATTTATTACAAATTGCGACAGGTATTACAAAGTGCGATGATTATTACAAATTGCGACAGTACAGCCACCAACCACAATTAATTTCAATACTTTTTCTGTAAAGAGCATGATTTCTTTCTCATTTAGGTATAAGGTTTCTAATTTATGGCTAAATTTCTAAGTGCATAATTAATGCGTCCTAATTGTTTTTATGACACCTTCTTTCGTAGTCACAAAACTTTAGACAAGTACAACATCTGTGCAAAAAATCAATACCCTCCGACCTTACATTGCGAAGTTACAGCGATTTGAACAACTGGCCTTCAAAGACAACCCCGGACAAAACTGTTGAGACAATTCCATCTATTTTCTAACTTTTGCGCCCTACTCCCGTCTCCCCTAAACACAAAAAGTAAACCCCCTCCCCACCCCCTATTCAAAGTTGCCTTGGTCTAAAAACCAACGTGTATAATTGTCATGCTATCCTAAACAACTTTGGATAAGGGGAGGGGGGAAATCGGGCATTCATTTGGCGGCGGTTTCAGTTTTTGCCGGGATGACAGGAAAAAATAGGCATTTTCGCGATTTGTCTCAACAGGTTTTGTCCGGGGTTGTAGCAGGGGCCGAAGGGATTGCGGCGAGAGCACAATCTCCCGGCAAAGGCGGCAACGTTGGCTGTATTATACTAGAAGACGTCTTAGACATCCAGAAACATTAAACGTCGCACTGTTAAATGCGTCGTTAAGTGCGTCCCGTTTTTATACTAGACGTCCTAAATGTCTGAGACGACTAATTCATCTGTTAAGTGCGTCGATCGGACGCACTTAACTTCAGACGTTTTATTCGTCTGACGTTTAATGCGCCTGCCTTATTTCACGTATTTTTACTAGAAGTCTAAGTTGTCTAAGACGTCTTAAACGTCTCAGACGTATTAGACGTCCTCTAATATAAATACGGCTAATGTTTCCCTGAAAAATTGTCAAATCCAGTTTGTTTGAGGAGGTCATTGGTCATTTGCGACTAAAATTGTAGGCTTCGAACACAGATTCTTTTCTTATTTGCAATGTTTATTAAAGAAAATATATTAAAGTAACAAAGCTCGAAGCACCAGTCGACACACGTTTACTAAAGCAAAAAAATTCCCGGACAAAAGGAGGGGGGGCGGCCCCCTGGGCCCACTCCTTAATCTGCCAGTGGGAATATCAACGTTTTACACACTGTTGACGAGAATTAAGTACATGATCAAACACAATAAAACTAATTAAAACTTCAACAAATTCTCCCACTAATAACAATAACTTTTATTCAAACACGGTTAAAATTAAAGCTAATACAGCTTCGAAACACGGAACACTTACGCGATGGTGATATGACACAAGTCGCCCCCACAAGTCGTACTTGTTCTGTCCCCTCTGGATAATTAGACGTTCTAAGGAGGATGGAGTTATGCGATGAAATATTTTATAAATTAAAGTGGCTATCTTGGTCATGTACATGTCAAATAACGAGTCTCACTTGACTGATTTTCGAACGTCTACAGAGGGTAAGTAGCGGGGCAGTTTATATATGACTTTAGCAGCTCTGCAATAATGTTATAGATTCCACAACATTTTTTATAATATTCTTTTTGTTGGTGGTACACCCCCAAATTGGTAGCGCAAGACCGCTTATTATTTGTTGCGTAAGACCACTTATTCTATAGAAAACGTGTAGAGACAACAAATGGATAAAGTATGGAATATTTTTTGAGGGAAGGATAGCTACCATACTTTACTTTGCAGTTTGGGATTTGTAGGGATCGGCGTTTTCTCCATGAAAATTTTACACAAACTAGTGCCCAGTTTACTACTCGCCCAGTGCGAATCCCTTGTTTTTGGGAAGCCATGATGTCCCATCGTGATCGAGCAATCATTTTCTTCATTTTTGCACTGTTAAACTTATCTCCTTTTAGCAGTAGCCCTTTGGTCGGTGGAAATTGCCCCAAGGTTAGTGAAATGAAAGGAAATTTTACATGAAACATGAATTCAGTTTACATTCAAGGTATTGCTCTCTGAAATTTCTTCGTGAAATCAGGAAGCTAATTTGTGAGGTTAATGTTATCGGGAAAAATGTCTGGTTTATTCAGATTTGAAGTCTCTTTTATTATTTTCACTCAAGCACGAGGCACTACTCGATAACTTCAAGTCTAATTATTTTTTAGACAAAGGGGAAACAATTGAGGTAAGATTTTACAAACAAATTGACGGTTCTTAGTATAAAGTGTTTGAAGCGTTTAACAGTCGTTAATGTTTTTATAAACTCAAGATTAAATGATATCTTTTCGTTTTTTCGTGGGCATTCAGGTTTGGGCTCAACTTATTCCTGAACCATGGGAGGATAATCGTGAAATTGTGAGTATAAAACTTACAGATACAATAGTTACGTGGAAAACAACAAAAACTTTACAGCTAGAGCGAGCCATAGAGCAAAAACAGTCTGAATCACAACTGTGTAGATGTTGTGGTTCAAAGTTTCCTTTGCTTTGATAATTTTGAAAACAGCTTAAAGTTTGCTACAAAATGTATCAACTATATTGAGTTATGTGAGAAATTACATTATTTTGACGTACATTGAAAGAGAGGCGCTGTGATAGGGCCAAAAAGCTTGAGAGTAGTGACCCTTTTTCTCGACAAAAACAAAAAATTGTGCACTCATTTCAGTTTTTGATTGTGTGAATCAGGTTCTGAGGAACGGCCTATGTAATCCTCCCCCCTTAAAACCAATGTTAACACTAACTTCATACTTAGGAAGGAGAGGTGGGCAGATGTTTACCAGAACCTTATACACTTTGACTCAGATCGATTGTTGTCATCAATCTAAGGAAAAAGAAAGGAAAAATAACACCTGATTGAAAAATGTTACCTGCCAAGGAAAAATTGAGCTAAGGCAGAAAATTATTTTTTAAGTGGAGAAATAAAGTATTGTCGTCTGGTGTTGAGTGTCCAAATATCCGGAAGCATTGTCAGTCGCAAGGGCCGATGTTGTTTATTAATTATTTCAGCAATATAGTTGTTATGCAACAATAAACTATTGGGTTTAATTTGTGAATTGTAAATCATCCTGTACCTGAACTGAATCACAGAGGTTTGTCATCTGATATGAAACCAATTGTTTTCTCCTATATCCTCTACCAGTAAAGATGATAAAACTGTCATTAGAATATACATACTTTGTTAATTATTTCAGGGCAGCCTTTCAAATACTGAGTATCTAACATTCAACTTGAGAAGCTGGGAAACATCTTCAGAAAAACAAGGAATAGGAGTTATCTCTAGAAATGTTGTAAGTTGAAGTCAATAAGATTCTTATGCTAGTATAATAATGATAATATTATTATTATTATTGCTGTTGGAGTATTTCTGGAATGGTAGTATTGTAAAAAAAAAGGTATCAGGAGTGAGGCAACAAAATTACAGCGTGGAAGTTATAATTAGTTTGTAGGCTCCTCAAGTGTCAAACCAAATTCAACACTCCCAATGTTAATATATGTCAGACATTTACCATTTTAAAATGATTAATTATTGTCCATTGCCTCAAGGTTGCAAACTGGCCTTTGTTTAAGGAGATTGCAATTTTTTTTGGCTTTTAATGCTTGGAAGGTGATCACGCCAATATTTTTAAGGCTGTGGCTTAATTGCCCTATTTTTGACAGGATATGCCTTAATAATTTGATCTTTCAGACAGCTGCTGTCGAGGAAAAACAAAAGCAAATAGGAAACAAAAAAGTCAAGGCAACTGAAGGGTATAGGAATACAGTAAATGAATAAATTATTTTAATGAAAATGTTATGACAGGCTGTTATGGAATATTTAAGAATGATTTAGGCATAAGGTTGTCTTAGGGTGTTAAAAGTCAGAACTAGCCAACTAAACCAGTCTTTTTGAGTGCTCGAGAGTTTTTGCTAAAAATCATCACTGCCCTGCATCCTGTTCAGGAAAGACGCATGACCGTATTTGGCTGATTGGCAGTGGGATTCTCTTTATAACTGGACTGACTTGGCTACTATCTAGTATTAAGTAATAGTAACTCCTCTATGCATTAGAAATAACCATTGAAAGCTGGGTATCTAAAGTTGATCACGAATGACTGTCTCAACGAAGGATACCTATACATTACCCTGCTTATTGATCATTCATCAACTGTTGCAACCACTGTACAGTAATGTGAAAAGCAAGGGTATCCGTCATTCCCATGGTGGGGCGCTACCTATTATGGCCTAGACGGGAAGTATTAAGTCCTAGAGTTAGCTTGGATAATTTAGTTTTCCCTACCTATGGTACTGAAACCTAACGTGATTGTTCTAACCTTCCAGTGATATCAAAATTAATAAATATTCATCAGAATTATTTTCCAATGTCTCATCAGCTTAAATGAAACACCGGGTAATGTTTTGTTTACAATCAAAGCATTTTCTGAAGATCCAAGCTGCATCACTTTAAAAGCTGTAAGTAACAAGTCAGGTAGCCTAGCTACAGTTCATAGAAACCCAGCTGTGAAATTGATATCAGTGACTGAAAAAAATTGAGCTCATTATATATGCAGTGACATTAATCACTATTGTGAAAATTATGATGACAAGGATGATTATTATACTGATAACAGTGTTAGTTAAATAAATTATGTTTTTTTCCTGGAAAGGAGTTAATTCTGATCAAACTCACACCCAAACATTTACATAGGAAAAGGGGATTTGTATTGGAAAATAGTCAACTGTAATCAATTCTTATGCTGTACAGGTTACATAGTTGATTGTGGCCCTGTATACTTTTCCAGCCCCACTTAATTTTTTTATGTACAAAAAGCCCTGTTGTCTGTCTGTATTTTTCAACACAAAATATTTGACAGGCATGTGCAAGCTGTCTTAATTTAATAGGCAGTTTCATGGAAAGAAAGAGCATGCATTGTTTCTAAATTGTCAATTCTTTAGAATCTTTCTAGCATTTAATACTCGTAAGATTCTATGGTAGTTTCTACTACTTGTGGTTTATACTACTTTTACTTGACAGTCTGCTTCTTTAAAGTTTATAAGTTACCTTTTTAAGCCCTGTGGCTTCCTTTTTCATGCTTGCCTGTCTGGCTTTTGTGTCGTGCTTGTGTAGTAGAAAAGTTATCTTTTATCCAGTAGGGTTAAAAACATACCATCTTAACGATTTAGAATTGCCTTTCATGGTTGAAATGTCCTCTTGGTTTTATTTTCTGCACTGCTGATAATTATATAGTTTTATATTGCATTGCATCGGTACCTTAAAAAATGTGTTTGGTTGATTTCCATAAAGGAAACAAACATAACCATTGGATGTCCTGTGAATCGACACATGCTTCCTCGGGGGTGAGTAGAAATGACCCACGTTAGTTATAATTTGTCAGTTTCCAACAAAGAAAATACTACTACCACTTATAACAATGACAATGATAATAACAATAATGATAATAATAATAACAAATTATTATCTATTATTAACAGCAATGATAATGATGATAATAATGATAATGATAATAATTATAATAGTAATGATAATAATAATGATAATAATAATAATAGTAATGATAGTAATAACAATGATAATAATAATGATAATGATGATAATAATAATAAAAATAATAAAGAACTACACAGTGCAGAAAAAAAGTAGAGCAAGTTAGTGACAGTTCTCTTTTTGTTAAGATACTTGTAGTAGATGTCATTGTGTAAAAAAACCCAGTTGCTCTGCTTTCACTACAGTAAAAGAGCACTTTTAATCAAGTCTGAGCAGAAATGCCTTTTAATCTAAATTGGTAAAAGGAAAAATGTGTGCTGTAGTCCCCTGATTACAATAATCTGCATGAATGATCTCAAGACTAAGTGAAGCAGGAAGGTTTAAATGTTATTATTGTTTTAAACTTTTACCTCTTATATGGCGGCTTTCTCATTTGGTCTTATTTCAGAACAATAGCTTAGCGATTCAACAATGTGTCAATCAGTCATTAATTGAATTCACCCAGTCAGACAGTCATTATGCCAAATGGAAGCAATAAACCAGTTAGTCAGTGAATCCTAGTAACTTAACAGACCGGCGCGTGTAAGGGAATGAAAAATTTCCTCGGTGACCAGGGCATTTTCTTGCAGAAAACCTGTCCGCTGTGATGGCTATGAAAACTACTCTTTTGTTATTCCAAGGTAAGAAGACCCAGTAACAAAACACATATATATTACAGTCAGCTTAAATGTGTGTATGAGTTTATAGTGACAAAATCAAACAAATTGCAAAGGGAAACTAGCAAAAACTATTATTTTACTGAACAAAAAAAATGAGATTGTCTCATTCTCTCTTGTTAGTAATATTCACATATTAGTAGAGCAGATATGTGCTTCAATTGTTCACTTTCTGTTAAAAGCATGAAATTTGGCATGATGATAGTTTTCAAGGCCCTACAAAAGATAGGATATGGTGCCATCGCCAAAAAGTCCGTTAAGTGCAAAAAATAAGAGTTTTAAAATGGCGGCCATTTTGAACCGGAACTGTGAAATTAACATTTTATTTAAAACGTCTGAATTTTAGCAACTTGGATAACAAAATGTCAGCAAATGCCTAAGGCAGCTGTTTTTTCATACAATGAGATATTATTTCAACGCAAATTGTCTAAAAAAGAAGAATAGAGATGATATAAGTGGCCGCCAGCTAGACCGGAAGTAAAACTACTAAAAAAATTTGCGATGGCACCATATCACATATTAATAGTCATAATTAGTTCTGTCATTCCTGAAAATTTGGTGCTTTTAACAAAAAGTGAACAATCCGGCCCCAAATCTGCACATATCCGCCCCACTATATCTAGAAATCCTGTAAGTAAAAGCCTTAAAAACCAAAGTAACCCAATTTAACCTTTAGATGTACTTTGGTTTTAGACATCAGAGGAGGGATGTTTTTCTTTCAGACCAAGACGTTACAGACAAGGTAAATATAAATACATCAATAAATCTCTTTTTTATTGCTTGGTTTTCTTTATCTTTTACTGTGAAACTCACAAAATCGTGAACACCAGAAATATTTATGGAATGTTATTGTGTTTTTAGAAATAAGCCAATAAGGTGCGAGATAAATAAACCGCAAACAGCAACGGTAATTAGTTTGTGGTTTTGAGGTTTGCTTGCGTGTCCTGAACTTTACTGTGATTGGCCAGTACACAATCAACATTCCTAAAATTTTCCAGGAGTTCAAGGTGTTCTGAGTATGACAGTAATGCAAAAAGGAATGGATAACATATCAAACTGTGTCGCACCTTGTATGGATAGCCCGCGTAATCGTGACGAGATTTTAGTGCGCGAGTGCATTTTGGCGGCGAAGCGGTCAAGCCTTGAGAGCGATGAAACCGATCTTACCACCAATAACAAAAAGAGTTAAAATTTATCTATATCTGCCAACACAGCAACCCTCTTAAAGAGGATTATTTCCCGGGGAATAAAGCAATCGCTTTCTACCCGGGCCATCCATGTCGTCTGATTTTGTTCATAAATACAGGAAAAAATTTTGCCAAAACCGGTCCCGTTTTTTTTTTAAAGTGTTAAGGTCTAAGCCTAGAACTAGCGTACAATCCTTTGGTAGTGGCCCACTCCTTTCATTGATTAGAACGAATCTGGGTCGAGCTTCTTTTGTTTTCATCCCCTCGCCCCTATCGTGACTCGAGTAAAACTACCCTACTTTGTTCCCCTCCATCATGACGCTTCTTGGCCCAGTTTGAAAACATAAACACAGATTTAAAGGCCTTAGTCGAATTTGAAGGAGAGCGTTCACTTCCATTTCAGGTTTTTAGATACGACTTTGCAAGGTTGGGATGTCCTTTCACGTTACTGAAGAACGAACCTTTCAAACCGATCATTGATTTGTAAGTTGTTAACCTTAATTCCGAAAAGTCGAGCGTTCAGAAGTTCCTTCACTGACTTATTTTACGTGGAAATATTTGAACGTATTAAATTTTCAACCACGGATAACGCATTTCTAGCATTGTGATTGGTTCACTCAATCTTGGTTATCAGCTCATGTACCTTAGTTTGACCTTATATGGAACAGGATTACGCTTAGTTACATCAACATCCGGTCTTTTTGTAATATTTAAAATGAAATTTACACAACATTCAATTGTAATAACCATCTCATATCCAACGCACGCGAATGGAATAATTATTTACTCCAACTTCATTTCATGTACAAACCCAGAGCAAGAGAAAGCTGTTGCGAAAGGAGTCGGAAAGAAACCACTCTCGTCCCCAGGGATTTTCCATTAAAATAAGAAGGGCCGCTCCTCTCAATTCCTAAGGGAAAATCATCTAGGAACGAGGTTAGGAAAGGAACATAAGAACCAGTTCCGAGTTTTCCAACCCAATAATCACTTTAATTATTACAGTTTAGATCAAGAAAGAAAACACGGTCTGAAGATGTAACGTAGTTGTACTGTAGAGTATGATCAGGAATCACTATAATCAGGGGCGGATCCAGGATTTTTTTTAGGAGGGGGTGCACTCGTCTCTTGGTCTACTTCAACACCAATAAACCACAGAGTTTTTTTTTGCAGAATACCAGTTGTATTAGAAAACCGCAGGTCATCTCAGGGGGGGCTGCGCACCCCCTGCACCCTCCCCCTAGATCCGCCCCTGATAATGATACTCTGTTCAGCAGTGATCAGGATCAAAATCTCCATTTTCCTATAAATCTCCCGGAAACGGTGATGAGTGGCTATTTTTTTTAAAGATATGACGGAGAAACGTTTATCAAAGAAGTTCGTGCCAACTACATCTTGTGGGAGCAACATGGCAGAACAGAGTACACGTACAGTACGACGATGAAACAGGTACATCAGTATGACATAGCGAGCGTGCGAGGCGTTCGAAAGGAAAGGTCGAAGGGAAGGGAAACGCCCTACTTCCTCGCACGTTTTTCTTGTACTCGCGCACCCGAAATTTCCTAGCGCGCCCCGCCGAATCTCCATCTCGCGGGCTATATTATGTATATTACTGATAGCACTGCGTGGCAGCGAATTGAGTGAAACACTTAAAAAGAACTGTTCAAAACATTTAAAATAAGGCATAAATAACAAGGCAAATGCAAAATAAGGCAAGGATAGACAAACTTGCACGGAAGAACGGATTAAAATTGTGGTCTTTAATAATTTGTTATCCTGACAGTCGGTTCAAAAATTCACTTTTGTTGTTTGTTTAATTTAATAATCCTTGGGTAGACTACGAGTAATCCCCCATTTTTCCTCAGGGATAGCAGAGCGAACGAAACGCGAGCGCGCGTGAAAATCACCCCACGCGAGAAAGGCGACACATGGCGGGGAGAGTGTCGCCTTTTCTCGCTTGGGGTGATTTTCACGCGCGCTTGCGTTTCGCTCTCGCTCAACTACCCTGAGGGAAAATGGGGGACTACTCGTAGTCTAATCCTTGGGATATAAGCAGTTTCTTTGCCAACGTCAAGTTAATTAGTGGATTTGACGGCGGGGTTTTGGATCATTATACGTTTCTGGGAAACTGCCCACCTATCCCTCCCCTAAGCCAACATTTTGACCTAAGGGAGAGGAGTGAGTGTTAATGTGCGCTTAGGGGAGAGGTAGTTGGGCAGTGTCCCAAAAACGTATAATGACCCAAAACAAAACGAACTAGACGGCCGCGACAGAGCTACTTTAAATGGATACGTTTCTGGGAAACTGCCCACCTACCCCTCCCCTAATCCAACCTTTTGATCTAAGGGAGAGGAGTGAGTGTTAATGTGCGCTTAGGGAAGAGGTAGGTGGGTAGTTTCCGCAAAACGTATAATGATCCAAAACAAAAGGACAGAGCTACTTTAATAAGGCCGGCTCTTTGAGTCTTGCAAATGCATCAGTAGAATTCATAAAAGCTTTTACTTGAAACGAGTCGTCATAAATATAGACACAATAAGACTAAAACTTTCGCCATTTGGAATAAGGCGTATAAAGCATGCTGCTAGAAGCTAACACTATGGCGGATGGGTTGGGAAGAAATGTTGCTAAATCACTTTTATTTTCCGCTTTATTTTTAAACAGGCTGGTTGCATCAGTGAGGCTCAACGTTGGGAGAAGATGGTCAAATCTGTGCAAGTAGAAGAGAAGGATTCTGCCTGGTCTAAATTGGTATTGATTCCAGAACTAAGTGTTAATTTTATTGTTCAATCGTTGCAGCTTTGAAACGTAACATCTCAAGATTTTAGTTGATGCTCTAGAGAGTGCAGTTTTCCAGGAGTTTTGCTGTAACTAGAACTGACATATATCCCGGTTTTTAAGTATGTATTTTTATTCGTATTTAAACATTCAACAGAATTACCGCAGCTGTTTTGAGGAGCCTGCAAATAATTCTTCACCAAACGTGGATCTCAACCAACCGTATGAGATTTTGAACAGTTCAATATCTTCCTCGCAAATCCTATGGAATGATGTGGGAATTTTTGTCTTTACGCTGAAGGTTGTAGATCCTGAATTCAGGTGAGAGGAGCTGTCTTTTTCAAAAGCGATTCCAAGCTAATGAGGATTCTTCGTAGCAAACTGTCCTTACTTATACTGACCGCTGCATTAATAAGAACCACGTTCAGTGTTTAGTAACTTTCACTTTTAGAATCTGATTGAGTCAAGATTGCGTGTGACTTTGGTAGTAATTTTACGTATGTTTCTGCCTACTTCTCAGCATTCTAATATTTTTTTTGTTAACGACAAAATAACAACATTAATATACAGCGTTTTATAGAAAAAAATAGATAAAAAACAAAACTATTACAGGGGGAGATACTCGACCAATATTTGGGTATAGGTGACCCGCTGGGGGTTTGAAACCCTGACCCTGCTTAGAACAAAAAATTCCTAAAATACATAAAAGAAATTTATATTCCCGACTGTAAAATTGGCCTTGCTTCTTTTGTTTCTATATTTCCAATTATAGCTGATTAGATCCTCTGTTAGGATCCGGTCTCTCTTTTTTGTAACGTTGGTTCTTGCTTTCAAAAAAAATCAATTTATAAAATACATACCCTGTTTAGGACAACACCCTCAATTTTATTACCCTGTTTAGGATAAAAGGCAAGCCGGATTGTTTTAAAGTCATTTATTGGCAATCTTTCTATAGAGTAAATTCACGTTATTGTCATTGCTTTTGTATGTTTAGAGTGCAAACAAAATTCATCGGGCATATCAAATCAACCGTGCAGGTAACATCTTGTTGACAGAATCACGAAATTATGTACCTTATTCAGTGCCGTAGCCAGACCAAACGGCCAACCGAGGCAGGCGGGAGTTGCTAGGGGGGTTCGGGGGCATGCCTCCCCCCCCGAGAAATTTTGAACTTTAGTCTCTCGGAAATGCGATTTGCAGCGTTTTCTGGGCTTTTCGGTAACTTTTTTTCGAGTTAATTTAAGTGGAATTTAAAAAGCAATAATCAGAAACAAGCTACATAATCTGGGTGCCGGATCGTTAACCTCGCCAATGGTTTTGATCAGTATTTGTTCAAAAAAAATTTGAGTTAACGTACGTAGCCCCTTGAGGACGATGATATGGTAATTTTTTCATAGTATATTGACTGAATTGCTGAATTCTTTGTAATATCATGATGCGTTAAAAATATCCGATGATCGCTTATGTAAAATAAAAATGATCGGCGAAATTCGTCAAAATTTTAGCTACGGCGCTGTTATTTAGGAAAGATAGGTGAAAACTACATACCCTGTCCAGCGGCACATCCGGGGGGAGGAGGAGGAGGCAACATGGAATCTATTTGTTAATCTTACGTTTTTGCTAATAACAATGACATATCATTGTATTTTCCCTAACAGCTTCTGTAACCTGACAGTGGAGATAGCTGTTCAAGTGAATGCAGTGCGAGGTTTGATGGAAGAGATTCCAACCTTTGTGGTACTTGGATCGTCCAGCTTGATCATTATCATCATGGTTGTATCTGCTTACTATACTCTATTCCGTTGTGTGGATTGAGCTTAGACGTTACTGACAATTTTGTTTAACCCTTAAGTCGCAAGAGTGACCAACATCAATTTTCTCCTAACAATAATATACAGAATTAAAAGAAAAGTTTAGGAGAATAAATCAAATGATCATCTAAGGGAAAATACTTTGACCTTTGAACAAATTCTCTCAACTAATTCTGTAAGGAAATGTATGGAGATCAGCTTGGAGAATTTGTATCTGGATCTTGGGGCTTAAAGGGTTAAATCTCGCTCCTAGAGGCTGCGAATCTTTTGGTCAGCAGTTAGTACGGTTCACTAACCTGGACTTATCCAATTAAGGCCCGAATAGCTGAAAAGATTGGCATACATAAAATATAAGACTGCATTGAAATAGTCCGTATTTTTGCAGGCGTGTGAGGCTCGCGCACTTCGCGCGCGTTGCGCTCATACCCTACGTTTTATCGATTTATTTACTGATTTTGAGGGAAAACCGGAATTTTTTGGAGTCTAAGAAAATAGAGCTCTATGAAAGCAAACAAGGGTGTACGTGCTGTATATGATGGTATGCAAGGGGCGTTAAATTTCAGGGCATGCCATCATGAGCTCATAACCCGGAGCGAGTAACTGCCATGCTAGGCCTACGTGACGGTGTTTTCACAGACCAGTTTATTTTTAGATACATTTTAGAGCACTTTTTCCCGCCGCTAAAATGGGAGCTACGCTCCTGCTATGAGCGCATTCGAAATACAATGTTGAGGTATGGACGTCATTAAAGTAGTAGTGAGTAGACGTCATTAAAAGGTTTAAAAGTTCATTTTGAGGTCGGTAGGTTTTTCTGACTTGTTTTCTAGATTCACCCCAAAATCGTTCTAAAATTAAACTGGCCGGTGAAAACGTCATGACACGAGTCTATGAAAGTTGCAAGCTCTGCGGCTTACGCAAGCTGAAGTAAAATGTCAGGATCTTATAAACTCCAATGCTGCTTATGTACACAGGTCTATTACTGACTGACGTTCCGTATACAGTAAAAACCCTCGTATAAGAGGTTACTTTTTTTTTAACTCGATCAGGCAAAATAGTTTCTTGTATTTTGGGGCACTCTACTAATTGGCAATTTAGTACAAGTAGGTTCTTAATTAGGCTCTTGGTTTCTATGAACAAGATAATTGATTGCTGATTACCAGAAAAATAACTAAACTTGGGTATGGTCCTGAAAAATAGAGTATTTATTCACAACATTATTATTATAACCCTAACAAAACTGATAACAGAATTTATACATGTTCTTTTTATACTTCAATTTTCAGTCTCAAAGTTAAACTCCTTTGTTAAATTGTTTATCATAATGTATCTATGAGCCACATATAAGGACCTGCTTGATCTTCTTGGCTTAACAGGATCTTAGAAGTGGCAAATTTCTGCCAGGAAGTTCTCAATCCACTGGGTTCTTAAATGCGGGTTTTAAATGCATTCGTTACTTTAGGCAGTGTAAAGGGGGATTGCCACCGTTGCGTAATGAAATAAAATAGAGGCATGTATGAAACCCGGGGGTGTACTTTAGGAATTTCTGGATGGGGATGTGCCGCTGGGAGCCTGGAACCCTTAACCTTTACCAGAGCTAGTTCAGCTGAATTTTGCTACCCTATACTAGAGTAAAATCCCCAAATCCCCCTATCCTAGAGTAGCTGTGTACCTAGTCTACATAAAATCTTCAACCAACTGAACAGTTTCCTGAAAAATGATACCCTATTCTAGAGCCAAACGCTCTGATTTATATACCCTATCCTAGAGTAAACTGCTTGAAAACCATACCCTTCACAGCGGCACATACCTATATAGCCCATATATGGCAGTGCCCCACCCCCCCCCGGGTATGAAAGGTCGCGCGTAAACATAAAAGGTGAGCGAGGTTCGACTTTTTCGTAATTGAGCGCCGAGGTTCGACTTGAACGTTTACGCAAGGCTGTTCATGATACATTTTTGCCCCTTTTTATTGACCCGCGTAAAATTGACGTGCGGACGCACGTAAAATTACGCGACTATGGAAATCCTCCTAAAGAAATGGGCTGAACTCCAGAACTGTTTATAGTAAGGAGGACAACAAACAAAGTTAAGATGTTAGTCTCTTGACTAAACGGTAATGCCAAGGCTTAGCTATAAAAAATGTTAAGGCGCACACGAGCCAATGGCCCCCAAAAAGGCTTAGAATGCCGTTTAATTTGTTAACTGACTGTCAAGAACATAACATAACATAAAAAGTTCTCTTGGTACTGGCGTGCCAAATTGTCAGACTCCAATATGGCAGTGCCCCATAAAAAAAAGAAAAGAAAATACCGCACAAACGAGTAGCGGCGATTTCGATTACAGGTCGATATGCTGATGTGGGAGTCTTAATGACAATACTTTATGGAGCTGCCGTCTATTGTTAAAGACGTCAAGGCAGCCTTAATCGTTTGCACCTTCGTGAGCCAAAGTTTAAGATTTCCATGCATTTCAAATGCATGTTGATAATGTGCTGCCTCTTATCTACTTGCCCAACGGAACATGGGAAGGTCCCAGATTAACGCAAGAGCCATGGGAAGGGTCAAGTTGCTTTGCCCGCTTCGATATATAATTTGTTGCCAACCCTGACCGCGATCCACAACCAGATAGTTCGGTGCGTGCATGTGCGTATAATTACCACCGGCCATTTGGGCATTTCCTGCAGTAACTGTTGTACGGTCAGGTGCCCTAATTACTTTAGTTGTGAATAAGCGAGGGCATTAAAGGAACAGTATCCCGTGACTGCGCATGCACCAAACTTTGATTTTTGGACAGGATGTCGCGAAATCAAAAGATGCGAGGAGAGTAGGAGAACCTTGAAAAATCCGTTTGCATCGCGCTTGGCCGAGTTCAGTATAACATTAAAACTTCTCAGGATTACTGATCAATGATGTAATTTGGGCGAAATCGAGATTTTTTGGCGTTACTTTTATTGCCTTTGGCCGGAGAACCAAAAGATGGGAAGCGTTTTGATGCCGATTGAGGACTTAATTTCTTCTGCCAGCTTCCATACAAGCTCAGATAATTGTGAAAGAAATACGCAGAAACGAAACAGCAACGATAAAGACTATAAGAAAGAAACCATTGGGACATTGATGTGACTGTACTGAGGAGATCTCGTGAAATTAGCTTGGTGAGGTAGATTGTTTTGCAACGACGCGTTACAAAACTTTTACTCCCTAAAGCCGAAAAAATCAAACAAACAGGCGCTACATGTTTAGAAAAACTAGTGCAACGAAATCATAATATAATTTTTGACTAACCTTTGCGATGATTCATGGCGTTGAGATTGCATTTTTATTTACATCTTTCAAATGTTTGAGGCTAGAACGCGAGCAAATCAGGTAAATATCACTGGACTTGGAACAATTGACCTCTGACACGAGTTTCACATTAGAAAAGCGGTATTAAAGCGAGCGGAACGAGATTTTCAGGTCGAGAGGCGGCCCTGCTGGCGATAAAATCGCGATGAGTCTTCGTGCCGCTAATCAAATTTTAAATAAGACGAAAGACTTCTTCGAAAGCCTAAAATATTACTTGAGAATATGAACAACAAAACCCCGTCGGCGGTGTGGTCCGGAAGGAAATATTGTCGAGTCAATATGACAGTTGTATTGTCTTTTGAAGAAAAAACAGATGACGCTCGCGCGTGCGCATAATCGGGACTCTGTCCCTTTAAGATTTGGCGTATTTAAAAGTTTAGTTTTCACGTTTGTGCCCGTTCAAATAAAGTTAAAAAAAGTTTATCGCCGGAAGTTCGATAACTAATCATGACAAGCGCCGTTCTCACAAAAGCGCCGCATCGACAAGTCGGTGAATGTGGAGTTAATAATTTGACTTAAGATGACGGTTGACTGGCGCCATCTTGACTTCATGCTTACTTTTATAGAACTCGTTGCATGTTATCAATTAATATGTACATACAAAAATAAAAAATACGTTAGATAGAGAAAAAAAGTATAGTAAAATAAAATAGATGTTGCATCTGGAGACAGGACAATGTCCCAGTTGATATCTTACCCCAAGTACCAAATAGAATAAATTAAACCATAAATAACGGCCCTCCCCCTCCCCCAACCTCCTTTTGCCCCCCCTCCCATAAACAGTGACATAAATATCAACATATACAGGGTTCGCATAGTCTTGAAAAGTCCTTGAATTTTAGGGACAGTCCTTAAAAATTCCTTGTCATTAGCGAAATCTGTAAGAGCACGGTTATCGAGATATTTTGGGATGAAGTTTTTATGGTTAGAAATACAGTAAAATCAAGTTTGTAGTATTTTTACTTACGGTAAAGGTGTTTTGTGACGAAAAACGCGTCACAGCACCACAAACCCTATGTCAAAAAACTACTGACGTTCATTGTTCTCGCGTTTAAAATACCCCTTATTTTGACCAGGTTAGTAAAACTGCTCTGAAAAGAAGCCAGCCGATTGTTAGACTTGCTACATGTCGACCTCACGAGTTTGTTAGGCATGTTTCAAACGTCGTGCTACTGCCGTGCTAAGCTGGCTCGACTGTATCTCGACTGCAGCACGACACTAGCACGACTTGGTTTCAGATGTCGAATTTAATTCAGTCGAATAGGACGGCTGTTGCCGAAAACAAAACACAAAAATAAAAAAGGGTTTAGCAAACTTTTAAATGTATTCTAATGTATTTATGATTTATGAATTGAGTGCGGCATGGCAGTAGCGCGACGTTTGGAACTAAGTCGAGCTACTACCGTGTAGCACGGCAAAGCTTGCCGTTCTACACGGCAGTAGCGCGACTTGGTTTCAAACGTCGCGGTACTGCCGTGCTAAAGTCGAATTTAATTCGATCGATTTAGTTCGCCACGGCAGTAGCACGACGTTTGAAACGGGCGTCAGCGAGCGGAGCGAGCTTTTTAGGCCTCGAAGCTGCCAAGCGAGCGACGGATTCGTCCCACGCCGTATTAAGTCGGACGAAGAACTTATTTGAAAGTCTAGCCGATTGTTCACTTCTAAAGACAACTACTGCAAATAGTTTACGTAAGGACCATGTCTAAATGTAGTATGAGACACTGTTTTTGATGAGAAGTGGTTTGCTATAACAGCTTCAGTTAACTACGTTACGTTTTGTTGTTCAGCGCGAAAACTGAATGAAAGAACTGCATTGATTAATTGTGCGGTTATTCGCATCCGCCAGTAACACACTTAACACACTGAAGATTTAAGAAAACCTTAACAAACGCAGTTCATGTTATTTATAATATTATTGCACGTTAACACCCCCTTTTTTTTCTCTAGTACCCAGTTATTACGGACTCTCGCTATTACGGACACTAAACCGCAGTCCAGAGGGTGTCCGCAATAACGGGAGTTGACTGTAAGTTTTTAAACCGTTCGATCAATAGATTTTCTTAAAAATTTAAGATTCTTGCGATTAACAGGATTAACCGTCCGTTTATATGTCCTTCTGGTTTCAAGATTATTGATATATTATATAATAAGGGCTACAGTCTGCTGATATTTTGTTAGAAATTTTCAGTTTACAATTGAGAGCCTCTCATTATTCAGGGGTATTTTTTCCAAGTTTCATATTTTCGTCCACAGCAATACTTCAAATGCATTATTAGTTATACTGCTGTTCACGTGAAAATGAAAATTGGGGTCAAAACCCTTGAATAACGATAGGCTTTCACTTGTAAAAACGAAACTTCCGATAAAAAAATTAGCAACGTTGTAGCCCTTATTTTACTGCCTTTCAATATAACAATAATCTTGAGAGTCAAAGGTCTTCTAAAACGACGTTTAATCGGAAGTATATCTCGAATTTTTTTAAAAATCTATCGAGCGGTTTAAAAATTATTCGCTAATTTGTTAAAGTAGACCGAAATGTTTACAAAACCGCTAACAAGAGCGCCTTGATACATGCTAATCAAATCCTCCTATCTATCTCCATGATCTTTCACACACGTTTTTAAAAAGATTTAAACTACTATGAGGTGAAATTGCATGTCAAAAGCACTTCGTTTTCTACAGATAACGGGCAAACATCAAGATTGTCCATTTTTCACTGTAACCATTGTTTAACGAACAATATGTTTGATTTAACATTAACCGCAAGAGTTAGTTGATCATTAAATGATTGAGCAATCGAACTCGATCGTGATATACATGTATTTCAGATTAGTTTTTCGTTCTCAAGTAGCTCAGACAAGTTACACGCGAACAGCAATTGTTTTCGGACAGTGTTTACGGTGAGTAATTTCCTCAATTTTCTAATACGATGAACTGGTTAGATAGCAAAATTTCCTGAAATAAGTCATTTCTTTAACCTACTAATGACAGCTCTCTTGGGCGTCATGTAAATGCCGCGTCACTCAAAAGCTTAGAAATTCAAGCGTACTCCATCAGAAAACCAAGAACCCTTTTGAAGCGAAAATTTGTATGAAAATTAGTTTTCAGCTGCTCTAATGCATCGTGAAAGTAAAATCACGCTAGGATCGATAGTTTTTTAAGTTTGAATTTTAGTGACGTCATGTGAAAACCAACAATACGTCTGCTGTTCGCAAGCTAATATGCAAAGACCTTCGCCAAAATTCAGGTCAAAGGAATAACATTCGTAAATGAGAGATTCGAAGAAACTTTTTACCCAAATTTATAGAGATTTGTATGGAGACGCCATGCTGGTGCTCATCCGGATGAGCACTAATGTCGGCCGACGGGAACCAACAGAAACATCTGTTTCCGAGTTTTGGTACAAAAGCGTGAATTTATCATAAACATTAAAGTAATACTTTTTCAAATACATGAACTGTTTAGATAGGAAAATTCCCTAAGATAAGTCATTTTTTTAACGTGACAGTTCTTTTGGCGGTCATGTAAATGCCGCGTCACGCAATAGCTTAGAAATTAAAGCGTACTCTATCACAAAACCAAGAACCCTTTTGAAGCGAAAATTTGTATGAAAATTAGTTTTCAGCTGCTCTAATACATCGTGAAAGTAAAATCTCGGTAGGATCGATAGTTTTGTACTTTGAATTTTAGTGACGCCATGTGAAAACCAGTAATAAAACCGAAAACCTACAGACTTTGCGTGGCCAATCTTGTCCCCAAAATATCAACTTTCATACATTCTTGAGCGTCCCGAATCCTTTACTTGGCGCTCCGCCGAAGAAATGAAGGTACCGCATATTCAGTAATCATCATAATCACAATTCTCCTCAACTGCATCCTTAATGGTATTGCTACATGTAATTTCTATTTCAGTGTAAGGGATTTTTTTGCACTTGGCCTGTTAAAAACAATTAGTTGTCAAATGTGATTATCATACATGCCAACTTTCCTGGATACGACGACAATGTCCCCTCGTACGGGTCATCAAATCTCCCGGATACAATCCAGTTATAAGCTTTTATGTGCTTTAATTTGGAATTTATCCCATTTTATTTGATTCAAAGTTCGGTTTCTGGGGCATTGTCGCACTTTTTTCAAAACTGACAAAGATTATTTCCCCATTACATTGTGATGGTGCTGTACCTCATGTAAGACTTCATATAATGTCTAAAGCCGATAAGAGAGTTGATCGAATTGCACTTTATAGGGGGGATTATGCGAAAGAAGGAGTCTTGGGGTTGAGTTGGTCCAGAGGTTGGCATCTCTGGATTATGTACTACAACAAGTGCAACACTCTCATTGCTGTAGTTAACTTAACAATAAATATTTTTCATCAATTAGCAGCATTTACTTGTTATTTTCACTACACAACTAATGACACACTCCACTTGTAATTATTTATTACTTCACTTATTATTAAAGATGGCATGGGTTAGCTGCATATTCACATCACTTTCGTGCAGTTATTCACTATCACACCCATTTTCTTTTGACTTTAATTACACTTGCGTCTTCGAATTTTCATTGAATTTTTTAGTTCAGTGTTTAGTTTTAAATAACAGTTACCTTTATTTTGCCATGCTTGGGTTCAAAAGCCACAGCAATGGGACCCTCTACGGTCACTGTTATTTTAATTACATAATCTACTTCTTCATCCAGCTGAATTCTGCGAACAAATTCACCATTAACAGTGTATACAGCCAGCGTTAGGCGGCCTCTCTCTCGTTCCTCACCAGCAAGGACGACATGTTCACTTGTCGGGTGACATGCAATGCGATAATAATCATCTTTCTCATATTTGGTATTAAATTTGCCAAGGTGGTGCCCTTCCACATCAAATATGTACATGCTGTGATCGAAATGGTCTACTATCATGACGCGACCACCACAAGTAGCAGTGATATCTCTTGCATCCTTGAACACTCCTTTACCAAAGCTACAAACAAACTCGCCACTCGGCTCGTGAACATCAACAACGTGACGTGTCAACAGCAGAATTTTGCCGCTTTGTTTGCCGCGGCTCACAGTTAGTCTGTCGTCCCAGTTCCCGCTCCTCACAGGAAACTTGTGCTGTAGGTCAGCGTTCTTGTTAAAAACCTGCACTTCCCTCTCCCCGGCCCATTTCTCAGCCTCAGGCTTCTTCAGTTCGACCAGTAGATGGATATTGTCGTCCTCGAGTGCAGTGGCAACATCCAAAATATATAACTTTGAATGGGTGTCATCAGTTTGAGGATTAAACTTAAAATCAAACTTTCCTTTGCTATCAAACACCTTCACGGTTTTATCCTCATAGTCTGCTATCACGAACTGTCCTTTGGTATTTGTAGCGATGCCACGCGGATCTATCAGCTTGTGCTTCTCTTCACCCTCCTGACCAAATGACCATAGTAAACAGCAGTGCTCCATATTAACTTTCTGCAGTACCTTTGATATTCTTTCATTGCGCAGAGGGTCAACTTTCTCTTCTCCAATGTCGACAAGTGGCCATACCAAGGTGTCTCTACCGACTGCTCTTGTCGCATTGTAGATGGCGCGATTTACCTGGCATACCGTGGAAATTATCTTTCTTCTTTCATCTTTACCATACCGACCTCTAACATTTAGGACACCTTTATCTAGCTCTACTTTAAAGTTGTCCTGAACAGCTGGAAGCGAGTGAAGTTTCTGAAGACATTCTTCGCACTCTGGTAATGCATTCTTCAATGCAATTTTTAAGGATGAAAGTGACATGTCGCCTGTGGCTCCCACTGTCTCTACCACTGACTCTAATACGGTTGCCATGACACGATATCGAATAGCTGTGATCCAGTCAAAGATCTTCAGACCTTCGTTGTTGGAGGCCTCTGTAGCTTTTTCACGAGCCATTTCGAATCTCTTTTTGGCTTGCAAAAAGTTGTTTTTCACCGTTTCGTTGAAACCCATTTCTTCCAACTTTCTCATTTCCGCGGCGACAGAAACTGTCTTCATTGCCTCTTCTAAGTCATGTTCGCTACGATTCTCGTCTGCGATTCCCACATTGGCTTGGCTACTGGGTCTTACATCGAATGCTTCAAAGAAATACCTGATTCCTGTTTTAAAGGAGTCTACAGCTGCCAGAAGATCCTTTCTTGATAATCCGTCCAACTTCGACTTGATATCCTCTAGTTCACGAACAATTAAATCACGGATTTTTTGATTCGCCACGTCGCCTTCTTTCAGCCTCTCTGCTGTCATATCTCTTCCTTTATTCACAAGCCAACCGATGGTGGTATTAAACACTAATGTTACAATCGAGGACATGTCTGAACACCAAACAACGCTCTGTAAACTAAAAACATAAGTTTGTTTTGAACAGGAAAAAATCAGCACATTTCTGCCTGACGAAAACAAGCAGAAAACACCATGTAAAGCAGTCAAGCGCGATCAATCCCGCTTAATCATTCAGGTATGATCGAAGCCTGAGCTAAATCTATACAGTGCAGGTGCCAGCCGGACTTGGCCACAAAATAGAAGGTGCATGGCCGTTTAAGAGTTAAAAATTCTTGGAACGACTTTGTTCTTTCAGCAGAAAGGACGAAAGGCGATACACTCAGTTACTCTGTTGGCGCGTAAACAAGCCACTCGCATAGTAAATCATTGTACTGAATAATTATCAACTATAAAAGAGTTTTATTGAAATATTTCATCATCCAAAAATCAACAAACTACTCAGAAATATCATTCTGCTAAGTTGCCTGATACTTCATTTAAGTTCAGGATTTCCATACAATCATAAAGAACTACTGTTAAAACACCTTGTTGCAAACAGTGGACATGAAATGCTGTCACTTTACTTCACTTCTATGCATGCTTGCGAGTTCTAAATAGGAGTCGATATAACAGCTATAGAATGAAGGCCCACTTATAGTTATTCAGTTGAAGTACTATCCCGTGTTAGCCTCGTTAAATAAAGTTGATTATTATTATAATTATCATTATTATTATTATTAGTAGTAGTATTGTTGTTTTTATCCACTGACGAACTCTCTGCAGGCACGATTAGCCTGCAGGTCTGTGTTCGCAGTCTAAGGACCTATAAGTCGCATGATCGATCACATAACTATATATCCACCAAACACTTAACGATCAAATAATTCCTTTCCGTCGTTTCTTTTTAACAGAAGAGTCAAAGGACGCACTAATTAAATCTAAATACCCTTGAAATTTCCCTTATATTCCTGAGTAGTTGCTCTCGAAAAGCATTAATTTTGCTTCAGCATCAGTACATGCTTCTGTGATTTTGAAAGAAGGCGTAAACTAAGTCTGACTTAGTCAGTTTACATTTATTTTATTAATATTTGGGCATGTAATAATAGAGGTTCTCCATCTTAATTTCGTTAATCTCAGCCTGCATTCAGCATATTTAAATTTGTTCTTCTTGTAGTACTAACTGTATTCGCCGTAGGTTTCCGATTAACTTTCTTGCAATTAAGCTTTGGGTAAGCTATTTGTGCGACTATTTGTGCGACAACTTTTTAAATGTGTTAGCGTAGCAGGTTAAATTTGACCAGTGCATTTTGTGCAGTGAGTGAAGTGAGCTGTATGCTCACGATTGACTTCAAACTTGCAGATATGAAACTAGAGAGCTCTCAGTGAGACTTATTCAATGCTGAAGTTACGGAAAAGTCTGTCGTGGGTGATTTCGAAGATATTTACCTTTTTTGTAAAAATTCGGTTTTAAATATATGCCGATATCTCAAACACTTTTATATAAAAGAAAATAAATAACATTTGAACATTCTTTATTAAGGATTCCAAAAATCATGTAAATCGGTTAAATCGCTGGTAAACAAAGAAATTACAGTGTAAAATTGGGAAGACTGTCTTCTCACTCATTTCACAAGTTAAGTAAAATTAGACCCTCGATTAGTTCAGAGATAGAACCTCGGCCCAAAAAATATCTCATGTTATAGATTCTATAACTTTGGAATTAAGTGAACTTCAATCCAATTTAAGTAAATAACTGTTAAAAGTTTGCACAGACAACAGCGCATAAACACTGCTAAAAATAAGATATATAATTGTTTTTAAAAACAGTTTAAATAGAGTTTTCATCCTTACCTCGCTGTATCGAAGGTTACCCGACGCCGGACTAAAACCGAAGAGACTGCGCGTTATAAATTGTCACGAAGAACTGAACTGAATTTCACAGACTGTTAGCTCGCCGCTATTTTTTGTTATAAATTTACCAGTCTAAGAATAGTCTTGGAATTTTGTTTTTATTCCTTGTTGGCCATTGTGTTTTCGTTGGTTGACTTACTAATGACAAAGGATAAAATGTATTGTATGGAAGAAACAAACAATTAAAACTTAAGAGGCTATTTTGTACGCCTATGCAGATCGATGGAAAGTGGTAGACTTAACAGCGGTTCTGATCGTCATATCAGTCATTTTCAATCTCCGTGATGGCTTCTTTGAAAGTGCCAGTTGTAATAAATGTTGATTTCAATCCCCACGATCTCGTTCAAAGTATATAAAGGCAACACAGACTTATAGTTTCTATGCATGTCAACAACTTTTGAGTTTCCACTGAATTCATCCCGTGTCTTACGCAGTAAAAACAATTGTTTGCTTGTTTTGGGTCTCAAAAAATTAATGCAATTATAAAAAAGATAAACTTGATCATGATCCGTACGGAGACGTGACGGCGGAATCACTAGAATGGAATAGACGCCTCGATCAATCAAGTCATTCTTTACTCTTAAACTAAAAATTATCGACCAACCGTGGAAATAACATCCGCTCCTAAAACAAATCTATGTATTAGTTTGGAGTATTTTATCCTGTTTCGGTCTCTTCCTTAGTAGCTAATGGTAATAAGGTACTTTAGGACTTTAGTTTTATAAAAGGAAAATTTCACGTAAAGGGTATCGGGATATATATGGCCACGAATTAAAGATTAAGGTATGTTGAAGGGGTAGTATTTTTGACTGGAAGGTATATTATATATGAAAGAGGTACCTCCTCGGTAAAAATGGTATACAACTGGGTAAGGGGTTGGACATTGGGGGCTTTACACCATCAAACATACCCTGTTGACATTTTACTTGTTCCCTAAAACTCAAATTTGCTGCTTATACACTCTAGTTTGGAGGGAAGGAGGGTCTAGAGCTCCCGCCTCTTGTGATTCCCGTCTCCGTTCCTTTTTTTCTTGGCTTCCTACTTTTAATTAGCCCTTTGTCGAGTGCGAAATATTGAGCATTTTGCATCAAAGACTATTGACATTAAAACATGTGTTTTCCTGGAACACACATTTGCCGCCTGTGTGTTTAAACTCCAGTCACCAGTTGTTCAAAAAGTGTATAACGCTATGCACTGGATAAATCCCCGGGGAGGGGGTACTGCCACATATGGGCTATATAGGTATGTGCCGCTGTTAAGGGTATGGTTTTCAAGCAGTTTACTCTAGGATAGGGTATATAAATCAGAGCGTTACGTTTGGGTCTAGAATAGGGTATCATTTTTCAGGAAACTGATCAGTTGGTTGAAGATTTTATTTAGACTAGGGATTGTGGTATAAGGTTTTGTTTTGGCTAGACTGTGCTAGTGACCTCAGTAGTTTCTTGAAAACAGCTACTCTAGCATAGGGGGGATTTGGGGAGTTTACTCTAGTATTGGGTAGCAAAATTCAGCTGAACTAGCTCTGGTATAGGTTAAGGGTTCCAGGGTCCCAGCGGCACATCTCCACCCAGAAACTCCTAAAGTACCCCCGAGGCATTAAAAACATGAAAGACTTTTGATACTTTCGACAGCGTTTTATATTCTGTGTTGAAAAGTTAATGACGAAAATAAAAATCTGGATTATGGTGGCCTAGAGCTGCCATAGGGATTTTGTTATATTTTCAGCTTTTTTCTTTTATATGAATTGCTTTAGTTATTTCATTTTGTTTATTTTATTTTATTTCCCCCGTGACATTCGTCGATCACAACCAAGGACAAGACCAAGGACCAAGATGGGGTCTATGATTGGCCAAAAAATAGATTATAATGGGGTAAGGGCTCTGAGAGGCTAGTGGCACATACCCAGCAAACATTAACCCAGTTATAACATATAGAAATGTATTTTATCTTAGAGATGCCAATGCACGTGCTTTTCGATCTCTTTCGACAAAACTGGTAAAATTGAGAAGGGACTGTGGTTCACTTTGTTACACTTAAGCTTTCACCTGGGAGGGAATACTCCCTTGTATACGTCATATAGGTATGTACCGCCCCAAAGGTTATAACGGTTTTTGCGCCGTTTCGGTGGGCCTTTGTAAAGCGGTCATGGCTTTTCTGTTCTCCCTCGTTTTCCTCTCTTTTTTTCCTTTCAAGATGCCGCTCCGAGGAATTTAATCCTGGCTTTATATGCATAACTATCCAGGGCATCGATTCGGCCAAATTTTTGGCTCGGAAGCCTACTAAATTGCAAGAAACTTCGCTTTTAAAGTCTTGGTCAGGAAAATCTTGGCCAATTTGCCAACACAGGTTTGATGAAGCCATTGTTCCAGTGATCCATTGTCGTCAAATCAAACACACAACTATCTTCGCGCCTGGCATAGCTGTCAATCAGTTACGAAACAGAGGCGCCGCAAACGTCGATGTGTTCATTATGCAAACACCACCAGCTACATTCCGCGTATTATTGGAGGGTGACTTGCTTTTTAAACTAAATCCTGGCCCCGTTAATTATTTTTAGTCATAGGTTCAGTGTAAATAAGTAAGTAAGGGGTCGATCATTTACAGATATATCCATGCTTTAATTCGATATTTTAATATATTTTAGTTAGTTTTAATAGTTTGCAATGCACATTTGATCATTTGATACATGTTAATTTGCGAAATACCAAGTAATAACGATAATAATAATAAAAATAATAATAATAATAATAATAATAATAATAATTATCATTTCGACCTGAACCGAAAACGGGTGTAGACTTCGCCAATATCGGCCTGGAATTGGATATTTTTCGAGGGAACAACGGGAGTGCATGAATTTATTTATCGTTCTCAATTTCAAATGAATAAGAAAGAAAGAGATGGGAAATTCGAAATGGATTTCAAGAGATCTTTTTGTTAGCGTTCTAATCTAAGTAATGATGACATAGTTTCTTCCTATGCCAGGTCTAAAATCGGGTATAAAAACGGGTGTGAAAACTGATAGTTTTTGGTCTGAAATAGGGTCAGGATTTGGAGAGCCTTGCTGCACACCCCCACCAAGAATTCCCAAGAGAACCCACTCCCCCTCCCCCCACCCCCTCCGGGAGCGCTTACGATGATCTTTCATTGCCTCCTCTATCATTTACAGCATTAAAAGCGTGAGGAGAGTTTTCAGGGTGAGTCACGGGAAGGCTGCAAGAACAAAGATGCTCATGGATTTTTCTCCCGAATTCCCGATTCCATGGCAAATAATTCTCTCGGGCCTCGACGGGGTGACGTTTAAAGTATTGCTCTGACAGTGAAGGCGATGACGTTGTATGTTTAGGTTTTGCGCTAGTGGTATGATGTTTTCCCTGTACAGGATAACTAAAGCCAAGAGATTCTGCCTCCAAATATGCGCCCGAAAAAGATTTACCGTAGCACTAATAACTCTGGTGGTCACCCTGATCATCCTTTCTAGATTCTTCACACCAGCAAAACGACAGGACGATAATAGTCCTGATGAAACGATATCAGTCCTTGAAAAAACTATCATTCCGAGACAAATCGCCCGTCGTGGGACAGAAAAACTCTCTGGAGTGGAACCACTCGCAGGTAACTTTTGTTTTACAATCTCAATTTCGGTGACCGGTCCTCTTTCAATTTCCACGGCATTATAACAATTTTTTCATGTTCATTTTCACTGATATACTGTTTACGTTATTGCGGACTCGTCACCATATTTTAATTGTGATGAAGGAGTTTATAGAAAAGCAAAATTAATGATTGAAATTATATCCCTCTAAAACTGAGGTCTAATTAAAAAAAAACCTTTTATAATTGAACAACTTATTGTAACATTGCAAAGAGCAAATGGTTTTCGGCCGTGGAGCCTTTGAACTGTAGTTCGAGTTAAATGAGAGTCGCGTTCTCTTTGGGATGTTTCAGATGATGTCTCATTCCCATGACCAAATGCTTTTTTTGCAACTTTAGTCATGTTAGTTATCAAGTGCGAAACTCATTTTAGCATTGGTTTTGGCTTGTTAGTTCGACAGTCTCATATTTTAGTCTTATTTAAAAACTAAAAACCTTCGTTTTTTTCTTACCGATAATTATGATCATCATCATTGTAATCAAGCTGTAGTCAAGCAATTCTGACACGAATATTGGGAAAAGAAACTGGCCCCGTAACCTTCATAATTTTGAGAACTATTCAAGCCGTCCAAACTGTAAACTAGGACGTTTTGCAAAACTACTAGAAACTCTGTTCTTCACCTTTATTTAATTTTGGTTTCTTTTTTCTACTTTTCGTAATCATTGTATACGTAATTCTATATATTGAAAGAAAATTGACAGCGACTGTCAGATTCGTAAAGATTATAAGGGTCTTATGAAAATTGTTATTCAAGAACGTTTTACCGAAAACGACGACGGCTACTCATTCACGTTTCCTACGTAAACAAGTTACAAGTATTTTAAGTCATTACGCCATAAATCCGCGAGTAAGTACCTGGTTTTTAAGAACCTGTTAGGCTAAGATTTTCCAGTTAGGCCCCCTCTATACGTCAAGAACCTGCCTTAAATTTGAAACAGGTTCTTGTTTTCCAAAAATCTGTGAAAAAAAAATTCTCTACACTTGGGCACATATTAAAGATAAGTCAACATTCAAGGTCCTCTTTATGGAGACATACAGGTGCCTTATATCACTCCAACTGAAATGAAAGATGCAAATCTTGAAAATCAAATAACATTGTTATTGATACATAACACAAATTTCATTTAATTTTAGAAAACGGAATAAATTTAATACCACTAAATACTCTTAGCGTCAACGTATTTTTTTCCTTCAGGAAATAAGATCCTGTTTAAGAATCTAAAGAACGGAAATTTGTATGTGCTAATTACCATGTAAGACTCTTTAGGCTAACTTGGGAAAAAGGAGGTTCTTACTCGCGGATTTTTTCAGTATCTGTCTTGACGCCTATAATAGGCTACATTCGGCTGCCCGATGCAAGTAGAACAATAACCCAAATGTGTGGCTATCCCAGGAGCTCAGGGGCACCCAACGACTATTTTCTGTAAAATGTCTGTTTGGAGAAGCAAATATTGCCTAGAATTTTCTGTTACATGTGGACGGCTATTTAAATTTCTTGATGACCGTTCCATTCACGTACAATTTCCGAAGCGTATCTAATACATTCTCTACGATTTTCTGAAGTTTAAGTTTTACATTTCACTTCGATTCCTAAGTTAAGCTATTTTTCGTAAAAAAAGAGGAAACCTGAAATTGTCGGTTTCAAAAATGCGATGGAGAAAGGAATCAGAAAATATCACTTTCGTAATACGTCAAATTTCACCTACAGTTTCGGGAAAACAATATTCAAGCCCTCATAATTTCGAAAAGACTCAAGTTGCCTTAGGATGATCGAACAGATACAAAGTTTATAGCTCCTCGTAGAATGGATTTCTAGGGATCTAAAAGTACTCTTCATAGCCTAAAAAAAGGTTCAATGTATTGGGGAGGAGGCCGTCGTTGGGTGCCCCTAGGCTCTGAGAGCTATGGACTCCTGTGGTTGAATGATCGTCCATGTCGTTAGACAGGCTGCACTGAACAAGGCTGTTGTTAACAGTGACTAATAACTCTATGCAAGAATGTTATTTTGTTTAGTTTGTTTTTTCCCAGTCTGTTTGCAATGATGGTCTTAAAATCCATTAGGCGACGACGACGGTTTGCGACATTCTCAAACTCCCATGACAATTTGTCGCTTAATATTTACTTCTACGCCAAAATTGTAAAGTATAAAACAGTACAATTATTGACCTTTTGTTAAAACAAAGTGTCGCTTGCGGGGTCGCGTGATAAAACATAAAAGATTTAAAAACTCAGAGTTGCATTTTATAATCCCTGAATTTTAAGACAATTCACATCTTTAAGGAGCCTCGACTGGATTTTTAGCGGCAACTTCTCCCAATTTTGCTTAGCATTGACTACGACGCGCCGCCAACCGAGATTTAAAAACAATGTCCCCACAGCTGTATCAAGCAAAGATGAAAATTTGTTATGAAAATTTTTTATTCGTTTATGGTCATCGGAATTGTCAAACAAAGCTTTAATGTACGTATAAGTAAACATAATTAGAGGAGGGAACTCTCTACCAAAATGGCGGCAATTTATTTGTCTATTTTTTTGTCTTTGTGATAATAGATTTTTCTGACTTATAGGTTTTGAAATTTTCCCAATTCAGACCACTTGTCTGATGTTCTTAAGGATATTTGCCTTTTGTCTTTTCATTTGTTATCCACTCAAATGCACGTGGATAGCACGACATTGAAAGAAACAGTTCTCTGGATCATATGGTCTGCAATGGGAAAACAAAACATACAAGCTAAAACGGTCTAGACTATTGGCCCTGGATGTCTCTTTTCAGTGTGAAATTTCTCTTGAATTTTGTCAGTGCAGTTCTGGTAACGAGAACCATTAAGACGGAATCCATTAGGAAATTGAGTAATTTTAATTCTCAGTGGACAAAACCATTGTACCAGAATATTTTAAGCCATATCATATCCTTTTTACACCTTTTAAGGGCTATAGATGTATTTAGTTATCTGTAATAATACCAAAGACAATTTCTTACGGGAGCGCAAGAAAATAAATTTCAAATTTCATAGGAACTGAGAAAACACAGGTAAAATTGTCATGCGTAAGACCTTAATTTCGTGAAATTTGAGACTTTTGAAGTTTGCTTATGACATTTATAGCCTTTGAAAAGAGTGAAAAAGAATGCAATATGCTTCAAATTATTCTGGTACAAGGTTTTTGTCCACTGAAAATTAAAATTACTCAATTTCCTAATAGATGTTGTCTTTAACTGACATATCTGTATCAAAGAAAAGTGGTATTGCAGCCATTTATTCCTAAGGTATATGAAGTAAATAAATAAAATATTGAGGCTCCTCGCAACTCTAACAAGGTCTCATGGGATAGGTTGGGAAAACAATGAACAAACATAGCATAGCCCCTAAATAAAAGAAACGGGGACATCAGTGAAATTAGGGGCTTTTAAAAGGGGATGCGAGGCTATTGAAAACATTTCCATTTCGTATTTCAGATTCTACATCAAGCAAGTTGAGGCCTTCGATCTGTCCAGCGGTTGTTTTAATGAACACTTCCAAAGTTACCACGCTGGGGAGATATCCAAAAGCTAAAAGTAAGTAGTTCACTTTTGTTTGCTTAGAATCAGTTAATCTGATGGGAAAAGTGGTGAAAGAAAAGTACAATGCCTACTAAAAAAAGCGCAGCAAAACTAGGAAATCCTGTCTTTAAGACTTAGAGGTTGTCCTTCAAACTCAAGACAGCGTCTTTGTACGTGTGAGGCCAGCCTAAGGACCAGCAAGAGTAGTTATGGCAACTTGAAATCCCGCTGATGTGATGCGATATCATTAGTATAGTCTTTGTGCAAGTGCGTCAAGACACCTTGAATCAGTTTGCGCAATTAACAACGAGAAACTAACATGAGCAATCCGGGGGATCACGTTCATTGTAAATTTCTAAACGTGATTGAAGGAGACGTACTTAGAAACAAAAAAAGGATTAAATGTACATAAAAAGCATGTTGCTTTCCTATCAATCAACGTGCTTTAAAAGGAGCACGGTTTCTTTGACAAGTTTTTCTCGACAAGGTAAGGTCGTCGAGGAAACCATGGCCAGTTTCTCATTCGCTGGAGTAAATGCAGCCGGCCTCACCATTTGTCTGTCGTTATCACTGGGGACACCCAACGACAATTTTTGAAAAATATCTGTTCGGAATTAAGACGATTTGGATTTAGAATTTTCAGAACATTTGTTGTAAAATTTCTTGCTTGCCTGCCTCTCCTAGGATTTTCGAACATCTAAAAACTGGTATAATTGCCCATTTTTAACGGATTTTTACCCTAAAAAGGTCACATAGAATTTTCGGGAGCCTTTATTCTAGCTGAAATTTTCGAAAAGGTAAGTTTTGATCCCTATAATTTTCCGGGATCACTAGACTTTCAGCTAGGAAATCCGAACAGATGAAAAATTTTTAGGGGATAAAAATATACCTATATCTACAGTTTAATTAATAAAATAAGTTTAACAAAGCTATGTTTAAGTGGTTTGAACTGTATTCTCGTTAGGTGCCCCCTGCATTATGACTGTCGATTTTATGAAACACTCAGAAGCAATCCTTAAATCAGTCATTTTAGATTTGTCATCGCAGGAGTATGACGACATTTTGCGAAGAAAGTCTTTTGGGGTAATTAAAACAATGAATACAAGGTAATAGAAGTTTAAAATCGCGGGGGACACCTTTGGCTTATTGTTATGCATTAAGGGCCTGTTTACATGAAGGTGGAGGACCCCAGGTAGGTGAGGTAACATGTGGCGGGTTACCCCACTTAACATGTAAACGTGATCACATTAAAATGGGAGATTGTATGGACAGGCGGGTTACCCCACCTAAGCGGGTTACCTCACCTTCCTGGGGTCCCCCACCTCCATGTAAACAGGCGCTATTTAAAGCGTATTCACGAAGAACAACGACTGATGTCAACTAGCCTGCGCGCAGACACTTTACTATATCCACACTATATGCGATACGTAGGCCGGCTGCACCGCAGGCTAATATAATGTCAACAGGTTTATGAGATAAACGATGAGTGTATAATTTAAAGTGTTCACGTGCACGTCTGAAACGGAGACTTCAAACCTTGAATGTTTATTGCCTGGAAGTTTTCATGGGAACGGCCGAGCTAAAACACGGGCTTCGTTGTTTTTCTTGCGCAAATCGCCCTCTAGCGCATACAGCGCGTGCGCAAGATACAAGTGTATGCGTAAAAGGACTGAACGAGAGCACATGGCCACTTGCCTGAGGTGAGGAAAGCCATTTGTCGAAGTAGTGAGCTACCAAAGGAATTTAAACAGAGCGTTTGTGATCAACTCAAGAGTCTTGTAGGAAATATTAGGAATGCCTCAGTATGTTAGATCTTATTACGGTCTTGGAAGCCATCTTGTCGGGTAGACAACCGCGTGAGAAATAACAGTATTTGCTTGAGAATCTAAAGTCGACTCATTTTCGTAAAACTGCTGTTCTACTGAAAGGAGGAATTGACAAATTTAGGAGGCGGTACCCATGCTTAAATTTCCCCAGTCGCTTCCTTTAGCTAGCATGTTCACTTGGACAGTTAGAAAGGCTTTAAACGTAATATCAGACAAAAACAAAATTAAATTAATTTTGCTTATTTATACGATTAGGTCACACTAACAAACCTTAAATTGTAAAATCTGCTTTATACATGGCACACCGGAGGTTTTGACCCATCATTTATTAATAAAATCACAGAGAGTCTTTTATTCTTTTCGCAAACTTGGACACGAAATCACGATTTCGCAATTTGGTACAACTGAGGCTCAAAGCATTGCCTAAAAGGGCGATCTACCAAATATAAAAAGCGATAAAAACACCCTCCTAATCTCCCATTATCCCACAATTTCTCTGTAAAATTCTATCTAAATCGCCTCCAAAACAGCCGAGATATAAGCGTTTAAAAAGATGTAGCACAAGCGAAACTTTGCCTTATGAATATATTCATAGATAGGTGTTCAAGCGGCCTTAACTCAAGCTGAAAATCAAACACCTTACCATTGTAACAATCGTTTTTTTTTTCTCAGTTGAACTATTGCGCACTCAGTCTGATCTCTTGTTATTACGATTGCCAAATTTGCGCTCCGTAACTTAATTCCTGGATCGGGATGTTAAAATTATGATAACCCAGGCTTAGTGCGAAATTTGAATTCAGAGTATGAAAGTCTGAAAAGCAATTCAGGGTTTAATTCATTTTGCTTAAGAGTTTAAACATTGGGTGCTCTAAAAAAAGTAGCGAAAAGAATCTGAGAAAATGCTTTTGAACAGAAGAAAAAGAAACCCAGATTAATATCTAACTCCGGGGTTGGTGCTAATCGGCCTTCGAACAACTAGGCCCAGATTGATTGAAGTTGAAACAAAGAGAGGGTGACTGGGGAAGAGACGTATTCAAACCTCCAGCCTGTTTTTTCTTAGCTCCTCCCTTTAGCTCTTTTTCGAGGGCGAGATATAAACTATTGTTGCGTAATTTCCCCCCTACTTAGCTAATTACTCAACCTCGTCCCCAGGGCGCTTTTCCCACCACACCTCCTAAGCCAGGGAAAAGCGCCCTGGGGACTACGAGGTTGCTAATTACTTATTCATACGGCCAACCTCGTCCCCAGGGCGCTTTTCCCAGCTCACCTCCTAAGCCAGGGAAAAGGGCCCTGGGGACAAGGTTGCTAATTACTTATTCATACGGCCAACCTTGTCCCCAGGGCGCTTTTCCCTGGCTGAGGAGGTACTAAGCCAGGGAAAAGCGCCCTGGGGACGAGGTTGCATAAGGCAACAATTACAAGACGTTGTATGAGAATTAGTACATGAAGGAAGGAAGATCCTAGCACCAGGAAGATCCGAGAAGGCGGATCATCCTAGCGCCTTATGCTTTCTGTGTTCAGTTTACATGCAAAACGTTGTATTTGTCCCTAGCGCAAGGATCTTCTTAATAAGTACTAGGATCTTTCTAGCTGAGAGGTAGGAAGATCTAAGCATTATGTAAATTGCTTTCGCTAAGAAGATCCTAGTGCAAGGGACAAACCACACAAAATGGTAGCAGGTCGTTCAGCTTGTTAATCTATAATCTTTAACTACTTCTCTGCTGAACTCTAACTACTTCTCTTCTCCGAAATGTCTGCATGTAAATGCAACGAAAAATTGTTCCGCCTTCTAGGATCTTTCTCCCTCCACTAAACAGCCCCTTATACCTTTTCGCTATAATTGAGCGAAACGTGTGTTGAAATTTTCTTGTATGCTGACTGCGTGTCACTAAGGCTTCTTGGGATACCGGAGAGCCCGTAAGCAGTACTTCTCTGTTAAGGCAAAAACAGACGTTGTTTGTTTTAAATTTCATTTTTAAGCGCAACCTTCTCGTTTTCTTGTGTTTATTTGTGTGCTGATTGCTTTACAGGGACGGCCGGGCTGCAAAAAGCATCTTACGATTAAGGGAACTAGTAACTATTATTTCAAAACAGTAGGTTATTGTTCCAGATCAAAAGTTTAAAGCCCTCTTATCTTAAGAAGGTTTTATGCAACCTGGCTCAGGCCTCTTAGGCACATGTAAATGCCTTTTTAGGCCTGCGAAACGTTGTAAAGCGGAAAGGTTAAGTGTTCAAAAGGGTAATAAGCTCTCAAGAAATTCGCATAAATTGAAGTTTTCCTTGAAATCGTTGACGTTATCTTGCTTGATATGTTATACTTTGCTTAAAAACTGCCGAGAAAGGCAACACTTGCTCGAGGTTAAAATAACAAAAAAAGAAAACGAGCTCAAACACCAAAAGTTGCAGGCACAAACGTTGCCGAGCACAAGCCCCTCCGTTGACAGACCCTCCTAAAATCCCCTTGCGAAACTTACGAAGATGTATAAGCCCAGGGCTTATACAAGCAGATAAAGGGCGGTCTACGGTATACGAGTAATGGAAACGTTATGCAATCTGCGCGCATAGTTTGAAAATTATATAATAATTGATACTAACTAACCCAAACCACCTTTTACAGGGTTTCTTTCAATTGGCATTGCGTCAGTTGCAAGACCGGCTGGAACTAACTATTTTCTACAAACCATTCAAAGTTTGATCGACAATACGAGCGATATGGACAAGAAAAACACTTATATTGTAATATTTCTTGCTGACATCGCAGAGTCGCCAAAATCCACGGCAAAAGCCGAGCTTTCAAGAACGTTCAGCAAATATATTGATGATGGTCTTTTGACAGCAATTGAAGCATATCCAGAATTTTACCCACCCCTGAATAACATAAAGAAAAAGTATGGCGACTCGGATACCAGGAGAACATGGCGCTCAAAGGAAAACGTCGACGCAGCTTTCGTCATGTGCTACTGCAAGGATCTATCACAGTACTATATTCACCTCGAAGATGATATGATATCTTCGCCTAGCTTTTTCCCTAAACTGGAGAATTTTATTGAGACGCAAAGTGTTAAGCCTTGGCTAATGATTGATGCGGCCATAAAATGCAGCAAAGCCAAAGTTTTTCCCACAGAACACGTCGAAAATTTCGCTTCCTATATTTACGTCCTGTATGACGAATCGCCCATTGATTGGTTGATGAATGGCTGGCGGAAATTGAAGGGACATGGGGAAATCCGCTCGCCTTCGGCGTCACTTTTTCAGCACATTGGGGACCAATCCTCTCTCGCAGAAAAAGGATTTTCAGAAAATCTGCAGAGGGAACCATTTTTTGACCAATATGACCAAAAGTACAGGGGACGCAACCCCCCAGCCAGCGTTATTTCGTCAATGTCCTCTAATGAAGGAAAACCACAAGATGCTTATGAGAAGGGTAGTGGCTATTTTTGGGCAATAAATCCAAGAAAAGATGACTACGTCCTAATAAAATTTAACGCACCGACTGTTGTGAGAAAGGTGTTCATTGACACTGGGAGTTATCATTCACGGCAAGATGTGTTAAGGTCTGGTGATTTGGAGGCAAGCTTCGAGTCCACAGCTGGGGAAGTGAAGCCATCTAATATCAGCAACCACTGTGGAGAGTTTAAATTTCTGGGTGCATTCAACAAAGGGAAAGTAGAGTCATCTGTAGGCGAGTCAAGAAGTGTCATTTGTTTAAGAATCACAGTTTTACAAAACCAAAGGGAATGGCTGTACATTCGTGAAATCGATGTGTGGTGAAAGGTTGTCAAGAATCTAGTGGCTTGAGTCCATAGTCCACAACGAGCTCTGAACCTTTATGACGCTTACAAAGTGTAACATTTCTTAAAGAAAAACTTGAAAGCAAGTGGCCCACTACCCTGCCAACAGATCGAGCCTTTCTTTCGCTTGCTCGATTTTGGCCCTACTCACGAAAGACTGCATGAATCGAGTAATATCTTCGTTGTGCATGCGCGGCATATTGCCAAAATATAATTTCCAACCCAGGCCTAATAGCCGTGCGCTTACTACAGCGGGCTCGGTTATGACCATCGGTTTATCAATAACCGGATGCTCGCACTCGAAAAAAAAAACAGTTTGACGAGAGAAAACAAGTTTGACTATTTCAGAAGATTGGGTTGGGGCGACTTCAAAGGTTTGACGTGATTCAGGGAGAGCCTCCTCTTCTCCTCCTCACACAAGGAGACAAAAGGAGGCTCTGATCGATCGCAGGGTGGTGGCCCACTTACTCCAGCCCACGGTCTGACCAGTACCTTACACATTCGCTCGGGCAGTAGCAGCCATGGACAGTTGTTTTTCCCTTATTAGGGCTCATCAGCATGGCATACTCGCTGGACCTCTTTACGGTCAAAGCCCTGTTCAGTTGTATGTACCGTAGCCAGTTGCAATTGGCCATTTCTGAGTTTCATTGGTCTTTTTGAAGTAGCACTTGAGACTGATTCGATCAGTTGTGTTGAATTGCACCATGGGATAGTTTTCACCCAGTTTCCTGCGCAACCAATAGCCAATAGAGAAGAGAAGTGTCTCGTCTTTGTTAAATGATGGGATTGGTTAGCATATTCAGAAAGAACAACATGAAAAAAAGCCCCTAGCCACAAATCAGCCTGTTAGTGCAAATTGGTGGGTAGATATAAGAACCAGTTTGCTCTGATGACTCCATACAAATCCTTCTAAAATTGCCTTGGATCTAAACGTTAACGATCCAGACCTATTTTAGAAGGGTTTATATGGAGTCATCGGGGAGTAAGGTTGGTTACACCTCACCAATTTGAACAAACAGGCTGATTTTTGGCAAGTGAACATTTTTCACCTGGTTCTTTCTGGATATTGACATGAACTGCAAGGACTGCAAACGAATATGCCTCAGCTCGTAGGATCTAAAGAAGACCTGATCAGCAAAAATATACAAACTTCTTTACATCCAACGTTCTGCGGCATATTCGTTTGCGGTCCTTTGCAGTTCATGCCAATTTACTTTATCTTTTGGGGCCGTAAGTCTATTTTATAGATCTGATATGCTGTACATTTTGCATGGTTTGTCCAGGCATGTTGGTTTTGTCCGTCCTATATCTTCTTTGCGAGACATCAACGCGACACTTTGACTCTTACCCTCCTGGAGACACGTGATATCGCGTGATTCTGTGGGTGTGAGCGGGTAATTTTCAGCAGAGCTTCTCCGTTTGTAACGCCGTTCTGACGAGCCACAATAATGGCGAAACAGCTGTCGACAGCCATTTTGGGTTCTTTAGGCATCGTGCAATACGATCAGCTTTGCAGATTTCAATGTCTTCTTTCTGGAGATGCTAGCCAATCCCATAATTTCATCACTTCTCTTTTGTATAAAGGAAGCACTGTCGGCTCCTCAACAGTCCCACAGTCCAATTCGGCACAACACCAACCCAGTCCGCGCGCAACTTCTCAACGGCCATTACTAACCAGCTCCAATTCAAGTGGTTATGTCCTTTTTTCCCTCCTTAGAATTATATTTAGTGCTCAAGAATATTTTAATGCTATTGCCAATGTATTTACATTTAGTTTCCTAACGAATTTTCACTCCCGGCTTTATTAGCTGTTCTCGAATGCTCCCCACGATGATTAAATAAAGGGATTGTCGGTGATCGTGATGTACCGTTGAGATTGTGGTGAAGAAAAACCGTGCTAACTTTACATAGAAAATGCTAGCTATAGTGTGTCTAGCCTGTGTAGCTGGTGGGGTTTTGCACTCGGAGATAAAAGGTGAATTAGTCAAGATACTGAGGCATAACAGGCCAGAGCCCCGATTTTAAGTACTAGGCGACTTTGAAAGACGCGTGCTTCACATATTTGTGGCGGATTAGAATGCCGGCTTGGTCAGAGGCCCTTTGTTTAAAACATGGCGGGATACTCGCAGCTTAAGGCAAGCATGTGCCTTGTAGCTGTCAACATAATGCTTTTTAATTACATTCTGTCATAATTAACAAAACCCGATCTATGTTTGATTGAAAGTAATTGTACAAATCTGGTACCAGACAAACCGCTTTTAAAAAACAAAAACACAAAACTAGTTTATGGTTATTTCTCATTAATTTCACTTATCAAAACAAATATTTACTTTTATCAGTTTTCCCGTTTCTTTCAAAACATCCTTCATTACCGGGCGTTTCACTGTAGGCAATGAAAGACGCGTTTTATCGGTCTTCTTTTTCGCGGGAATATCAAAATTTCCATCTTTCAAAACGCGATGAACCAAAGCTCGCAGGATACCAAAGCGCCAAAGGCGCACGATGTAGTCCCGGTGTTTTGTGAGCACCCGTTAAAAGTATTGAACGCCAAAGCTATCAAGTTTTGGTACAGCGAGAGGCAGCTAGTTTCTGTACCCAAAGGTTACTGCATGGACAGGCTATCGAAAGAAAATAAAAGGGATGGTTGCCCAATGGATAGCAGGCCTAACGACGCAAAATAAATGTCTCAGTGCATCCTTGTCTGCGAGGTTAGTACTAAATTTACACTCTAGAATACATTACACAACTCAATCAGCAACACTTTGCAAGTAGAATTGGTGATCAGTGTGGGCAATTTATATTTCTAAGGGACGTCCGTCGCACAAAGGCTTAACGCGCGGGGGTTTTTAGTCAATGACTGACATAACAGTTTCCTCACAATCGACCCAGTTAGAATGCGATAATGTGCGCGTGAACTTTGCCTACAACTGGCAATAAGCTGAATAAACCGGAAGCTGAACACCATGAATACGTTACTAAATTACATCGCTCAGGTTCTTTTTCCTTTTGTTCAAGTACCGGAGGGGTTTTTCGTGCATTCTGTTGCGCAGTTTGGCAGTGATATACCGAGCATCAGACAGGTAACGCACCGAAGCCACCATTTTACTCTTCTTCTACCAAACAGTTTTCCTGCAATGGTTTTAGTACTGGTCCCGTTGCCGAAACCTTGCACGAGCAAGATACGGTAATCGAGAGTCGAGAATCAAGAATCGATATTGTACTCGGGACAAGAAAAGGTCGTCATCCAAGGAACAACTGATGCAATGTAAGAGCTTCAAGCTGCTGAGAATCGCCAATTCTGGATTACAAGCAGTGAAGGAACTCCTGAGAAGAGTGCAAATTATAAAGGAACTTTGGAGGCCAGTCAGCCAGGGTGATTGTCGCACCACGCATGAAGTAGAATAAATTTGTTAGCCTGGTCTTGTCTTTGCCACAAATCACGTAAAACTATAAAGAAGGTACCACTATGAACTCTGGAAAATGAAAATTCAATAATACTATGGTTGACGACTGACAGTTTAAAAGAGAGACAAACTTCACCTCAGAATCTTGGGCGCGCCGCCTGTAAGCTCTGAGGGAGAGGGAAGCCCCATAATTTGGCCTATTTCAAAAACAAATGACACTACAAAAATAACCTACAGTTATAATTTCAAAAGAGAGACTACCATCACCTCAGAATCTTGGGCGCGCCGCCTGTAAGCTCTGAGGGAGAGGGAAGCCCCATAATTTGGCCTATTTCAGAAACAAATGACAATACAAAAATAACCTACAATAATAATTTGGATAAATGATCGACATTTTAAAAGAGAGACTACCTTCACCTCAGAAACTTGGGCGCGCCGCCTGTAAGCTCTGAGGGAGAGGGAAGCCCCATAATTAATTTGGCCTATTTCAGAAACAAATGACAATATAAAAATTAATTACCTACAATAATAATTTGGATAAACGATCGACATTTTAAAAGAGAGACTACCATCACCTCAGAAACTTGGGCGCGCCGCCTGTAAGCTCTGAGGGAGAGGGTAGCCTTATAATCAATTTGGCCTATTTAAAAAATAAATGACACTACAAAAATTACCTACAATAATAATTTGGATAAATGACTAACATTTTAAAAGAAAGACTTCCTTCACCTCTGTCTGAATCTTGGGCGCGCCGCCTGTAAGCTCTGAGGGAGAGGGCAGCCCTATAATTTGGCCTATGACACTACAAAAATCACCTACAAAAATTGTTTGGATTATGACCGACATTTCAAAAGAGAGACTACCTTCACCTCAGAATCTTGGGCGCGCCGCCTGTAAGCTCTGAGGGAGAGGGCAGCCCTATAATTTGGTGTATTAAGTAAAAAGCAAGTAACAATACAAAGGTAACCTGAAATAATAATTTTTGGATTATGATTGACATTTCAAGGAGGATAAAATGACTGATATAGAAACCATACTGTATCTGTGACCTTGATTATACAGATCGCCCAAGCGAACACGAAGATGTTGAAGTGGAAGCTAGAATATCCGAAGTAATCCAGCGTCTTGGGCTCCTTCCAGCGAATAAGATTTTGGCGGGATTTCGACAGTGCTTGGCGGGCTTTTTGGAGAGTGATTTGTCACTGGAGGCACATCGACGCTTACATCGTCTTAAGCCAGAGAAAAAAGACTTGAATCCTTCGCCGTTTGATCAAAAAGGTCGTCCATTGAATCAGATAATCGGTCTTGCTGTTCCTCAAGGAGATGTGAAGTAGAGCTCGAGCTCTCGCATTCGTTTTCTCCGGCGACTATAAATATGTGCATCGTTGACGGCTTTTCTCAAACGTTCAAATAGAGAAGATTTAAAAATTTCTTTGGTCAGGGTCTTTTCCACGCCGAGTTCCTTTCAAACCGGAGAAAGATGTGTCAGCAGAGAGTGTATTCCTACTTGTGGCTCCACAGTAAAAACTTGATACGCCGACTCGCTGTTTTCGCTTCGAAGGTCACCAATGTTGACATGGCATACTACTCTTGACAGAAGTTAAATAAGCCATCGGAGCATTATTTTCTTAAAAGAAAGCACTTGAAAAACCATTATATTGAAAGCGTATCAAGCCTATTTGAATCCAAATGCGGCGAGAAAACTGTAGTTATCAATTGCGAAGCCAGAGGCGCGAAGATCGACTTCCAAATTTTCAATCGACCGTGAAATGAATTTATAATACCCAAATAGTCTGATCAAATTTCGCGTTTCCTTGAGATGTCTGGTTCTTTTAATCAGAAGTACAAAGTTCCTTGACAGGCAATGTGTCCGGCGCTCTGCAAAGGTGTCTGGAGGAATGCTTAAAACTAATTACCTTGTCTGTTATTGGAAACCGTTTTGCGGTGGTTGCTGTGGAGATTAGGCCTCCTCCTGCTCGCACTAAAATCGGGGCTCTGCTCTGGCCTGTTATGAATAACAAAAACAGTTAAAATTTATCTATATCTGCCAAAACAGCAACCCTCTTAAAGAGGATTATTTCCCGGGAATAAATATCTACCCGGGCCATAATGTCGTCTGATTTTGTTCATAAATACAGGAATAAATCAGTCTGCCAAAACCCGTAGCTTTTTTAAAGTGTTAAGGTGTAAGCCTGAAACTAGCATACAATTCTTTGGTAGTGGCACACCCCTTTCATTGATTAGAACGAATCTGGGTCGAGCTTCTTTTGTTTTGATCCCCTCGCCCCTATCGTGACTCGAGTAACCTACTTTGTTCCCCTCCATCATGACGCTTCTTGGCCCAGCTTGAAAACATAAACACAGATTTAAACCCCTTAGTCGAATTTGAAGGAGAGCATTCACTTCCATTTCAGGTTTTTAGATACGACTTTGCAAGGTTGGGATGTCCTTTCACGTTACTGAAGAACGAACCTTTCAAACCGATCATTGATTTGTAAGTTGTTAACCTTAAGTCCGAAAAGTCGAGCGTTCAGAAGTTCCAACACTGACTTATTTTACATGGAAATATTTAAAGTTATGAAATTATAAACGTCGGTTAACGCATTTCTAGCATTGTGATTGGTTCACTCAATCTTGGTTATCAGCTCATATACCTTAATTTGACGTTATATGGAACAGGATTACGCTTAGTTACATCAACATCCGGTCGTTTTGTAATATTTAAAATGAAACTTACACAACATTCAGTTGTAATAACAAAACGTTTTGGGGTTGAACCATCTCATATCCAAAGCACACGAATGGAATAATTATTTAATCCAACTTCATTTCATGTACAAACCAGAGTGAGAGAGAGTCGTTAGGAGGAGTGGGAAAGAAACCACTCTCGTCCCCCGGAATTTTCCTTTCAAAATAAGAGGGGCCGCTCCTCTCAATTTCTAAAGGAAAATCCTCTAGAAACGAGGTTAGAAAAGGAACATAAGAACCAGTTCAGATATGACGGGGAAACGTTTATCAAAGAAGTTCGTGCTAACTACATCTTGCGGGAGCAACATGGCAGAACGGGTTACAAGTACAGTACGACGATGAAGCAGGTACATCAGTATGACATAGCGAGCGTGCGAGGCGTTCGAAAGGAAAGGTCGAAGGAGTGAATTGAGGGAAGGGAAACGCCCAACTCCCTCGCTCGCGCACCGGAAATTTCCTGGCTCGCTCCTACCCTTTCGAACCTCCATCTCGCGGACTATATTATGTATATTACTGAAAGCACTGCGTGGCGGCGAATTAAGTGAAAGACTTAAAAATAAGGCATAAATAACAAGGCAAATGCAAAATAAGGCAAGGATAGACAAACTTGCACGAAAGAACGGATTAAAATTGTGGTCTTTAAGAATTTATTATCCTAACAGTCGATTCAAAATTCACTTTTGTTGTTTGTTTAATTTAATAATCCTTGGGTAGACTACGAGTAGTCCCCCATTTTTCCTCAGAGACGGCAGAACGATCGAAACGCGAGCGCGCGTGAAAATCACCCCACGCGAGAAAAGGCGACACACGGCGGGGAGAGTGTCGCCTTTTCTCGCTTGGGGTGATTTTCACGCGCGCTTGCGTTTCGCTCTCGCTCTACTACCCTGAGGAAAAATGGGGGACTACTCGTAGTCTAATCCTTGGGAGACAAGCAGTTTCTTTGCCAACGTTAAGTTAATTAGTGGATTTGACTCCGGGGTCTGGAGGTTTTGGATCATTATACGTTTCTGGCAAACTGCCCACCTACCCCTTCCCTAAGCCAACATTTTGACCTAAGGGAGAGGAGTGGGTGTTAATGTTCGCTTAGGGGAGAGGTAGGTGGGCAGTCTCCCAAAAACGTATAATGACCCAAAGCAAAACGAACTAGACAGCCGTGACCGAGCTACTTTAAGCGGATACGTTTCTGGCAAACTGCCCACCTACCCCTCCCCTAAGCCAACATTTTGACCAAAGGGAGAGGAGTGAGTGTTAATGTCCGCTTAGGGGAGAGGTAGGTGGGCAGTTTCCGCAAAACGTATAATGATCCAAAACAAAACGACAGAGCTACTTTAATGAGGCCGGCTCTTTGAGTCTGGCAAATGCTTCAGCAGAATTCATAAAAGCTTTTACTTGAAACGAGCCGTCATAAATATAGACAAAATAAGACTAAAATTGACACCATTTGGAATAAGGTGTATAAAGCATGCAGCTAGAAGCTAACACTGTGGGGATGGGTCGGGAAGAAATGTTCCTAAATCACTTTTATTTTCCGCTTTATTTTTAAACAGGCTGGTTGCATCAGTGAGGCTCAAAGTTGGGAGAAGATGGTCAAGTCTGTGCAAGCAGAAGAGAAGGATTCTGCCTGGTCTAAATTGGTATTGCTTCCAAAACTAAGTGTTTTTATTGTTTAGTCGCTGCACCTTTTGAAACGTAACATCTCAAGATTTTAGTTGATGCTCTAGCGAGAGCAGTTTTCCTGGAGTTTTGCTCTAACTAGAACTGATATATATCTCGGTTGTGAAAGTATGTATTTTTATTCGTATTTAAACATTCAACAGAATTATCGCAGTTGTTTTGAGGAGCCTGCAAATAATTCTTCACCAAACGTGGATCTCAACCAACCGTATGAGATTTTGAACAGTTCAATATCTTCCTCGCAAATCCTATGGAATGATGTGGGACTTTTTGTCTTCACGCTGAAGGTTGTCGATCCTGAATTCAGGTGAGAAGAGCCGTCTTTTTCAAAAGCGATTCCAAGCTGACAAGGATTCGTCGTAGCAAACGGTCCTTACTTATACTGACCGCTGCATTAATAAGAACCACGTTCAGTGTTTAGTAACTTTCACTTTTAGAGTCTGATTGAGTCAAGATTGCGTGTGACTTTGGTAGTAATTTTACGTATGTTTCTACCTACTTCTCAGCATTCTAATATTTTTTTGTTAACGACAAAATAACAACATTAATATACAGCGTTTTATAAAAAAATAGATAGATAAAAAACAAAACTATTACAGGGGGAGATACTCGACCAATATTTGGGTATAGGTGAGCCGCTGAGGGGTTTGAAACCCTGACCCTGCTTAGAACAAAAAATTCCTAAAATACATAAAAGAAATTTATCTTCCCGACTGTAAAATTAGCCTTGCTTATTTTGTTTCTATATTTCCAATTATTGCTGATTAGATGCTTTAATAGGATCCGGTCCTTCCTTTTTGTAAGTTGGTCCTTGCTTCCAAAAATGAATTTCTAAAATACATACCCTGTTTAGGACAACACCCTCAATTTTATCACCCTGTTTAGGATAAAAGGCAAGCCGTCTTGTTTTAAAGCCATTTATTGGCAATCTTTTTATAGAGCAAATTCACGTTATAGTCATCGCTTTTGTATGTTTAGAGTACAAACAAAATTCATTTGGCAAATCAAATCAATCGTGCAGGCAACATCCTGTTGACAGAATCACGAAATTATATACCCTGTTTAGGAAAGAGAGTTCAAAACTACATACCCTGTCCGGCGGCACATCCCCTTATAGGCCATATAAGGGAGTACCCCACGGGGAGGGAGGGGGGCAACATGGAATCCATTTTTTAATCTTACGTTTTCGATAATAACAATGACATATCACTGTATTTTCTCTAACAGCTTCTGTAACCTGACAGTGGAGATATCTGTTCAAGCGAATGCAGTGCGAGGTTTGATGGAAGAGATTCCAACCTTTGTGGTACTTGGATCGTCCAGCTTGATCAGTACGATCATGGTTGTATCTGCTTACTATACTCTATTCCGTTGCGTGGATTGAGCTTAGACGTTACTGACAATTTGTTTAACCCTTTAGGTCGCAAGAGTGACCAACATCAATTTTCTCCTAACAATAATACACAGAATTAAAAGAAAAGTTTAGGAGAATAAATAAAATGATCATCTAAGGGAAAATGCTTTGATCTTTGAACAAATTCTCTCAACTAATTCTGTAAGGAAATGTATGGAGATCAGCTTGGAGAATTTGTATGTGGATATTGGGGCTTAAAAGGTTAAATCTCGCTCCCAGAGGCTGCGAATCTTTTGGTCAGCATTTAGTTCGCTTCACCAACCTTGGCTTATCCAATTAAGGCCCAAATAGCTGAAATGATTGCTATAACTCCTATGCTCAGGTCGTACTCAGTCAGTACATAAAATATTAGACTGCATTGAAACAGTCCGTATTTTTGCAGGCGTGTGAGGCTCGCGCACTTTTCGCGCGTTACGCTCATACACCACGCTTTACCTATTTCTTTACTGATTTTGGGAAAAACAAAACGACAGTTTTGGAGTCTAAGAAAATAAGAAGGCCTATAAGGGTGTATGTGCTGTATATGATGGTATGTAAGGGGCGTTAAATTTCAGGCCATGCAAGGAACAAAGCAAGTAACTGCCATGCTAGGCCTAAAGCCGGTTTATTTTTAGATACCTTTTTGAGTACATTTTCCCGCCGCAAAAATAGGAGCTACACTTCTTCTATGAGCGCATGCGAAATACAGTGTATGAGATATGGAAAAGGAAAAGTAGATCCATTTTCAGGTCGATAGGTTTTTCTGACTGGTTTTCTAAATTCACGCCAAAATCGTTCTAAAATTAAACTTTCGTGACGAAAACGCGTCACAGCACCACATACCCTATGTCAAAAAAACTACTATTTTGATTTAATGCACGTTGTCCTCGCTCTTGTGCCAATACATTCATTGTTCTCGCTTTTAAAATACCCCCTATTTTGACCATATATGGTCATATGGCGGGAAATTTGAATTTCTTTAATTAGCTGTAACTTTATGCCTTTTTATCCGATTGAGATGGGGTTTTCACCAGAAATCATAGAATTTCATACAGAAACCTAATACAATTTTTTTACCATTTCTTTCCTGAATTTTTATTCTGATGCCAAATTTGGACATCACTTATGACGTCACAACAGAGTCTCATGGGATGAAATAAAAACCAATTATAGTCAACTCTCGCCTTAACTTGCGGACACCCCGCTATTGCGGACGCTCGCTATTACGGACAAAATCTAGATCCCCGGCAAAAGCTGTAGGGGTTTGACGGAAATGACTCCCGCTATTATGGACTCTCGCTATTACCGAATTAAGGACGCTTTCTTGGCACCAAAGTGACAATTTTATTGTTTTGAACCTAGATAAAGTGGACACGCTATACTTCTCATATAACATTTTTATGTAAAATTTCAGTCTGCTGCTCATCATTTGCCAAAATACATTTCAAAAGATTTCCGGAATGTTTATTTTCACATCCATTCCATAAATTGTCCGCACAATCGTCCCCACCTCTTCACTTGAGCTTGCGCTTTTTCTTTCCGGCTCTTTTGGAGAGCTCAAGCCCTCGTGTTCCATTCTCAACGACTGCGCATGCTTAGCAGTTTCGGTACTGTTGATAAGTTTTTGCGTCCCAAGGCAAGTGATTTCAGCAAGTGATTTCAGCCTTTGTCACAAGGTTAGTAAAACTGCTGTGAAAAGAAGCAGGTGTCAAGGCACGCTGAATTTTATCTCCAAAAACACAATCTTTGGCCGACTGATAGACTTGCTACATGTCGACCTCACCAGTTTGTTAGGCATATTTCAAACGTCTTACTGCTGCCGTGCTAAGCTTGATCGACTGTAGCTCGACTGCAGCACGACACTAGCACGACTTGGTTTCAGACGTCGAATTTAATTCAGTCGACTAGAACGGCTGTTCCCGAAAATAAAACTCAAAAATAAAGAAACGGTTTAACAAACTTTGAAATGTATTCTAATGTATTTATAGTTTATGAATTGAGCGCGAACTAAGTCGAGCTACTCGGCCGTGTTGCACGGCAAAGCTTGCAGTGCTAAACGGCAGTAGCACGACTTGGTTTCAAACGTCGCGGTACTGCCGTGCTAAAGTCGAATTTAATTCGATCAATTTAGTTCGGCACGGCAGTAGCACGACGTTTAAAATGGGTCTCAGCGAGCGGAGGGAGTTTTTTAGGCCTCGAAGCGGCCAAGCGAGCGACGGACTCGTCCCGCGCCATATTAAATCGGACGAAGGACTTCTTTGAAAGTCTAGCCGATTGTGTACTTCTAGAGACAACTACCGCAAATAGTTTACGTAAGGACCATGTCTAAATGTGGTATCAGACACTGTTTTTGATGAGAAATTGTTCAATATTACAGTTTCAGTTAACTCCGTTACGTTTTGTTGTTCAGCGCGAAAATTAAAGAACTGCATTGATTAATTGTGCCGTTATTCACATCCGCCAATAGTAAATTTAACACACTAAAGATTTAAGAAAACCTTAACAAACGTAGTTAATGTTATTTATAATATTATTATATGTTAGCAGCACTTTTTTTCTCCCACCCAGCTATTACAAACTCTCGTAAGGTGATGTTACACGGGACGATTCGCAACTACGATTTTTAGCGCAACACAGCCTTGCAATGTTGAAACAATGTTGTAACTATCCGAAACAATGTCGCACCAATGTTGCAAGGCTGTTTTGGGCTCAAAATCGTTGTTGCGAATCGTCTCTTGTAACATCACCTTTACGGACATAAAACCGCAGTCCCGAGGGTGTCCTTGCAATGTTGAAACAATGTTGTAACTATCCGAAACAATGTCGCACCAATGTTGCAAGGCTGTGTTGGGCTAAAAATCGTTGTTGCGAATCGTCTCTTGTAACATCACCTTTACGGACATAAAACCGCGGTCCCGAGGGTGTCCGCAATAACTGTTACTCCTTTCATATGGTGGGACAGTTAATCAATCAAAAATTCTAAATGAGTGGACAAAACTTCCGCTAGTTTACTTATATTTAGTTTCTGAAAACCCAAATCTGGCTAGAGCGCTTTTCGATTGAGTGTCGTAAACCAAAACCAAAGTAATCACAACCGCCAATCAGAACAAACGAAAACATCAGATGAAGCCAATGAGAAATCGAAGTAAACGCATGTAACCGACCTTAAGCGCGGGAAAACGCGAGTAACCAAGTCGCGATTGGTTTTAGTTTTGTATCTGATTGGCTTAGAAGGTGACGCGAGTTTTCTAGACCACTCACAGAGCACAGTAAAGCAAAACCAATGCAATCCCGGATTACTTTCAACACTAAATTGAAAATTGCTCTAAATGTAATTTTTAAAAACAATGCAGTGCCTATTGACCAACTGAGGGTAAAGGAAATGACTTGTCCTCAGTATTGGTCACGTACTTCCTCAGCTTTGTTGGCTACGGGAAGAAATTCATCTTGTTGTTCACAAATAGCTCGGGGCTGAATCTTTCGCTTGTAAATTCACTCAAGTTTTGGTACTTTTTTAAAAATCTATCAGTGGTGCAATTCAAGTTTGAATTAAATGTTAACAAATCCTTATAACCATGCTTTTTTCGTCTGCTGTCAGCACTCCATCCCCATTACAACAGAGAAAGTTTCAGCAGATAAGTTATCAGTGGATGTATTGCAGACGGTTTCCTCCCTCCTGCAAATTGTTGCTTTCAGTCAATGCCGAGATTTCAAAATACCGTACTTATTCGAATAAGCGCCCAACCTCGAATTAGCACCCACCTCGAATAAGCGCCTATCCTAAAGGCAAAAAAAGTTAATAAGCGCCCAGTCTCGAATAAGCACAATCCCCACCCCACCTACTTCCTCCAACTCAAACTCAAATAAGCACCCACCCCCAAAATTGAATAAGTACCATTAAGAGACTTCCCCGAAGACAGAGTTTTTTTTCTGAGTATTTTACAGAAACCTTGCTTTGTTACATCTTCACGTTTTGTTATTACCGTTTATTTATTTGTTGCAAAATAAACATACTACTAAATGACTTGCTGAAGATGGTGAAAATTTAATATGCGCCCAGCCTCGAATAAGCCGTGCCAATGGCGGCGTGCAAGGGAAACACTCGCAGTCGAGAAAGTCGATTTTCAAACTCGGGTAATGACCCATATGACATCTAATGTAGAGCCTGAAATAATCAAAAATGTACACGAATGAACCGACACTTGTCAAATTAAGTTTTTCTGTTAAAGCGTGCTGTTCATGATCTCAACAAGCTGGGACAATAACGGCAAGACAGAGTGTTATCAGCATGAGCTTCCAATACCGTGTTGGTATTCTGAAATAACATGCATCCTCTTTCGTGTAATTGGCTTCACCTGCCTCCGACCATTTGTTATGTTTATAGGAAAGACCACTGACCACTGAGAACGAAGCTACGATCAAATACGATAGCTGTCAAGTAAACTATTTGTCTCCTGACACTAGGAAAAACGGTAAAAAAGTTAGTTTTTGAAAACTATTTGTTAATTGTCGACAACTTAGCAGTTTCCTTAATCTCCGAAAAGGGAAACTGCGTAGTTGTCGACAATTTGCGTTTAGTTGACGACGACTCGCCTCACACACTGCTTTTTTTTAAACGTTGTCGATAACTTTTAGTAGTGGAAAAAATAGTTGTCATTTTTAATGACAATAATAATAATAATTATAATTATAATTATATTATTATTATTATTATTATTATTCGATCTGAACTGAAAACGGGTATAGCCTTCGCCGATATTGGTCTGGAATTGTGTATTTTTCGAGAAAACAACGGGAGTTTATGAATTTATTTATCGTTCTCAATTCCAAATGAATAAGAAAGAAAGAGATGGGAAATTCGAAATGAATTTCAAGAGATCTTTTTGTTAGCGTTTTAATCTAAGTAATGATGACATAGTTTCTTCCTATGCCAGGTCTAAAATCGGGTATAAAAACGGGTGTGAAAACTGACAGTTTTTGGTCTGAAATAGGGTCAGCATTTGGAGAGCCGGGCGGCACACCCCCACCAAGAATTCCCAAGATAACCCCCTCCCCCCCACTCGGGAGCGCTTACGATGATCACGGGAATGCTGCAGAGAACAAAGATGCTCATGGATTTTTCTCCCGACTTCCCTACTCCATGGCAAATATTTCTCTCCGGCCTCAATGGGGTGACGTTTAAAGTATTGCTCTGACAGTGAAGGCGATGACGTTGTATGTTTAGGTTTTGCGCTAGTGGTATGATGTTTTCCCTGTACAGGATAACTAAAGCCAAGAGATTCTGCCTCCAAATATGCGTCCGAAAAAGATTTACCGTATAGCAATAATAACTCTGGTGGTCACCCTGATCATCCATTTTAGATTCTTCACACCAGCAAAACGACAGGACGATAATATTCCTGATGAAACGATATCAGTCCTTGAAAAAACTATCATTCCGAGACAAATCGCCCGTCGTGGGACAGAAAAACTCTCTGGAGTGGAACCACTCGCAGGTAACTTTTGTTTTACGATCTCAATTTCGGTAACCGGTCCTCTTTCAATTTCCACGGCATTATAGCGTCATTTTCATGTTCATTTTTCACTGATATATTGTTTACGTTATTGCGGACTCGTTACCTCTCGTTACTCGTTTTATTGATGAAGGAGTTTATAGAAAAGCAAATATTGCCTAGAATTTTCTGTTACTTGTGGACGGCTATTTAAATTTCTTGATGACCGTTCCATTCACGTACAATTTCCGAAGCGTATCTAATACATTCCATACGATTTTCTGAAGTTTAAGTTTTACATTTCACTTCCCAAGTTAAGCTATTTTTCGTAAAAAAAAAAGAGGAAACCTGAAATTTTCGGATTCAAAAATGCGATGGAGAAAGGAATCAGAAAATATCTCACTTTCGTAATACGTCAAATTTCACCTACAATTTTCGGGAAAACAATATTCAATCCCTCGTAAGTTCGAAAAGACTCAAGTTGCCTTAGGATGATCGAACAGATACAAAGTTTATAGCTCCTCTTAGAATGTATTTCTAAGGATCTAAAAGTACTCTTCATAGCCTAAAAAATGGTTTCAATGTATTTCGGAGGAGGCCGTCGTTGGGTGCCCCTAGGCTCTGAGAGCTATGGACTCCTGTGGTTGAATGATCGTCCATGTCGTCAGACAGGCTGCACTGAACAAGGCTGTTGTTAACAGTGACTAATAACTCTATGCAAGAATGTTATTTTGTTTAGTTTGTTTTTTGCCAATCTGTCTGCAATGATGGTCTTAAAATCCATTAGGCGACGACGACGGTTTGCGACATTCTCAAACTCCCATGACAATTTGTCGCTTAATATTTATAATTACTTCTACGCCAAAATTGTAAAGTATAACACAGTACAATTATTGACCTTTTGTTAAAACAAAGTGTCGCTTGCGGGGTCGCGTGATAAAACATAAAAGATTTAAAAACTCAGAGTTGCATTTGATAATCCCTGAATTTTAAGACAATTCACATCTTTAAGGAGCCTCGACTGGATTTTTAGCGGCAACTTCTCCCTATTTTGCTTAGCATTGACTACGACGCGCCGCCAACCGAGATTTAAAAAGTTTGCTTATGACATTTATAGCCTTTGAAAAGAGTGAAAAAGAATGCAATATGCTTCAAATTATTCTGGTACAAGGTTTTTGTCCACTGAAAATTAAAATTACTCAATTTCCTAATAGATTTTGTCTTTAACTGACATATCTGTATCAAAGAAAAGTGGTATTGCAGCCATTTATTGCTGCGGAGCGACCGAAGGGAGCGAGCAGCAACATAATCAGGATTTAAAGGAAATATATAAGGGGCGACGAATTCTCGAATTCATCACTTTTTACCACAATGCATTGCATTTAACCACACTTTTTACCACAATGCATTGCATTTAACCAGAGTGCATTGCGCCACGAACAAGTCAAATAAAAACACGGGGAAGTTCGCGTCGCTCGCTGCCCAGACTCAGAGTTTTCTTTGTAGCAAATTTTCTACAGCACGGTTAGAGGTCTTACCAAATTTAAGACACGCAGGAGTCTTTCAGATGAGTACGATGGTTAACTTGGGGATTGGATTTCAATTCAAGAGCCTTTGACTCATCCAGGTGTTAAACCTGACGAGAAAATGAGTACTCTTTGACTCCGCAACACGGGGGATATACAAATTCCAGCTTGCTAGAAGGTGATGTGAAAGTGAGAAAATGTCATGCCATGCTATTCTTAAGAACCTGTCTGAGCCGAAAATGGATGTGATTTTGACCATTCGCTTCAAAATAACAGCGGAAATCGAGATAACAAAACATATGTTTTGTGTCCTGAGTTGCAGACGGGGACGTGTATCGGCGTTTTGAAAAGCATAATTATGTTCTTTCATTCATTCATTGCCATGGAATATGCGTTTACATTGTTTTTTTTGCTGTTAATAGCTCGATTAATGCGGCTGACGATCATCTTGCCGGCGGAAGTTTCACGGAAAAGGAATTAAACTAAAGACTTTTCGTACAGCTTCGTAGTTAGTCTCTGTGGTGTAGTGGTGAGGTGTAGTCGCATCGGGCCGATAGTGCCGGGTTCGAGTCCAACCGATGTCTTTTTTCCCTCTTTCTTTTTTTTCTGTTTTTTGTGTTGTTATCTATAAATGTATGGCTAAATAACTGTTACTTAATATAGTGCAATAGACAGCAAGAAAAGTATCATGTTTCCAGAGAAAAGATAGTACACCCTATATTAAATATATGGATAAACAATCTGAATTTCTATCATTTCCTACAATTTAATGTGGGAAAACCGGAGTTGATAACTACTTGATCATTTTTTAAACAACGTTCCCACGAGTTCTTTATATAGACTGATAGTAATTATTCTAGTACTTTCCAACATGTAAATAGGACATTCAATGTCATTTTCGATTCTTTTAAGTCCCACTGCCTAACTAATGCCAGTATCAACAGAATGTGCCGCAGCATTACTATCTTTTAGATACCCTAGTTCCTAAGGTATATGAAGTAAATAAATAAAATATTGAGGCTCCTCGCAACTCTAACAAGGTCTCATGGGATAGGTTGGGAAAACAATGAACAAACATAGCAGAATCCCTAAGTAAAAGAAACGGCGACATCAGTGAAATTAGGGGTTTTTAAAAGGGGATGCGAGGCTATTGAAAACATTTCCATTTCGTATTTCAGATTCTACATCAAGCAAGTTGAGGCCTTCGATCTGTCCAGCGGTTGCTTTAATGAACACTTCGAAAGTTACCACGCTGGGGAGATATCCAAAAGCTAAAAGTAAGTAGTTCACTTTTGTTTGCTTAGAATTAGTTAATCTGATGGGAAAAGTGGTGAAAGAAAAGTACAATGCCTACTAAAAAAAGCGCAGCAAAACTAGGAAATCCTGTCTTTAAGACTTAGAGGTTGTCCTTCAAACTCAAGACAGCGTCTTTGTACGTGTGAGGCCAGCCTAAGGACCAGCAAGAGTAGTTATGGCAACTTGAAATCCCGCAGATGTGATGCGATATCATTAGTATAGTCTTTGTGCAAGTGCGTCAAGACACCTTGAATCAGTTTGCGCAATTAACAACGAGAAACTAACATGAGCAATCCGGGGGATCACGTTCATTGTAATTTTCTAAACGTGATTGTAAAGCGCTTTTTTTCATTTTAAAAGGAGACGTACTTACAAACAAAAAAAGGATTAAATGTACATAAAAAGCATGTTGCTTTCTTATCAATCAACGTGCACGGTTTCTTTGACAAGTTTTTCTCGACAAGGTAAGGTCGTCGAGGAAACCATGGCCAGTTTCTCATTCGCTGGAGTAAATGCAGCCGGCCTCACCATTTGTCTGTCATTATCACTGGGGGCACCCAACGACAATTTTTGGAAAATATCTGTTCGGAATTAAGACGATTTGGATTTAGAATTTTCGGAACATTTGTCGTAAAATTTCTTGCTTGCCTGTCTCTCCTAAGATTTTCGAACATCTAAAAACTGGTATAATTGCCCATTTTTAACGGATTTTTACCCTAAAAAGGTCACATAGAATTTTCGGGAGCCTTTATTCTAGCTGAGATTTTAGAAAAGGTAAGTTTTGATCCCTATAATTTTCCGGGATCACTAGACTTTCAGCTAAGAAATCCGAACAGATGAACAATTTTTAGGGGATAAAAACTGATATAACTATATCTACAGTTTAAATAATAAAATACGTTCAACAAAGCTATGTTTAAGTGGTTTTGAACTGCATTCTCGTTAGGTGCCCCCTGCATTATGACTGTCGATTTTATGAAACACTCAGGAGCAATCCTTACATCAGTCATTTTAGATTTGTCATCGCAGGAGGATGACGACATTTTGCGAAGAAAGTCTTTTGGGGTAATTAAAACAATGAATACAAGGTAATAGAAGTTTAAAATCGCGGGGGACACCTTTGGCTTATTGTTATGTATTAAGGGCCTGTTTACATGAAGGTGGGGGACCCCAGGTAGGTTACCCCACCTAACATGTAAATGTGATCACATTAAAATGAGAGATTGTATGAACAGGCGGGTTACCCCACCTAAGCGGGTTACCTCACCTTCCTGGGGTCCCCCACCTCCATGTAAACAGGCGCTATTTAAAGCGTATGCACGAAGAACAACGACTGATGTCAACAGGTTTATGAGATATTCTCAACTGGATAAATGATGAGTGTATAATTTAAAGTGTTCACGTGCACGTCTGAAACGGAGACTTCAAACCTTAAATGTTTATTGCTTGGAAGTTTTCATGGGAACGGCCGAGCTAAAACACGGGCTTCGTTAATTTTCTTGCGCAAATCGCCCTCTAGCGCATACAGCGCGTGCTCAAGATACAAGTGTACGCGTAAAAGGACTGAACGAGAGCACATGGCCACTTGCCTGAGGTGAGCAAAGCCATTTGCCGAAGTAGTGAGCTACCAAAGGAATTTAAACAGAGCGTTTCTGATCAACTCAAGAGTCTTGTCGGAAATATTAGGAATGCCTCAGTATGTTAGATCTTATTACGGTTTTGGAAGCCATCTTGTCGGGTAGACAACAGCGTGAGAAATAACAGCATTTGCTTGAGAATCTAAAGTCGACTCATTTTCGTAAAACTGCTGTTCTACTGAAAGGAGGAATTGACAAATTTTGGGGGCGGTACCTATGCTTAAATTTCCCCAGTCGCTTGCTTTAGCATGTTCACTTGGACAGTTAGAAATTAAAGGCTTTAAACGTAATATCAGACAAAAACAAAACTAAATTAATTTGTGCGTTTTATGACCCGGCGTAGTCTGCTACACAGCCGTTTTTAGTGTCGTCACGCAACGCTCCTCCCCTCTAAGTGAGTGGGGAGGAGCGTTGCGTGACGACACTAAAAACGGCTGTGTAGCAGACTAGACCCGGCGTAGAAAGACAATAATTTTTGGAATTTCCGGTTAGGTCAAATTAGTCAAGTTATACTGTCACGCTAGGTTTGGAGGGGCAGAGGGATTGGAGGAGGGGTGCGTTAAAATACTGCTAATCGTTTCCTGCTTAAAATGGCTAACTTGCCAAAATTACATATCCTTCTTGGAACTCGTGCTTACCTTCGGAAGTCTCAAAACTTGACTTTTGCGACAATTTTGTGTCCAAGAATTCAGCGCAGATACCGAGGTTTTGACCCACCATTTCTTAATAATATCACAGAGAGTCTTTAATTCTTTTCGCAAACTTGGACACGAAATCACGATTTCCCAATTTGGTACAACTGACGCTCAAAGTATTGCCTAAAAGGGCGATCTACCAAATATAAAAAGCGATAAAAACACCCTCCTAATCTTCCATTATCCCACAATTTCTCTGTAAAATTCTATCTAAATCGCCTCAAAAACAGCCGAGATATAAGCGTTTAAAAAAATGTAGCACAAGCGAAACTTTGCCTTATGAATATATTCATAGATAGGTGTTCAAGCGGCCTTAACTCAAGCTGAAAATCAAACACCTTACCATTGTAACAATCGTTTTTTTTTTCTCAGTTGAACTATTGCGCACTCAGTCTGATCTCTTGTTATTACGATTGCCAAATTTGCGCTCCGTAACTTAATTCCTGGATCGGGATGTTGAAATTATGATAACCCAGGCTTAGTGCGAAATTTGAATTCAGAGTATGAAAGTCTCAAAAACAATTCAGGGTTTAATTCATTTTGCGTACTAGTTTAAACATTGGGTGCTCTAAAAAGAATAGCGAACTTGTATCTGAGAAAAAGCTTTTGAACAGAAGAAAAAGAATCCCAGATTAATATCTAACTCCGGGTTGGTGCTAATCGGCCTTCGAACAACTAGGCCCAGATTGATTGAAGTTGAAACAAAGGGAGGGGGACTGGGGAAGAGAAGTATTCAAACCTCCAGCCTGTTTTTTCTTAGCTCCTCCCTTTAGCTCTTTTTCGAGGGCGAGATATAAACTATTGTTGCGTAATTTCCCCCCTACTTAGCTAATTACTCAACCTCGTCCCCAGGGCGCTTTTCCCACCACACCTCCTAAGCCAGGAAAAAGCGCCCTGGGGACTACGAGGTTGCTAATTACTTATTCATACGGCCAACCTCGTCCCCAGGGCGCTTTTCCCAGCTCACCTCCTAAGCCAGGAAAAAGGGCCCTGGGGACGAGGTTGCTAATTACTTATTCATACGGCCAACCTCGTCCCCAGGGCGCTTTTCCCAGCTCACCTCCTAAGCCAGGAAAAAGCGCCCTGGGGACGAGGTTGCTGATTACTTATGTTAGGGAGCTTAAGCAACAACGACGGCGACGGCTACAAAAACGTCACTTAAAAAGTGAATTAGCACCGATTCAAACTTTATCGCGCTTATTCCATCTCGTTTACTTCGTCAAATGTTGGCAAATATTTTTGGAGTTGAATTCTAAAGGACTTATCAAAGTTCAGGAAAAGAAAAGAAAGTTGTTGTCTTGTGTCCCCGTCCTCGACAAAACATGAACTCAGGCATTTTCACGTTGTAGTCGGGCAATGATGGCAAAGAAATGTACAAAAAAGCGTGATGCAAGTGCAAAGTTGTTGTTTTGCTAATCGAACCTATTGCTTTTTTGCCGTTCTCGTTGCCGTCCACGTCGTCGTTGCTTAAGCTCCCTATTCATACGGCCAATCTCGTCCCCAGGGCGGTTTTCCCTGGCTGAGGAGGTACTAAGCCAGGGAAAAGCGCCCTGGGGACGAGGTTGCATAAGGCAACAATTACAAGACGTTGTATGAGAATAGTACATGAAGGAAGGAAAATCCTAGCATCAGGAAGATCCGAGAAGGAGGATTATCCTAGCGCCTTATGCTTTCGGTGTTCAGTTTACATGCAAAACGCTGTATTTGTCCCTAGCGCAAGGATCTTCTTACTAAGTACTAGGATCTTTCTAGCTGACAGGTAGGAAGATCTAAGCATTATTTAAATTGTTTTCGCTAAGAAGATCCTAGTGCAAGGGACAAACCACACAAAATGGTAGCACGTCGTTCAGCTATAACCTTTAACTACTTCTCTACTGAACTTTAACTACTTCTCTACACGGACCGAAATGTCTGCATGTAAACGCAACGAAACATTGTTCCGCCTTCTAGGATCTTTCTCGCTCCATTAAACAGCCCCTTATACCTTTTCGCTATAACTGAGCGAAATGTGCATTTAAATTTCCTTGTATGCTGACTGTGTCACGGTCACTGAGGCTTCTTGGGATACCGGGGAGCCCGTAAGCAATACTTCTCTGTTAAGGCAAAAACAGACGCTCTTTGTTTTAAATTTCATTTTAAAGAGTAACCTTCTCGTTTTCTTGTGTTTATTTGTGTGCTGATTGCTTTCCAGGGTTGGGTTGCAAAAAGCATCTTACGATTAAGGGAACTAGTAACTATTAATTCAAAACAATATAGGTTATTGTTCCAGAACAAAAGTTTAGGGTCTCTCATATCTTAAGAAGGTTTTATGCAACCTGGCTCAGGCCTCTTGGGCACATGTAAATGCCTTTTTATAGCCTGCGAGCAAGCTCTCCTATTTGAGCAAGCGAAGTGAGCATCGCGAGAACCCCCTGCCCCTCGCGGCTTCGCCGCTCGCTCACGCGTTCTCGCGAGACTCGCCCAATTTGGAGAGCTTGCTCGCAGGCTAGCCTCTTTAGGCCTGCGAAACGTTGTAAAGCGGAAAGTTAAGTGTTCAAAACGGTAATAAGCTCTCAAGAAATTCGCATAAATTGAAGTTTTCCTTGAAATCGTTGACGTTACCTTGCTTGATATGTGCTTAATGTATACTTTGCTTAAAAACTGCCGAGAAAGGCAACACTTGCTCGAGGTTGAAAGAACAAAAAAAGAAAACGAGCTCAAACACCAAAAGTTGCATGCACAAAGGTCGCCGAGCACAAGCCCCTCCGTTGACGGACCCACCTAAATCCCCTTGCGAAACTTACGAAGATGTATAAGCCCAGGGCTTATAAAGGGCAGTCTACGGTATACGAGTAATGGAAACATTATGCAATCTGCGCGCATAGTCTGAAAATTATATAATAATGGATACTAACTACCCAAACCACCTTTTACAGGGTTTCTTTCAATTGGCATTGCGTCAGTTGCAAGACCGGCTGGAACTAACTATTTTCTACAAACCATTCAAAGTCTGATCGACAATACGAGCGATATGGACAAGAAAAACACTTATATTGTAATATTTCTTGCTGACATCGCAGAGTCACCAAAATCCACGGCAAAAGCCGAGCTTTCAAGAACGTTTAGCAAATATATTGATGATGGTCTTTTGACAGTAATTGAAGCATATTCAGAATTTTACCCACCCCTGAATAACATAAAGAAAAAGTATGGCGACTCGGATACCAGGAGAACATGGCGCTCAAAGGAAAACGTCGACGCAGCTTTCGTCATGTGCTACTGCAAGGATATATCACAGTACTACATTCACCTCGAAGATGATATGATATCTTCGCCTAGCTTTTTCCCTAAACTGGAGAATTTTATTGAGACGCAAAGTGTTAAGCCTTGGCTAATGATTGATGCGGCCATAAAATGCAGCAAAGCCAAAGTTTTTCCCAAAGAACACGTCGAAAATTTCGCTTCCTATATTTACGTCCTGTATGACGAATCGCCCATTGATTGGTTGATGAATGGCTGGCGGAAATTGAAGGGACATGGGGAACTCCACTCGCCTTCGGCGTCACTTTTTCAGCACATTGGGGACCAATCCTCTCTCAAAGAAATCGGATTGTCAGGAAAGCTGCAGAGGGAACCATTTTTTGACCAATATGACCAAAAGTACAGGGGACGCAACCCTCCTGCCAGCGTTACTTCGTCAATGTCCTCTTATGAAGGAAAACCACAAGATGCTTATGAGAAGGGTAGTGGCTATTTTTGGGCAATAAATCCAAGAAAAGATGACTACGTCCTCATAAAATTTAACGCACCGACTGTTGTGAAAAAGGTGTTCATTGACACTGGGAGTTATCATGCATGGCAAGATGTGTTAAGGTCCGGTGATTTGGAGGCAAGCTTCGAGTCCACAGCCGGGGAAGTGAAGCCATCTAATATCAGCAACCACTGTGGAGAGTTTAAATTTCTGGGTGCATTCAACGAAGGGAAAGTAGAGTCAAATGTAGGTGACTCAAGAAGTGTCATTTGCTTAAGAATCACAGTTTTGCAAAACCAAGGGGAATGGCTGTACATTCGTGAAATCGATGTGTGGTAGAAGTTTTGTAAAGGATCTGGTGGCTTGAGTCCATAGCCCACAACGAGCTCTGAAACTTTATGACGCTTACAAAGTGTAACATTTCTTAAAGACAAACTTAAAAGCAAGTGGCCCACTACCCTGCCAGCAGATCGAGCCTTTCTTTCGCTTGCTCGATTTTGGCCCTACTCACGAAAGACTGCATGAATCGAGTAATATCTTCGCTGAGCATGCGCGGCATGTTGCCAAAATATAATTTCCAACCCAGGCCTAATAGCCGTGCGCTTACTACAGCGGGCTCGGTTATGACCATCGGTATAATAACCGGATGCTCGCACTTGAAAAAAAACAGTTTGACGAGAGAAAACAAGTTTGACTAGTCCAGAAGATTGGGCTACGGCGACTTCAAGGGCCTCCTCTTCTCCTCCTCACACAAGAAGACAAAAGGAGGCTCGGATCGATTGCAGGGTGGTGGCCCACTTACTCCAGCCAACGGTTAAGCCCACGGTCTGACCAGTACCTTACGCATGCGCTCGGGCAGTAGCAGCCATGGACAGTTGTTTTGCCCTTATTGGGGCTCATCAGCATGGCATACTCGTTGGACCTATTTATGGATGGTCAAAGCCCTGTTCAGTTGTATGTACTGTAGCCAGTTACAATTGGCCATCTCTGAGTTTCATTTGTCATTTTGAAGTAGCACTTGAGACTGATTCGGTCAGTTGTGTTGAATTGCACCATGGGATAGTTTTGACCCAGTTTCCTCCGTAACCAATAACCAATAGAGAAGAGAAGTGTCTCGTCACAAAAATTCAAAATTGTGAAATGACGGGATTGGTTAGCATATTCAGAAAGAACAACATGAAAAAATCCCCCTAGCCAAAAATCAGCCTGTTAGTGCAAATTGGTGGGTAGATATAAGAACCAGTTTGCTCTGATGACTCCATACAAATCCTTCTAAAATTGCCTTGGATCTAAACATTAACGATCCAGACCTATTTTAGAATGATTTATATGGAGTGATCGGGGAGTAAGGTTGGTTATACCTCACCAATTTGCACCAACAGGCTGATTTTTGGCAAGTGAACATTTTTCACCTGGTTCTTTCTGGATATTGACATGAACTGCAAAGGACTGCAAAAGAATATGCCTCAGCTCGTAGGATCTAAAGAACACCTGATCAGCAAAAATATACAAACTTCTTTAGATCCAATGTTCTGCGGCATATTCGTTTGCTGTCCTTTGCAGTTCATGCCAATTTACTTTATATTTTGGGGCCGTAGGTCTATTCTATTTTATAGATCTGATATGCTGTACATTTTGCATGGTTTGTCCAGGCATGTTCGTAACGTTGGTTTTGTCCGTCCTATATCTTCTTTCCGAGACATCAACGCGACACTTTGACTCTTACCCTCCTGGAAACACGTGATATGACGTGATTCTGTGTCTGCTAGAGTTCAATGTGAGGGCTTAAATCACAGTGAGCGGCTAATTTTCAGCAGAATTTCTCCGTTTGTTACGCCGTCCTGACGAGCCACAATAATGGCGAAACAACTGTCGACGGCCACAGCCGCGCTCTGTTTTGGGTTCTTTAGGTGTCGTGTAGTACGATCAGCTTTGCAGATTTCAATGTCTTCTTTCTGGAGATGCCAACCAATCCCATAATTTCAACACTTCTCGTTTTTTATAAAAGAAGCACTGTCGGCTCCTCCACAGTCCCATAGTGTAATTCGGCACAACACCAACCCAGTCCGCGGGCAGCTTCTCAACGGCCATTACTAATCAGCTCCAATTCAAGTGGTTATGTCCTTTTTTCCCTCCTTAGAATTATATTTAGTGCTCAAGAATATTTTAATGCTATTGCCAATGTATTTACATTTAGTTTCCTTACGAATTTTCACTCACGGCTTTATTAATTAGCTGTTCTCGAATGCTCCCCACGATGATTAAATAAAGGGATTGTGCGGTGATCGTGATGTACTGTTGAGATTGTGGTGAAGAAAAACCGTGCTAACTTTACATAGAAAATGCTAGCTATAGTGTGTCTAGCCTGTGTAGCTGGTGGGGTTTTGCACTTGGAGATAAAAGGTGAACTAGTCAAAATACTGAGGACTTCGCCGCCGAGGGTTTGGTAGCGTTGTGGTAAGGAAGACAGGTAAGCACATGACAGGCCTGGATTCGATACTGGGTTGCTGATTTCCTGGTTTTCAGTAGAAACACATTCAATAACGTAGTTCAAAGTGTCTTGAAATAGTATCGCTGCTATAGAAAAGGGAAAATTGATTCGCCACTCACGAAAATTCCTGCGCGAAGCAGCTACGCTGTAGAACTGCAGCTCCTCCCGGCAAGTCTCCGCTAGCGTGCACAATGTACCTTTTTGGCCATTTTTGTCACGCACAAATTAAACATCTCTACTTTTCTCCTGGTTATTAGAGAGACAACCCACGATGTTCAAAACGCCAGCGGTAGACTAAATGGTAACGTGACTGTTTTTCCAGTCATTTACAACTTTTGCCGTTTTTAACTTTTAAAAAGAAAAAATCTTTTTTCAATCAATAAATACGTATCTTTCTTTGTTACCATCGTCGAATATATAACCACTCGCTTGGAAGGAGATTTCTATAGTTGGCAGTACCCGCGATGCCTAACCTCTGTGCTGTTTTAAAAGGCGAAAGCAGCTGGTGGCGGAAGACCGTGTTGAACTAGACTAAACATTTTAAATTTCTCTCCCATCTCTGATTTACTTGTCAGCATTCTGTAGCCGCTTTGAAGCTCCTCTGCTTGAGTGGGATTCGCGTTTTGAAGAAGAACCTTAGAAAGGAGCAAGATAAAAAAGTCAGAAATTAAACCAAGCTCTTCATTGGTTTTTCAACCTCTTATAAGACTGTGTCCAGTGCCAGGACAGAATGCATACACCCCTGCTATCACTAAATCACTTACTTTCATTCTCACATCGATACCCATTTGCTGAAGAAATGACTTTTGTGTCACTGGTCCGAACGTCTGAACTGTGAAGTTTTAAATCAAAGATTGGGATTAAAACTTACCTACAGTTTTTAACATAACTGCTCTAATTAGCCCTTTTCTTTAAATAAGCGCCCACTTCATACTAGCGACCCTCTTAAGGGTAAACATTGTGAGTTTATCAGAGGAGACGGCAAAACGTTGTGTGTGACAAACGTGACAGGGCTATTACTTGAGTGTTTTGTCGTGAACTTCACATATTACTAATGTGTTCCGGTCTTTTACAAAAAGATTTGTTTGACAGAAAATGAGGTTTGGCGGAAAACTTTTTCAAACAAATTATCGGTCACGCTTGTCACGCACGGTTTGCCGTCTTCTTTCCGTACTATTGCGTTAGTACACTAGTATCAAATAAGCGCATCTGCGCGCGCCGTCTTTACTACCGTCGCGTCGTTAGCTTGCGATCAAGCTCTCCATTTCGATTGGCGAGCAAATTGAGGCGATACCGAAAGAACTTACTTACAACAGAACTTTCAAAGCCAAGAATACGCACCACACACACACTTCTGGGTACATACTGAAAAAAGAAGGTTCTAGTTTTCCTGTTTGTTTTCGTTCATTTACTCATACACCAACCCATGGCCTGACCAGTACCTCACGCATGCGCACAGCCGTCTTTGAGACACGGGTTCGCCCGTTCAATGACCCGACGGCTATGCCATGCTGATGAGCCCTAGCGAGGGCGAAACAGTTGTCCATTGCTGCCACTGCCCGGGTGATATGGCTGTACGCATGCGTGAGGTACTGGCCAGGCCGTGGGTTGGTGTACATGTACCCCTTGTTTTAGTTTGTCTTATTCAAAACAAAGACAAATGCCATGTTGAGAATAGAGAGATAAGCACCCCCACCCCCTCCCCCCTTCCCTTCGAGTTAGTGTCTTCCTCTCGACTCCAAAGATGATATAACCCTTCCGGCCGCTAATTCCAGATCACGGTTATTAGCAACTTCTTTCAAGCCAGAAACTTAACAATTTTCGTTAAAATGAATCGGTTTCATTTTTCACAGTATTTGTTATTAGGGAAGTATATATTTGGAAAATCCACCGAATCGAAAAAATAAAAGAGAGAGAGAAAAATTAATGCCAACCTTTTCCACGCGTAACGCTTCTCAGGTAGGCAAAATCAACATTGGCCGTCACATCAGCACTGCCAGGATCGTGCAGAACTTCGTGTAATTTATGTTTTTTAAATGCCTGAAAATACATAATAACTGTATACAGTAAAAAACCCTCGAGGAAGAACCTGGTTTTTAAGAACCTGTTAGGCGAAAATTTGCCAGTTAGGCCCTCTCTATACAAGAGTCTGTTTAGCCTAAAATTTGAAACAGGTTCTTATTTTTTAAAAACTGCGAAAAAAATTCTGCACACTTGGGCAAATAACATAAGTCAACATTTAGGATCCTCTTTAGAGCCATATTCACATAGGTGCCTTATCACTCCAACTGCAATGTAAATTCCAGAGCTGAAAATCGAGCTGAATACCACCAAATACTCTCAGCTACAATGTATTGTTTTCTTCTGAAAATAAAGACTTCTTTAGGGACCTAAATAGACTAAATTTGTGTGCAAATTACCATTTATGTAAGAAACTGTTAAGGATATCTAGGAAACATGCGGGTTCTTATTTGCCGGTTTTTATTGTATATTAGTCTAGAAAAACAGTTGCTATTTCCCGAGCGAAAATTGAAGATTAAAGAGAGAATTGTTTAGAAGTTTGCAACCATTTCGTCCAAGGGCAATTTGCTTAAAAGCGATTCGCCTGTTCTTTTATGAATTCGCCGAGCCTATTGACCGGCTCATCAACACATTTTTTTGTCTGAACCTACGTCAACTGATTATTACATTTTATGTTCTTCAAACATCAATTAATTAGCCACCGCAAGCTGAGTATCGAAGTACGCAAAGAGGAATTGATTTCAAAGGGTATTCTGTAGTTACAATTAAGACTTAAAATTGACTGCAATCCACCAGATACTGCCTACAGGCAGGCGAAAGGACGTTTGCTCAGGCGAATAGCCATTGGGTTCGTGCAGACTTTTCAGTTTACTCATACCCTAGCCACAGACAATTATACAAGTTTTCATGTGTGGCTTTTGGCAAGAAAAGCCTCTCACTTCAGGTTAATATGCCAAAGTATGGCACCCCTATGCCTACAGAAACATTTAAGGAAGTTTGTCCTTACGTTTGAAATTACTAGACCCGTTGTCGCGTTCCTAAGGCCGTTCCCAAAAGTTCGTGTAAATCAGCTTCCAGAGGAATCGACCGGTTTCCGTATTATTCACCGTAGAATTGTGAGCCGAAGATTACCAAAGGTTGCCGAGCTGCCACTTACCCTCAAAGTGTGTCTTGTGCTTCCATCTTCACCGTAATCAACAATCAGGGCACATCCCCCTTGCTTTGCTATAGCACCACTCATATGTTCCACAACAGACCCACCAAGTGGACACACTTCTATCTGGCTCCACGATGTTCCAGGAGGGACCAAAGTCTGTGAGGCTAATGTGGGGCCAGGAGCTAAGACAAATCTAAGTCCAGGGGACCTAAAAATGAATCATGAGTGAGGCCTTTAATTTGCATTAAGGGTTAGGTGAGCAGCCAGGGTCTTGGATAAACCTCAGTAAGGAGGAACTAATAAAAATGATAAGCTTATAAACATTGATGGAAACAAGTGATCTTCTCAGTTAAGTGTGGGCCTAATTTAGAACAGTAAACCCTAATTAACTGATAAATAACTCATGAAGAAAACTAATGCAAAAGAAATTCCTGCTAAATGAGTATAAAGCCAAATGAGTATATCTATCTGACAAAAAACACAGTTCCTGATTAAGAAACGCTGAGTTGCGTTTCGTCAAGACTAATGCCCCGATCAAACAAATCCTCCACAGTTGAGTCATATTCAGAAACACTGATGAGACCATACATGCCAAGACGGTCAAATGGTAACCTGAGATCAGGCTCAATTTTCGTTTCGCTTTGTAATAACATTCCGGCGGGCAAGGCGAAACAAAAATTAGCGGTAGCCGTTAGAGAGAATGTATGAGAACCGCTAAAATTGGGCCTGATCTCACGTTAGTCATATGGTCACAGGCAGCCTTTTTCCTCAACAAATTTGAGCTCAATCAGCGAGATGTAGACGAGTTATACAGATGCAACAAAGTTAACGAAGTTTAACGAACGCTTCAAAATTTTTGAGAACGCTGAGAAAAAGTTTAAATTTGTTTAATCCCATCTCTTCTTTCTTCTAGCGAATATCTTGTGTGGCTTATTACGCCGACAAACCAATAGCAAGTTCAATACAATCATGAAATTCATAAACTTTAAAAATAATAGTAAATATAAGTCCTGAAAACAATAAACTAACAGTTTACAAACCCACTGCCTGGTTCGACATCTACAAGAACTTCTCTCCAACCTTGATCTGTTTTCTGAAAGATAACAAACAATAAATATAATTCGTCAAATTATATGCTACACATGATGCGGAGAATTTGACAATGTTGATCCTAGCTTTTTGCAGGACATTGATCGCAGGACACACGCCTCCGATACTGGGGTCCCAGCACCCATCCTTGTATCCCCTTAAATTGACTATGTAACCAGGATATTGCTGTTATAGATCAATTCTGTGCCAAGGGTCATTACTAAGTGTCTTTACCCATACAAAAAAAATGGTCCTGTAGAGTTATAAAGAACGTGTTAAATGAATTTCATCATGGATAGCCTGCGTTGCAGCCGGCCCACGCACTCGTCAAAACCATTTGTATAGTCCGCTCTATATAGAAGGTTTAGAGCGTCTGCGACACAGCCTGATCATGGAGCCCTAACCAAAATATTTTGTTGGTGATTTTTGCAGACACAGCAATTAAACTTGAAAAAACGTTTTCGCAACAACCTGTGCAGAAGTTGTTGTTGGAGTAAAAGTGAGTTGTGGATCATTTTGACACTTCACAATTCACAATTCACTTGGACCGTCACGGTGACTTCTGTTGCGCTAGCGATCAGGAATCCTTTTTTAAATCTTCTTTGTTTTGCTGTAAATAAATCTCCGCGGTTCATAGTTATATATTTCCTTACACGCGCACTCAAGAGTGAGAAAACAGGCCTGTGAGTAGGTTACATGACTTTCACACAGGCTATTGAAGAGTCAGTGACCATCACCAACAAAGGATCCTGTTGTGTATTAGGACCCAGACTCCCCCTGAATAGGGCAATGGAACGCCTGACTATAGGATTAGGAACCACGATTCGTGTAGGCGAGATAAAGCCATCATCCAAGGTTGAATCCGTTGTAATCTTCCATTATTTGCCGACTAGATCGTTCACAACAGATCCCAGAAAAACTGTGTGACTGTTCATGATTGAATTTATAATAAACTTATGTACTGCCAGAAATGTTGTGTAGCTGATAACAGTGAATTTAGTCATTTGAAGGGTGTTGCATTCAAAATTTACCTGAACATAATTATGGTAAACATCGAGTACAACACACCCCCTTCAACCGTTCACACAGCCCAGGCTCCCTGTGTCACGAAGAGTCCCATTCATGGTAAACTCTGGAACACTACTCCAGACAATCATATGACTTCTGGGTTCGAACTACTTACGACAGTGAAACATACAAACAAACCTGAAATTGGTGAACTGGAAGAGCATCAAAGAACTCATGAGCCAAGAAAAAACAGTTTCCTTCAACAGGGATATCCTCAACTGCTCTGTACCATGCCACGGGAATATCATCCTGTGTTATGCACCTTCTATAACACAGTGCTGACATATCCTAAAATTGAAATCACAATTTTTTTTCTTTACATTTAGCAACATGAAAAAAGAAAGATATTGCTTAAATAAAAGATTAACCTGCCAGCCTTGTCCCTCGGACAAGCACTATATTAAATTTGCTTGTCCCATACCCAAGAGTTCTCGTCCAAAAAGTTTTGCCAGGTTTGTAAGTCAAATGGAGCTCATTAAATCAAATGAAATGGTTGCAGAATGGCAAAGTTAGGAATATTTAACCTTATTTAGTCAAGTATGAGGTTTGCTTTCATGACTATAAGATAAATTCTACTGTAATTTGAAGTCAATTTTCAACTGTTTTTGTACTTTTTCTATTAAAAATGTGCTTGTCCCACGAACAAGTCTTGTCAAAGGTTTACATTCATCACCATGCATCTGATGCATATCCCATCTATTATGCTAAAAATAACAAATTAAGGTCATATCACTCTGGAGTATTTTTTACATATTAAATAATTTCTTGACATACTTAATAGAGGATAGTGAAGAATGAAGACAGGGCAATTATTATTTGCTAGTTAATTTTAATTTCCGGTCATCGTCATCGTCAACTGCTTTAAAACTATATCTTAATGCAAGTGCTAAAACAAAATGAATAACTTAATTGCAATTTTTCATTATGTAAGAGGTTTTAATAACAATTACTTTCATTTTTAAGTAAGTTGTTGCAGAATGAGATACTATTAACCGGGGGGCAGGGGTCCACATATGAAGTTTGGGCCACGCCTGATTGGTCTCCTTTAGGGGTTTAATTCAAGCATCCCCACCCCTTTCATATGCGAAGTCCCCCCACCCTGGGACTTTTAAGATTAAGATCTTGTGCTGTACCTCGTTTGCCTGTAGTTTTTCATCTGTTGCATCAGTTTGTCCTTCTTTCTTGCCCTCTTTAATGGATGGTAATTTGCCAGTCAGTGTCTGTTCTTGGATTTTACTCAAAGCTGGACTTACTTCAACAAGGTGTAAAGAAAGTTTACCATGCAGCTCAGGAAACTTTTGGAATACCTAACATCAAAACAATTGTTCAACTTTGTAAAATTGCATGGACTGCATTGTATAAAGGGTTCGTTTATTATTTGCCTCATGATCAGTCACTTCAGTAAATATTGATTGGGACTTTTTTGACAGCGTACACTGTATTGCAAGTCTTCATCAGGCAATAGTGTTGATTTACTGAGTAGGACTATTTGGTTGTTAGTGAGTGGTGTAACATAAACTTTGCCCACGGTTAGACATTAATTATATACATAACAACAACAATAAAAATATACATGACGTTATTTCAAGAGGGATGTCGCTAAGAGCTGGTGGCCGGCTAATTTTCACCGGCTGATTCCGCACCACCCACTCAAATTACTCTGGAAAACAAAAGAAATGAGATAATTTTGAAGAATTAGCTTAAAGTAAAAAAGCTGGCTGGATAAATATTTAAAAAAACCTGCTTAGTTTTTCCTTAGATCCCTGTTTCAACAAAAAGAAAACAGTAATATGAATGCTAGATGCAGTTTTTTTTATATGAGAGTCAAACCCCTAGAGGAAACCAATCTTGGTGTAGCTCCTGAAAGCTTTATTTCCCAAGACTGACCAACATCAATTTTCTCCTAACAACATTACAAGATCATCAAGAGTAAAGGTTATGAGAATTACTAAATTGATTACCAAAGGGAGAATACTTT